ATTGTTTGCCCTTGTTAAGCCACATTTATCTTATAGAATACATGATTACTTTCCTGGATGTATTTTCCAAATTTTTCTGTGATTAATAGCTATTTATGTACCAAGAGGATTATGTAGATTATAATGCCTGAAGGCGAAACTAGCCCGAGGGCCTCTGGCCCGAGGGATATATTTCGCCTGAGAGGCATTATAATCTAAAAATCCCCGTGGTGCATACAATGCTTTATTTTCTACTCACCACAATGTTCTTTCATCAATTTATTATCAAACAATATCAGTTAAACTTGTGTGACAGAATATTGTTTTGTATTTTGACATGTACCTTTTACCTAGAAACGAAACAATTTAATATATCTTTAAACATCTCATAAAGCAAGGTAACAGTGGTCGTGTGGGTTAACGCACTCGACTACATGGGAAACATTGATGATAGACCGGGTTCGAATTCTGGCCAGACCGAAAATTATTTTCGGTCGGACATTTAGTGGCTGCTTAAGGTAAAGTGCAAATTAATAAAACAACAACAGCAAAAACACCTCACGCTATTAAAAGCGGGCGTTATAGATCATAACGCCCGCAAAAGTGGGCGTTATGGATCATAACGCCCGCTGGGCTTATAATGTCCTCAGGTTATTATAGGTATGTTAACGTGTTTCGTTTCCTAGGTAGTATGGATCTATAATAGTTAAGTAGAAAATAAATGATTTTTCGCTCCACTGTCAACAACAAAATATATATTACTTCTAGTGTTATATGACAAGGCCTTTTTCAAACAATCCTCTGATGATAAAAATGTTATATCTTCCTTCACCTGTTCATTACTTGTTTCCCGAACATTATTAGCATTATATCTGTGAAAAAAAATTCCCTTAAAACCTTCCCTATGACCAGAATGATAATTTTTTTGTTAATTTCCATTATATTCATTGTTTCTATACATATTTATTTTGTAGAAATTCTGGTGTTTTGTGCCCTGATTACACAAATGACACTTGAAAATTTCCACTCTGATTAACACCCTGAATTACTTCCAGGATTATTGTAATCATCTCTATTTCTCCATTCACCTCTTTTGTTATACTTTGACAGAAAAACAGTATTTGTTCCTTCCTCATTTTTTTTTTCAATTGTCCTTTTATAAGAAGTTTGTTTTTCGCAAAACTTAAGTCCGCTGCACTTTGATTCTGGCAAAACGTAATGTCTATTGCTGTTGTTATATTCTGGAAACACTCTGGCATAGCAGATATAGCAACTGTAAAATCACTTCCTTATCGTCTATATCTATGTCTACATCAAATTCTGTGAAAAAACGTTGCACTTGTATTCCTCTCGTATTCTTCAAACTTCGTAGTTGTTTCTGCAACATAACTTAATTTGATATACCTACCCCTTTTTGTGTAAGTACTTTCCAAGGTATCTATCATTTCCTTGGCATTAGTTTTAGTTTTAAGTGTGACAAAATCTAGAATAATAGAGAGTTATTGGACGTGCAATAAGGACAAGCCGTATTTAAATTAGCCTTATTTTGACATCTACGCATGCGCATTTGGCTCCCAAAAAAAAAAATCCCTCAATAAAGTTACTGCTTGTCTTTATTTGTGTATGGTTAGTGCGAGGCAGTAAACTTCCCTTATTTCAAATTTCTGACATTTTGGACGATTTTGACGTTTCGCTTTTCGACAATGACGTAATTTCACTTAGAAACTTTATTTTTTACAATTACAATTTCCATTTTACTGTGGGTTACATCAAAAAATGGGTATCAGCAGAAAATCATAAACAAAAATAAACACTTTTTGAGGCTGACATTTATAAACATAGCTATCAGCTGTCAAAATTATGAATACAAAATAAGGTAATGGGCGCGTTCTTTTATTCAGCAATGGATCCATCTGCTGTCAGCATTATGAAACAGACATTCCAATTTTCTATGAGCTAGACAAAGAAAGGCTGATTACCGATGGATCCACCGCTGAATAAAAGAAAGCGCCCAATACTCTAGCACCTACTACAGTCTTCCAATAACTGTTTTTTTTTTTTGGAAAAATAGTGCTAATGCACTAATAAAATAACGTAGATCCTTAATACTGCGAGGCAGTATTTAATAGTTCCAATAACTCTCTATTGTCAAAATAACGTAGGCGCTAATACTGCATGTCACTATTTGGGTTACCGATATCTCTCTATTATCTGCCAACTTTTGTACAATGAACAGTTCTGCCTTGATATTACTTTTCTTCCAGGTACCCTGTTGAGCATCCGAAGATTCTGGCATTGGAGTAGTTGAAAACATCCAAAACTCCCTAGTTGTTCCAATGGCAATTTAATTCTAAATTCCCAAATGGCAAATCGGCTTCCATTAAATGGTTTTACATACTTAGTATTAATTCTGTTTCTCAGCCATTTTTTTATTTCAAATTCCGTTTTGCAAATTCCGCAAAAAAAAAATCCTTTTTGTTTTTCTTTTTCTACTTTCTTGAATGTATACTATGTAGTTGACACACTGGAGACTGCACTGGTACTGGGCCCATAACCTATTAGATTTTATAGTGGAAGTACAATACAAAAACACACTACATTCTATTAATGCACTATTTCTTTATGATAGAAATACACGAGAGAAAAACCCAAAAACTTAATTTGATAACACGTCATGACATTACTGAATTTTCAGAATTGTACTGGTACCTATAATATGTGTGTAATATGTCAACTTGACATAATAATTCAATACCTTGAACATCGTGAGGTAAAATTTACCAAAACAAGCCTGGAAATCGAATTCACTCTACTAGAGCTGAAACTTGAATTAGAGATGCAAAAAAGATTCATTTCTGGCCCTGCTGAAGGATCCAACATTGAACTAGAGATTAATGAAACTCTGATATCTGATCATTCTACATAGTCTAGTAAAACTAGGCTAATTTTGAGGTGAACCTCAAACAAATTCGCTACAAGCTAATTTTTGCGTCATAGTGTTTCTTTTGAGGTTTTATATAACTGGCTAAAAATCCCAAAAAATCCGATAGGGGGGCGCAACCCCAAAACCACCCCCAAAGGTACATTTTTTAGGTTTGACGGATCGTGAGATGCTCCACACTCTGGTGCTCCAAACAACTGTTGTTTCACTGGAACGCACCCTATTTTAAGCTTCTTGTTTTTGATGCATCCATAAAGTTGCTGATACTTGAAAGGGCAGGAGAGAGAAAAAAACGAACGGTTCATTTGCGCGAAACTCTAAATGCACTGGAACGCCTATAAACAGCCCGGGGCGTTCTAGAGCAGCTCAGGAGTGCCTAAAGTCTGTTTTTTTTTAAAGATAATTCCCAAAAATCTAGTAACTATGTTGGCAACACAAGCCTTCTCTAGATAAAAAATTTGAAAGCATTGATAATTTTTCATTGTATTGCCATCATAATGTCATTTTGACTTTTATCTTTAAAAAAAATCAGACTTTAGTCGCTTTCCAGTGAAGCACTCCTGAGCTCCTCTAGACAAACATCCAAACTCCCTGGTTGTTCCCGCCCATAAATAAACTCCCCGGGCTGTTTATGGGCATTCCAGTGAATTAGAGTTTCGCGTAGCTGAACTGGCGGCTGATTCTCGAAACAAGGGAGCAGGGTTCCTATGAGAACAAATGCCTTATCCTTCTCAGTTCCATGCACAATCTCATATGAGCGAAAAAGTAAGAAAATCTGTTCTCGCATGAGAACCCTGTTCGCATGTTTCGAGAATCAGGCCCCTGTTCTTTTTCCTCTCTCCTGCCCTCTCAAGCACTTGCAATTTTATCGATACATCAAAAACACGACACCTAGGCTATGTTCCGATATCAACTGCCAGTACTGGATTCACTGTGCTGATTTTACTGTCATTTGCCGTTCCGATTTCAACAGCGTACTTTTGTAGTCTTTCAGTACTGAATCGACTGAATCCAGTGTAATATCGGAACGGCGTCCAGTAAATTCAGTACTGACAGTTGATATCGGAACATAGGCTTAAAGTAGGATGCGTTCCAGTGAAACAACCGTTGTTTAGAACACCAGAGTGTGAAGCTACTGGTGTGGAGCATCTTAGAATTCGTCACTGGAAAGCGACTCTGATCGCGTTGCTTCCCTCCCACCTGATTTCAACGCTGTTATTTGAGATGTATAAACAATTAATTATATCCTATTCAATTCACAATCTAGTCCAAAGGTACAGGTAAATTTATCATATTTCCCTATCAAATAGCATTGAAAGGTGATAAATTTTACCTGTACCTTTGGACATCGGATTGTAAATAGATAATACATAGTTTATTATACGCATATTTTCTCAAAGTTGACGAAATAACAAATGATTCATAACAAAAACGAAACATTTTATTGGTATTTGTCACTAAAATAAATAACTGTTAAGTTCTAAGGCCTGTATCAACACTAAAACTTCTTTAAATAATACAAATGGGTATACCATTGGATTCCAAATTTTGTACTCTACAAAAAACGCGCCTTGCACTTTTTTGTTTAAACTTACCGTTTTTGAGAAAATTCCAACAAACCTAAAAAATGTACCTTTGGGGTTGCGCCCCCTATCGAATTTTTTAGGATTTTTAACTCATTATATAAAACACTAAAAGGAACACAATGGCGCAAAAATCAGCTTGTAGCAAATTTGTTTAGGGTTGCCCACCTAGTTTTACTAGCCTAACAGTATAAAGAACTATTGAAAACTGAAAAATGAAGATATAATAATATAGCTGACACAATATTGGATAAAACCAACTTTCAAATTTGGTGGACACGAATGTTCGACCTGGCTTTATAAATAAAGGTTTAGCGGACACGGGAGTTTTTTTGAAATCGTACGTTAACGACTCATTAATGAGTAAATTGAATTGATAAAAATATCATAAACCCTTCTTTGATTATGCTTATCGTAGTAGTTGTAGGCTAAACAGCTCAGAAACTTGATTTTTCCACAATATATTATGGAAAAATGCCATGCAGGAATTAATAAAACTGGGAAATCAAATCAAAAATAGGTTTTATATTCACAATTTGTACAATTTTAAGGATTTTTAATATCACTAATATGGCAACTTTTTGGTGTCTCTATAATCTGATTTATGATTCAAATTTTGTTCTTTCAATTGCTTGCAATTGGTGCATAATTGCCGCAACGCGGAAATCCTTCGGGTACTTTTAGCATTTGCTTATTGTCGCCTACTTTGAATACTAGGGCCATGCCAACTTCAACGTGCATTTCCAAATGGCAATGGAATATCCAGAATCCTATATGGAAAAAAAAAAAACATTAATTTGATATCAATTTTGAAACTAGAAGAAATTTTCTATAATAATTGTCTATACAAAGTGTCAATTTGAAAGCGAATATCTCTAAAAGTGGAAAAGTTAGGAAAACGTAATTTGGTACAAATGTTATACAGCTAGGGGAAAATAGAACCAACCTATTTTGGTTATATTGACCCCCATGCACCTCAACCCCAATATTTCAAATAGCACTACCTAAGATTTAATATTTTTTGAAAAAAATCTTGTATATTATACTCAAAAATATTTAATTTTAGGTATCACAAAAGGGGTGGTGCCATTGAAACTTTTGAGGTTGGGGTGCATGGAATCCAAGAGGTCACTCACCTCGTAACCAAAATATGGTGGTTCTAGTTCCCCCTATCTGTATAACATTTGTACCAATATACGTTTTTCTAACTTCTTTACTTTCAGAGATATTCGCTTTGAAAGTTTTCAAATTGACACTCTGTTTATAGGTAAATTAATTAGATTGTTTCCATTTGGAATCGTTTTAACCAACCTGGATTTGTTGCGTGGAACCTCACGATCGTGTAACCACCGTCGGGCACAGTTACTGTATCCTTGTAAGGTGCATCCAAAAGATTCCTTTTAATTAAACCTTGGGCGTCGCGTTCTTTGACTTGAGCCACTGTGACATTTTCGCCGATTTTTTCCATTGCTACGACACGGAAGGCGTAGCCGTGGAGGTGAAGGGGATGATTTGCGTTGTAGGCGAAACCTTCGTCAATTATTACCAGTTCGACGACAGCGTCTAGAGGGATCTAGAAGAATTTTTGTTATTGTGTTAGGTTAAATTCCGGTTAAAATCTAAGATTTTGTTACTTTGCTAGTTGAAATTTAACATCTGATATCAGTTTTTGATGGCGTTTCCTTTAAAATATTTCTATCGTTCTTCTTAGTTCAGAAATTGACTATTCTAGGACTTGTAGCGGGCCCAAAGGGCACAGTACTATATTAGGTATGTTGAAAATTGAATCAGTCTTTAATCAATCCATTTGAGAACCCAGATATGCTTTTACACAGTATTAGTGAGAAAGTATTTGATATATCGTTGCCAGATCAACAAGTTCCTATTGATCCTAATACAAATGTCCCCAGTTAACTTAACAAAGTATGTTAAAGCCAGATTAAAGTTGAACAACTATTTTTCTCCAAAAGTCAACATGGAGTTTTTAGATTTTTAATTTCAGACAGGCAAAACAATCAGACGAAGAAACAATAATTGTTGAATATTATGCCAGACTCTTGAAGTTAAGTTTTAACTGTAACTTTTCTGATAAAGATCGAGAGGTAAAGTCTCAAGTTATACCAAGTTACCACATCAACTAAGTTGAGAAGATATGCACTCATAAAGAACCCATCTCTTGATTAAGTCAAAGCCCAAGGAAGGCATACTAGGCAACTAGGGTTCAGTTGAACGAAATGGAAAACAATATGACAGCTGAAAATGTGAACAAAGCAGAACAAATGGCATAGTAGAACACAACAGGAACAAGCCTTTAATTTACTTGAAAATCAGCTAAGTGATACCAATAGCTTGGCATATTTCGACTTTAAGAATTATGCAGATGCAGGTCCTTATGAAATTAGCTCATTCTTAGCTCAAGAAACACAAGATACTTGAACAATAATTTCTTTTTAACAGGAATTAGTAATGTTACTTTACCAAACTAGTAAAATAATGTAACAAGTTATTCAAGTACAAAATGAGTGAATTGTTGCGGAATTTATGGGTGGACCTCTGCGGGACGAGCGCAGCGAGTTCCGCAGCCATCTATTCATCAATATGTTGTTTAATTACGATACTACCTTGACTCACTCAAATGTGAATCATTCTCATTAGTTTAAAAACTACACGTTTCAGGTGAATGTCTCACTTGAACAGTTCAGTATAGTATATTGGTGAGTAGATGGTTGCGTGAGTAGATGGCTGCGGAACTCGCTGCGCTCGTCCCGCAGAGGTCCACCCATAAGTTCCGCAATAATCCACTTATTTGTACAAAGTGCTTTTTTTATACAGGGTGTCCTTAGATAAACTGACACATTTTGCAGGTAAATATCTCGAAAACGGGAAAAGATAATGAGATGCGGTTTGTTCTGGGAGCATAGAGATTTTTTTAAATTTCTCATGTAACTTGTACCATCTAGGAACTCCCTATACAGGACGCTCATTAATTTCACTCCCTATCATTTCAAATCTCCGTATGTATTTTCTTTCAGTAAACATTGTTAATAACCTACTTTATATTCTTTGTTTTTCTTTCATTTCCTCACTAAGATTTATCATTTGTTCAATAAACCATTGTTAAAGTTTAGTAAGAAAAACCGATTCTTTTATTTCCTTTGGAAAACCCCGAGCTAGCATTCCACCTAACTGCGTACAGCTCAGGTAGCAAGAACCCGCACTGGAAGAGGCAATCTAATCAGATTACTAAAAAGTATCCGGTCAAAGTTATCTGAGGAAAACCACCTATTTAGAATATTAGTTCTTCAAATCTTAATTTTTTAAAAAAATGTTTACTGAATAAAAGTAGATGTTGCAACCATGTATTGCACAGTGGAATTCATGAGAAGAAGAGCGCGCCATCAAATTTAGGGTACTGCGTTCGAGCCGTAGTACGAAGGGAAGGTAGAAGAGAATAGGCAACTAGACGCTAGACTGGAGAACAGACTGGTTCCTTTAAACGCGTGTCTGTAATTATTCATTATTCAATTTTCATCCCTATTTTGCATTAAAATTAATTGTTAAATCCAATTTGTTATTAGTGTGTGTGTCAAGGAGCGATCACCAGGTCAGTTAAATAATTATTATTTTGTTTTTGAGAGTTCAATTTACGCAAGTATTATTTTTTTTCCAATTTTTATGTTTTTTTGTTTGTTATAACAATTTTGTATAACATGTGCATTGTTTATGTATTTAACCAAAATCGTTTCATACAGTAAACAACACAGATAAAGAATAAATTAAAACCTAAGAAATTATGTGCTGTCTTTTTGTGCTGAGATTTTGATTTTGTGTATTCAGCGCGTGCATTAGAGCCTTGTTGAATTTACTAACATTTTCCTACCCTGACGAGAGAATATCCTAATAAATTGAAATAATCAATCTAGAGATATTGGCTCAAAAACAACTATAGCTGAGTAGCTTCCCGTATGGGACCTCAGTACCTGCTGGGAAACTAGCTAACTAACAAAAACTCTTCAGTATTGATTATAGGTAGTGTTGATTGAATGTAGTGTGTGTAATTAAAATTTTAGCGCAAGAACAGGGGCGGTACCTAGTTTCAACTTTTATTGAATTAATGACTCACAATTATTATTAAAATTACACAGTATGTTTCGATTTTAGGAGGAATGTTAAATCGAGGGTTTATCTGCCGTTCTCTTTCTCCTCGAGAATTCTAGGTCGAGAACGGTACGCTTTACTTTAATAATAAAGTAGATGTTTCACAAATTTTGCGTTTCTTTTACATATCACAACCAGGTGGCGGTGGTAAAACTACTAACATGCAGGGTATGAATGAGACAGATTTGTAACAAATTTTTATGGGTGGGAAATTCAAAATTCAATAATAAGCCAAAAACTGGCATATGGCCTGTGATATAGCCCAGTTACCTCGTGTCAGTTAACCAAGACGACCTTACTTGGAAATACCAGGGAATACGAAGGGAAACACTTGGAAATACTGTCCAAATTTGAGAAGTATTCCCAGAAACTGGAAATCACTGAAGGTTTTTTCGTTGGTGGTTGACCAGAACTTGCGCCTTATTTCAAACTGAAAGATGAAATAATAAGAGGACATCGAATAGTCTTGTCAACTACAGAAAACAAACTATGGAACTAGCACACAGGGGACATTTAGGTACCACCAAAAACAAACAGTTACTATAAACAAAAGTTTGGTTTCCAAATTTAGATGCTATAGGACACAAGTATTTCTAAAATCATGTCCTCCATATCAAGCTGTCACTGAAATCAATCCAGAGAAATCCTGTAATATCCAGTGCATTACCAGACTATCCGTTGCAGGACCTTTTCCTAACAGAAAGTATGTTTTTACTGCTGTTGACGAGTACTCAGGCTACCTCATAGTAGAAGTAGTTAACATAACATCTTTTGCACATCTGCAACCAATACTTCTAAACATGTTTACTAATTTGGGTTTTCCGAAGACTTTTAAATCCGACAATATGGTACCTACTCCTTTCAAAGGTTCTGAACTGAGAACATTTTTAAATAGCTATGGTGTTCAGCATAAAAAAAAATAATACCATACCATCTTCTTATTCTTATCATTGAATCTGACTTAAATATGACCTAACAACAGAAATAATCAACTTTTAGGCTAGTTACTTACCTGATAAACGTAAGGGCATTCGCAATAATTGTTGACACAATCCTTATCTTGTACAGTAGTTTCGTTACAGAACGTATCGTCTACAATTTCATCTCTTTGGCTCAACAACGAAAACGATGGCATTTCCATTGAAATGTGGTTTATTTGAGGAGTAAGCATTTGGTTAGCTGGAGTAACTGGAAAACAATATTGCCTTTATTTCCCTATGGATTAGAATATTCGATATTGTTGTATGGATATTATATTAAAGTTTGTTTTGCATACAAAAATAAGTTGCTACAAATACTTATGGATTATTTGAGCTAAAGTTACACTCAATTAGGTAACACCGAGTTACGTAAACTAGACCAATTTGAGGAGTATATAATTTTAAGGGTGTTATCAGGTGCGAATCGATCCACTTACCATTATAAAACTCGTAGCCGGGCCTGTGGAAGTGATAATTTTCCAGTTTGTAAAAATCGTAGCCAAGGAAAAGCTGGACATCGGGCTTGAACTCCAAACTGCGGTCCCATTTTTGCAAGGCCGACAATTCGGGCATACTGATGTGTGTTTTTTTGCCTTCTGTGCCTTCATTTAGAGAATTGATTTGCTTGAAAAACAAAATAGTTTAGCTTGGTTATATTATTTGAAAAGTAATAGTCTAATTACAATGCCTGGCTTATGAGAATCATTCCAATTAGGTTTGCTTGGAGGGAGAATGTCATCTTTCAGTTCAACAAAATCTTTTAAGAATCTTGAATTAGTTGTTATATCATCCTCACGTTTAGCTGGAAAGATTTCAAAATAAAATATCTAGCAATAGTTATTAATCCGTTTTGTTCTATTACCTGATCCTGTGTAGTACTCTAATACGGCAGCTTCATGGGCCATGTTATATCTTTCGTCGCAGTCCATCAAACCACGGAATCTGATCCAGTAAAGACTTTTCGGTTGGTCAGCAGTTAAAACGAAGTCAAATCTTTCTCCTGCGTAGGTCACAAGGGAGTCGGCTACAAAAATATTCAGAATAATTATGACTATCTTTGAATAGTAATGAAATGTATAACTGAGGAACTTAACCAGTCCTCTAATTATATCGGTGCAGGTTGACACAGTACAAAGACAGGAAAACGAATTGATTCTGGGTTTATTGGGAAAATATTATAAACTAGACAATCAGAGTTGCCGACTTTTGAATGTCCTCATAGGTGCAGGATAATAAATTTATAAATTTGTTAATAGGGGTGGGGGGAGGGGAGCACCTTGGCTCTGAAATAAATGGAGCCAATAAATTTGATTCTTCCACATCCAACTCCTTAAGGCAGCACAGTTTAAGAGCAGCTTACCAAGCGGGCCACATAATATGGGGTCAAGCAAATACTAAATACTGTTATAAACCAGTTTCCATCTCCTTTAAGTTGGGGCTGGTCAACGCGATTTAACGCTTGCACCGTTGTGGTCTGAGTTGCCTCCTGTCTGGTCTGCTTTAAAAGAACTTGACAGGTGTGGATGCAATAAACGGTGTGAAAGAATGCGTTGTTGTTGTAGGCGATATGGGCTACCATTTTGCTACCATGTACTCCAGCATGTAGAAAATGCAAAGGAGAATGCTGTAACTCTGACAAGATGTAAGTTTGGTAAACTATTCGTTTTTTATTGAAAATTTCAGGGTCGAAGAGGCAGCAGAATCAGAAGAAACTTAAAAATTTCACTTTTCTTTTATCCTATATACCTAAGTGTCAGAAATAAAAAGAAAGTAGGTATTTAATATCCTTAATTTGTCCATCCACAATCCATATCCATCAAGGTATTCCGTAAATAAATTTTACTTTCGAGAATGGCAACCATTATGAAATTTTTGGGGATACCAACTGAAAAATATTTGGAATAATACTAAAACATTTAGGTGGAGATACAGCGTACAAGTGTCAACTTCTACGATGCGATGGCAATAGTCCCTGTGGTTTTGAGATACAGCCCACAGTTTCCAAAAAAGCGATACAATGTTGTTGTTTTTGTTTCTTTATTCTTGTTTTTGGTAAATTTTTACAAATAGATTAAAAATTGTGTCAAAAATGAATATATTAGATTGGTGCAGATCCCCTTAGATAAGCTACGCCCCTGACCTGCTCCTTCGAAGTTTTTTTTGGGTATACTCAGGATGCCACATAATATCATAAGATATTGTTATTTAACTAAAAAAGGTCCCAAAATATTCTACAATTTTTCTTATACTAGCAAATTTAACAAAATTTTGCTTTAAAATCGAAATTTGACCGCCATTTTGATAATTTTAACGTTATAAAAAAAATATTATTCAAATTGACTTCAGCGATATCAAATCAATATAAAATGACATATTACTCGCCCGCATTGGTTATTATTTAATTTATTTGCAAATTCAACCCCCTTAGAGTATACTCCGCCCCTGAGCTGCACCATAGGGGTATTTTTTTTGAGTACTGCGGGAAAAATCTCTTAATTTGACCTATTTAAGCTGCCCACCAAGTTTCATGTTTTTAACAAAATTCGCAGGGTTTTGGCCAGAATTGTCGTTAACCGCTAGGACTAATTTGTCTATTGTGAAATGAAATACATTTAACACTTTCTGAAATACATTTGACACTTTCTGAAATACAATTGGAAAAAGTGTAGTGTAGTTGGTGTGATGAATCTTATATGACACAACTCAAATACTAGAAAAATGGTTACATAAAAACGGCATAACCAAACGTTTGTAAATAAATTTGAATTAAATGATATTGATACCACCACACGGAACGGAATGACGCATTGAATACGTTTGTACTTCCGCATTCATCAGTAGAGCTCCCATGGGTGCTCCGCACCCATGAGAGGTTGCTCATGGGTGCACCTGCCCCTCAGAACCTGCCCCAATGTCCCCCTATGTAGTTGGCGCCAGTGTTGATAATCATAAATAGTATAATTGACAACTACCATGCTAGGTAATCACTTTATATATAGAAAATGAAACGGGTAACGGACTATTCACCTTACAACTAAATTGAATAATAATTGTTCTTTTCGAGTAAAACTGAAATGTTAAAATTTTTGAAACAATTCTCACCTTTAACTGGTTTTACGTCAGCTCCATCACTACTAATCACTTCCATTGTATGATTATCAACCGACATTTCAATGGGACAATTTAAATATCCTGCGTTTATCACTCTAAAACGATACCTGTAGCCCTAAAACAACAATTTTTAACTTCATGACATATTCTACCTGAAAATATTCTTACTTGGTCTACTGGAAATCTTGCCAATGGTGTATATATAGTTTTATTCTCATGAACAAACTCCTTTTGACTGCCCATACCGTTAATCAAAAGCGTAGCAGGCTTATTATTACCAATACTATGACTGTGATACAAAAACTTTTCCACTGCAGATATTCCTTCCCAGTCGATCAACATCATGGTGTGTATAGGAAGATCGTAATCGTAAACAGGCGCAAGTGCGTTACTTTCTTCGGGTACTCGCACTACAAGTGGACCGTAACAACCATCGACCCTTTGCATACCTATATGTGAGTGCCAGAAATGGGTGCCGGCATAGGTAGCATTGAAATTATACGTGAAAGAAGTTTTGGGTGGAATTGGACATTGGGTCACGTAAGGGACTCCGTCCATGTAGGGTGTGGCTTCTTGATGTTGGCCGTGCCAATGGATGGTGGTACTTTCCGTCATCAAGTGGTTCTCGACTTTGACGATTATTTGATCGCCTAGACACACCTGAAATTGTTCAATTAATCATAAGATTCTACTTTGTAGAGAATTCTTACTTCAATAGAAGGTCCAGGTATTTGCCTGTTTACAGAAACTAGGGCTCGATCGTGTCCGTCTGCTGCTATGCAATCTTTCTTGAAGCAATCGGTACGGTTAGATGGACAATCGTGGCACGCTTTGGACATGGTGTAGTAGTTTTCTACTTCGAAGTTGTAGTGGCACACCATGGACTCACCCTGGATACATTTTCGGGTGCATGGGTGTGGTTCATCGAGAAGAACGTAGTCGGATTTTTTGGTTGCTGATGTTTGACCTAAATAATTGAATCATAATGTAAAAAAATAGCCAACTACGCGACAATGCTGATGTAACAAAATCAATAGTAGGTAAATCTCATCTTTCCTGGGAAAAGTTTTATTTTTATAGATATTGACCCTAATAGATTTACTGGTAAAAATCACTTGAAAGCCAAAAAAGTATCGAATTTTCTAGCTTCAAGATTATTTTGCTTAACCCGAAATTCACAAATATATAGGCAAAATTTATGTTTTCCTAGATAAACACTAAACTTTAAAGTAATCTGTCGACTGAACCAGATCCCACGTGGTTATAATAATTTATTAAAAGTCAAGGATAATCTTCTAAATACCTACGTTTTATGACGCACCCAGATGTCAGGTAACTGATACCGTTGCTGAAAAAAAATTATATTCGAAGCATGTGTGTGTGGAGCGAAGCAATGATTACATGAACTGGATTTTTAAGATACAATAACAAATTGTATAGCAATATAATTATCAAGGGTTATTACTTAGGTGAAATGTCAATTGTAAGATAGTCAAGGTTAAGATAGGAGTGATTACTCAATTATTTTATTATTAGAGGATAGTTTAATTCATTTCACACCTTTGATATTTAGGTTAGAAATTAGGAAATAAGAATAGCATAGGTAATTAGAAAAGGGAGAGGTTTTCAATTAAAAAGGAAAACATTAAATGTTCAATTAATAATTTGACCACCATGTAACTAGTGAATTCTGTTCGAGAGCCATCAAACTGAGTCACAGGGTGGAGCAATTTGAATGGGGATGGTTGAATAACCTTGAGAATTAATGGGAACACCACAAGAAACCAGAGGGTACTCTCAGCGAATCGCTGAACTCACTCTCAGTCTTTTAAGTCACTCTGCCAGTATAGAATCTGCTCGTGGGTTAAACTTTCTTCTTATGAATAAACATTCATTTATCTCACTTAATGTATAAATAACTATTAATTTTTTAAAATTAGTCTTTCCTTTTCTAGTTTTAAAATTCCCTTCAAAACACTGGTGGTGGCATAGAAAGGTCTTACGTGCCAGTTTGTGCGGTTAAAAATGCTTGCAGCTTCAGCAGAAAAGTGGTAAGTGGTACTAATTTTACTAATAAATCTCTAATAACAATTTTCAATAACCACTCCAAGAAGAGAAGAAAGAAGATTTCGTCCAGATTACCTCCGGTTCAGAAAATTGTCATTTACTGCTTCAGATCAAATTTACTTTTCATCATAATTTATCATGAAATTTTAATATGTAACAAAATTATTCACGCTACCAAAATATCAATCCAATTTTGTCACACTACACATGAAAGTTAAGCTAAATTCTATTTTGATTTTATTTATTCTTAAATGTTTTAAACTTGACGAATACCTACTATTGACTATTCCAAGAAAGTTCTTTTATAATAGTAATTATAATTAAAAACTTAAAAGAAAAGAACTTTCTTAGAATAGTCAAGTGTTAAAGAACTTATTGGCTTGACTTTGAATTCACTTTAATGCTGGTTAAGAAGGAGAAATTTTATATTTTTTTCCCACAGGGGTTTTGCCATAGGATAGGTAATTCTTTGGAAATTCCTTAGGGAGAAAAAATATTGAAGAAACTATTCCAAATTTCAATGAAGGAAAAATACAGGTGGAGAGAAAACAATATGATGAATCAATTTCTACAATTCGTGAAGTATAAAAAGATTCTTTAATAAATCCCGAACAGGAAGAACAAATACCTACTAAGAAGTAATGAAAAATAATTTTTGGAACCACTTCAATATAAGTCTTAAGGAGAAGAAAAAATAGGTACCATGAAGAGAGAAAGAATTTTAAAGTAACTTGAACAAATCATGATACATATAAAGAAAAAACTAACATGGACAAAATTGATATTTAACGTTGATGGAAAGTTTTTATTTTTTCTAGATACCAGCAAATAATGTTTACCATTGAGAACATCGTAATGAATAAGACAATTTGTTTTTGATGGTATAAAATTATTTTACTCACCGTCATTTAGTTTAAAAGCTGTTACAGTCCATAATAAGTGTAACGACACAAAAACTATCGCAAAGTTCTTCATGATGGCATGCAAAAAAAATACCTCTTTGCAGGTACTAATTTTGATGACCAAAAATTATCGATTAAAACTCTTACCTCATTATATAGCAAATTATATAAGTACCAATTCCTTGTCATGCAGTTTTCTTTTTTTTTTAAATAATTTTATCATAAAATTTAATTGGAGTGGTTTGTTTGCAATTTTTATGATAAAATCTTTAGTAAAGTCAAAGTCTGTAAAGATAACGTCTTTTTCCTATAGTCATTTTACGAGTGCCTAATTTTTAGCGATGATTAAACTTATATAATTTTAGAGAAAAAGTCAAAAAACTCTCGATTATTGTTATAATCGCCAAATTTATGAGTGTTAGTCAAACAAAGCTACTTGACTTAGAAAAAATGTGATAATTATAAATGATTAAGTTGCTATTGCAAATTTTGCACCATCAGAAAATCAAGTTTGGTCAAAATCAATTGAAGAAGTTCTGAAAGTATTTACGTTTTCAATCAGCAATTTATTATATGCATGTGTGATTTACGTAGCCCGTTCATTAAAAGTTTTCCAGATTGCAGGTGGATTAGTAGAGATAGCATCTAATCCACCAGTAATTTGATGCACGAGCCACGTAAATCACCCTGTATAATTATTAATTGATGCCAAATTAGTAATTTTTGACCAAAAAACACAAAAATAGACAGAAGAAATTTAAGAAAAATTGAGAAACATAATTTTTTTTTTTCAAATCAATCATACAATCATTCCCTCTGAATGTTCACCAAAGTTGATTTTTGGGATCTTATCCAATTTTGAATTGATCGGCTTGAAATTTTGATGCAAGATCCTCCTAAGCTTCTTCTTTAGACTTAGAAAATTTCAAATTACTATCATTATCGGATTTTGAGATAAAAATTCAAATGTCTCATGATTCATTTTTTTCCTTTGAATGTTTACCAAAGTTGATTTTTGGGATCTTTTCCAATTTTGAATTGATCAGCTTGAAATTTTGGTGAAAGATCCTCCTAACTTTCTTCTTTAGACTCAGAAAATTTCAAACTACTATCATTATCGGATTTTGAGATAAAAATTCAAATGTCTCATGATGCATTTTCCCTTTGAATGTTTACTAAAGTTGATTTTTGGGATCCTTCCAAATTTTGAATTCATCGGCTTGAAATTTTGGTGAAAGATCCTCCTAACTTTCTTCTTTAGACTTAGAAAATTTCAAACTATTATCATTATCGGATTTTGAGATAAAAATTCAAATGTCTCATAATTCCCTTTGAATGTTTACTAAAGCTGATTTTTGGGATCTTTTCCAATTTTGAATTGATCGGCTTGAAGTTTTGGTGAAAGATCCTCCTAAGCTTCTTCTTTAGACTCAGGAAATTTTAAATTACTATCATTATCGGATTTTGAGATAAAAATTCAAATGTCTCATAATGCATTTTTTCCCTTTGAATGTTTACTAAAGTTGATTTTTTAAATATTTTCCAATTTTGAATCAATCGGCTTGAAATTTTGATGCAAGATCCTCCTAAGCTTCTTCTTTAGACTCAGAAAATTTCAAATTACTACCAATATTGGATTTCCAGATAAAAATTCAAATGTCTCATCATGATTCATTTTTTCCCTTTGAATGTTTATCAAAGTTGATTTTTGAAATCTTTTGCAATTTTGAATCAATCAGCTTGAAATTTTGGTGAAAGATCCTCCTAACCTTCTTCTTTAGACTAAGAAAATTTCAAATTACTATCATTATCGGATTTTGAGATAAAAATTCAAATGTCTCATAATGCATTCTTTCCCTTTGAATATTTACTAAAGTTGTTTTTTGGGATCTTTTCCAATTTTGAATCGATCAGCTTGAAATTTTGGTGAAAAATCCTCCTAACCTTCTTCTTTAGACTCAGAAAATTTCGAATTAGTATCATTATCGGATTTTGAGATAAAAATTCAAATGTCTCATAATGCATTTTTTCCCTTTGAATGTTTACTAACGTTGATTTTTTAAATCTTTTCCAATTTTGAATTGATCGGCTTGAAATTTTGGTGCAAGATCCTCCTAACTTTCTTCTTTGGATTCAGAAAACTTCAAATTTTTATCATTATCGGATTTTGAGATAAAAATTCAAATGTCTCATGATGCATTTTTTCCTTTGAATGTTTACTAAAGTTGATTTTTGGGATCTTTTCCAATTTTGAATTGATCAGCTTGTAATTTTGGTGAAGGATCCTCCTAATCTTCTTCTTTAGACTCAGAAAATTTCAAATTACTATTATTATTGGATTTTCAGATAAAAATTCAAATGTCTGATAATGTATTTTTTCCCTTTGAATGTTTACTAAAGTTGATTTTTTAAATATTTTCCAATTTTGAATCGATCAGCTTGAAATTTTGATGCAAGATCCTTCTGGACTCAGAAAATTTCAAATTACTATTATTCTTAATTGGATTTTGAGATAAAAACTCAAATGTCTCATGATGCATTTTTTCCCTTTGAATGTTTTGGGATCTTTTCCAATTTTGAATTGATCGGCTTGAAATTTTGGTGAAAGATCCTCCTTACCTTCTTCTTTAGACTCAGAAAATTTCAAACTACTATCTTTATCGAATTTTGAGATAAAATTTCAAATGTCTCATTTCCCTTTGAATGTTTACTAAGATGATTTTTGGGATCTTTTCCAATTTTGAATTGATCAGCTTGAAATTTCGGTGAAAGATTCTCCTAACCTTCTTCTTTAGACTCAGAAAATTTCAAATTACTATCATTATTGGATTTTCAGATAAAAATTCAAATGTCTGATAATGTATTTTTTCCCTTTGAATGTTTACTAAAGTTGATTTTTTAAATATTTTCCAATTTTGAATCGATCAGCTTGAAATTTTGATGCAAGATCCTTCTGGACTCAGAAAATTTCAAATTACTATTATTCTTAATTGGATTTTGAGATAAAAACTCAAATGTCTCATGATGCATTTTTTCCCTTTGAATGTTTTGGGATCTTTTCCAATTTTGAATTGATCGGCTTGAAATTTTGGTGAAAGATTCTCCTAACCTTCTTCTTTAGACTCAGAAAATTTCAAATTACTATCATTATTGGATTTTCAGATAAAAATTCAAATGTCTCATGATGCATTTTTTCCTTTTGAATGTTTACTGAAGTTGATTTTTGGGATCTTTTCCAATTTTGAATTGATTGGGTTAGAGTTTTGGTGAAAGATCCGTCTAACCTTCTTCTTTAGACTCAGCAAATTCATATTACTATCATTATTGGATTTTGAGATAAAAATTCAAATGTCTCATGATGCATTTTTCCTTTTGAATCTTTACCAAAGTTGATTTTTGAAATCTTTTCCAATTTTGAATCGATAAGCTTGAAGTTTCGGTGAAAAATTCTCCTAACCTTCTTCTTTAGACTCAGAAAATTTCAAACTACTATCTTTATCGGATTTTCAGATAAAAATTCAAATGTCTCATAATGCATTTTTTCCCTTTGAATGTTTACTAAAATTGATTTTTGGGATCTTTTCCAATTTTGAATTGATCAGCTTGAAATTTTGGTAAGAGATCCGCCTAACCTTCTTCTTTAGACTCAGAAAATTTCAAATTACTATGATTAATGGATTTTCAGATAAAAATTCAAATGTCTCATAATGCATTCTTTCCCTTTGAATATTTACTAAAGTTGATTTTTGGGATCTTTTCCAATTTTGAATAGATCAGCTTGAAATTTTGGTGAAAATTCCTCCTAACCTTCTTCTTTAGACTCACAAAATTTCGAATTAGTATCATTATCGGATTTTGAGATAAAAATTCAAATGTCTCATAATGCATTCTTTCCCTTTGAATATTTACTAAAGTTGTTTTTTGGGATCTTTTCCAATTTTGAATCGATCAGCTTGAAATTTTGGTGAAAAATCCTCCTAACCTTCTTCTTTAGACTCAGAAAATTTTGAATTAGTATCAATATCGGATTTTGAGATAAAAATTCAAATGTCTCATAATGCATTTTATCTCTTTGAATGTTTACCAAAGTTGATTTTTTAAATCTTTTCCAATTTTGAATTGATCGGCTTGAAATTTTGGTGCAAGATCCTCCTAACTTTCTTCTTTGGATTCAGAAAACTTCAAATTTTTATCATTATCGGATTTTGAGATAAAAATTCAAATATCTCATGATGCATTTTTTCCTTTGAATGTTTACCTAAGTTGAGTTTTGGGATCTTTTCCAATTTTGAATTGTTCAGCTTGAAATTTTGTTGAAGGATCCTCCTAATCTTCTTCTTTACACTCAGAAAATTTCAAATTACTATCATTATTGGATTTTCGGATAAAAATTCAAATGTCTCATAATGCATTCTTTCCCTTCGAATGTTTACTAAAGTTGATTTTTGAGATCTTCTCCAATTTTGAATTGATTGGCTTGAAATTTTGGTGCAGGATCCTCCTAAGCTTCTTCTTTAGACTCAGAAAATTTCAAATTACTATTATTATTGGATTTTCAGATAAAAATTCAAATGTCTCATAATGTATTTTTTCCCTTTGAATGTTTACTAAAGTTGATTTTTTAAATATTTTCCAATTTTGAATCGATCAGCTTGAAATTTTGATGCAAGATCCTTCTGGACTCAGAAAATTTCAAATTACTATTATTCTTTATTGGATTTTGAGATAAAAACTCAAATGTCTCATGATGCATTTTTTCCCTTTGAATGTTTTGGGATCTTTTCCAATTTTGAATTGATCGGCTTGAAATTTTGGTGAAAGATCCTCCTAACCTTCTTCTTTAGACTCAGAAAATTTCAAACTACTATCTTTATCGAATTTTGAGATAAAAATTCAAATGTCTCATGATGCATTTTTCCCTTTGAATGTTTACCAAAGTTGATTTTTGAAATCTTTTCCAATTTTGATTCGATTGACATAAAATTTTGGTGCAAGATCCTCTTAAGCTTCTTCTTTAGAATTAGGAAAATTTCAAATTACTATCATTATCGGATTTTGAGTTAAAAATTCAAATGTCTCATAATGCCCTTTGAATGTTTACTAAAGCTGATTTTTGGTATCTTTTCTTATTTTAAATTGATCGGCTTGAAATTTTGGTGAAATATCCTCTTAACCTTCTTCTTTAGACTCAGAAAATTTCAAACTATTATCATTATCGGATTTTGAGATAAAAATTAAAATGTCTCATAATGCATTCTTTCCCTTTGAATGTTTACTAAAGTTGATTTTTGGGATCTTTTCCAATTTTGAATCGATCGGCTTGAAATTTAAGTGCAAGATCCTCCTAACCTTCTTCTTTAGAATTAGAAAATTTCAAATTAATATCATTATCGGATTTTGAGCTAATGCTTGTCGTTCCGTGGTTGTGTAGTTCATCTCCGCTGAGTTGAGGAGACAGCTAGCGTATTCAATGGGTCTTTCATCATGATTCTCTCCCTGGAGTAAAGCTGTTCCGATTACATAATTTCTATCTACTTGTCTAAGGACTGGAGCGGTAGTCAGTGCTTGCTTAAGAAAGCGAAAAGCCTGTTGTTCGGGTTCACTCTAGGTCCATTTTGAATTTTTCTTAGTTAAGCTTAGCAATTTCCAAGAAATTTGGTACAAACTTGCGATACCAGGAGCAGGTTTGAATGAAGGAGCGCAGTTCCTTTAGGTTTCTGGGACTGAGAAGATATTTAATAGCTGAACTCATGAGAATGCCGTCAACTGTTAGAACGTGTCCAAGATACTTGATATTAGTAGCGGCAAAAATACATTTCTTTCAGTTGGGTCTCAGCCTGAACTTTAGGAGCCTCTCAAATACTCAACAACGTGTTCCTGAAACGATTCAGATAATACCAGCAGGTCATCCAAATAGCCGAGTACCACAACATTAAGGCCGCATTTGAATTTTTGAAATACGGCCGGAACTTTCTTCAGCCCGAATGGCATTCTTTTAAATCTGAACAAACCGAAAGGTGTGATAAAGGTTGTTTTATCTCGAGTGGTATAAAAAGTACTATTGTCAAAAATAGGTAAGGAAGCACTATTGCCAAATGTTTGTTGGAATTCTGCATTGTTTAATAAAACCCTGCTCTTGCTTACAACTCTATGGAATTTGACACCTAAAATTGCAAAGGAGAATGGTCACACTCACATCATAGTCAACAAAAGCACTAATCTGTTTATAACGGCGGGTACGAGTGAAGAAATTTATTTATGCCTCGATTTATGCACTATTCCTGTGAATTTTGGTAGAAGCATTAGGACAGCATAAAAATCAACAATACATTTCGGAAAAGCTTGCCAGTTTCTGTGGGATTCATTTTCCAGACACTTATATCGCAAATTTACTGCTCTAAGTTCAGAATTTTCCGGCCCCACGTTGGGCGCCAGTGTAACAAAGTGATGTTTACACAAGCTTTTCAGAAATCTTAAAACTTTATTTAAGGGGAAGTTAATAGCGAAAGCTACAGCTATCTCAATGTTTGGTTTGGTTGTACAATTATTTGAATTTCTTGTTTATTATACATACACCTATTTACTTGATTGATTTGTTCCCTGAAAAATGAAACCAAATTGTACATTCAATATGTTTTATTCAATAAGAGGAAACTTAGAAACTGATAAATTATAGGTATTTATAAATTTGAAAAGTAAGTAGGTACTTAAGCACCTGTGACTATTCACTTTTAACAACTTGTTTATAATAATTATTACAAATCATTATTACTATTTTTTTAAATTTTTTCCATAGCAATTGTTGGAACTATTATCAAAAATGTTCCATTTTGATATGGCTAAACATGTGATAAATGATTATTTATTTTTGACAATGTTTACTTACTTTAAATGCAGCATAATACAAGTAAGTACGACGTCCTTGTTATCTCAATTTTCTCTGAAATAGAGCTCTACTATACTGGGTGTAAAAAAAAATAGTGTACCAGACTTCGAGAAGTGATACTACATATGAAAATAAGAAAAAAAGTTCCTATTAATATATGCCCTAAGATGCTCCTTGAAAAAATTACAACAGCCCTTCAAACTGTAGATAAAAATAATAGATTTCCATTTATTTTCAAAAACAGTGGCAAACTATTTTCCTTGAAATTTGGTATTCTCGCATACATTTCGGTGATAGTAAAAAAAGTCGTAACAGTTCTGAAATGATAGTTTCCATAAGGGTAGAGGGTAGATACTCACAAAACAAAAGAGCATCTTAGAGCATATGTTCATAGGAACTTTTTTTAATATTTTCATATGTAGTATCATCCCTCGAAGTCCGGTAAACTATTTTTTTTACACCCTGAACTGTAGGTAGACACTAAACACAAAAAGGTAAATATTTGCAAATACAATGAATAAAACAGAAGCGAATGCTTTTGCTTAAGTATTTTAAGATAAACATATTCAGCAAAAAGAGACGGAGGTAGAGTAAAAGCATTTGCTACACTTTATTCATACGACTGAATATTTCAAAGAAACAGAAAATCCAAAATAAATGCAATTAATTTATTAATAAACTTTTTACATAAATAATCACAGTCTTATATATCACAATTATTATGTTATTTAAAGCTTAAAATTATTATACATAATATAGTTCACAATCTAAGACACAAGAGCGGCAATACCTCAATAAATAACGTACAATATATTATCTACAACTTTACACTATCCTATAAAGAGCTATTTAAAATAGAAAAATGAAGATGTTTTGAAGGTTTTTGTATTATTTTGTTTCCAGCCTTTAAACATGTTTGTTCTTATTAACAACTAATACTAAAACAGATATGACAATTAGGAAGCTACTATGTAAAGTTGTCTTACCCGAAGAAGTTGGAACATCTTCGCAATAATCACCAAATATAAGTTTTTCGAATCTATTTAAAAGGGCACTTCTGCTGCAATCTGGTTTGTCGCTAGTTTGATTTTGAGTTGTGGATTCCTACAAATTTCCATCATAATTAAATTGATTTTGGTCACAAACCTTAAAAAGTAATTTTGAAACCATTCATGCTTTATAGTATTCTACACATGAGATTTTTCACTGTATGAGTGTGAAGGTACCTACTATGATGCATCAAAGTTTTTATCACAAATTTTATCATTTATGGAAGATCAAAGTTGAAAAGAAAATCATAAATCCCTTTCTGAGAATGGCTATATTGTGGAAAAATGCATGCTCGGATTAAAAAATCTGGGCTAACTAAATTTTAAGTGGTTTTATTAAATTCATAATTATTGTGTACAAAATTATGGATTTTCAATATCACAAAATAATATGGCAATTTTATTCGGCTTCTCTTTATAATCTGGCCTATTACGCCACAGTCCCAATAGATGAAAATCGTTTTCTCTTACTTACAATTGGTATATAATTGCCGCAACGTGGAAATCCTACAGGTACTTTTGGCATTTGGCTATTTTCGCCCACTTTAAATATCAGGGCCATGCCGATTTCAGCGTGCATTTCCAAATGGCAATGGAATATCCAATATCCTGGAAAAATTATTGTTCCAATAAAAAGTATTTCCGATTGATAAAACAAAAAACTTTTCCTCAATTCCGATACACTTGAAAAACTACTTCGAAAATTGTTATGAAAACATTATTGTGTAAAAGTTTCAAGTTTTGATTTTAGTTTGAAATTGTTTTTAACCCACCTGGATTTGTTGCGTGGAACCTCACAACAGTGTAACCTCCATCAGGCACGTTAACAGTATCTTTAACAGGAGGATCGAAAAGGTTTCTTTTAATTTGGCCCTTTCTGTCGCGTTGTTTGACTTGAGCCACTGTGACGTTGTCGCCGACTTTTTCCATTGCAACGACACGGAAGGCATAGCCATGGAGATGTAGGGGATGATTGGCGTCGTAAGTAAAACCTTCGTCTATTATTATCAGTTCGACGACAGCATTTAGAGGGATCTAGAATAATATTTGTTGATCAATTAGCATTTATTGTATCCATAAGAAGAAGCAAAAAATTCTTATAATTAGGACTAGAGAAAAACTTTATAGGGAAATTGCAACTTTTCATAAAATTTTCTTCGGTAGAATTGTCGACGTCCCTCTAGTTCAAAAATTGATTATTCTAGGACCTGTGACGAGCCCGAAGGGCTCGGTACTATAAGATTCTGGAATGTTCTAAAGTAGTGTTATATGAACGTAGCTGGTGAGTTTTTAAGACCAAATGGTATCCAAAATCCTCAAATTACAGACTAATCTTAGAGACAGTTCATCATATCACAAATGAGCTTTTTGAGACTCCTCTGTCTCAACTTTAACTTTCAAAATTGTAGGGTCTGTAATTTGGTTATGGCTGTAATAGAGCCTGGAATAGGATTTGTATGCTTCTACAGTATACAATTCATCAGTTATCGAAGATTCAATGTTAGCACTTTTACAGTTCAATTTCAGCTCTAACAGGCTGAGATTTTGAAATTGCTCTGGATCAACATAAAATTCCAGAAATCAGTACCTATACTTCAATCATACTACTTTTCTAGTTCAATGTAATTCTAGTAAAGCCGGGAATAGGATTTCAATGCTTCTCTAGTTCGCATTTTAACGCTCAAAGTGAATTTTGATTCAGTACCTCAGCTCTAACAGATTCAAAACTGCCCTGGTTCGATTTCAACTTGATAATGTTCGATAGAGTCCGAAATAGGATTTATTTGCTTTTTCAGTATAAATTCCAGCGAGCCAAGAATGAAGAATGTGATCTTTATTTATTTTTTTCATTTCAATCAGCTTGTAAGAGCTGATACAAGGTTAACTAATTGAATTTTGACATTGAAAAGTTCAACTCTATTTTTGGAATCAGTCCTTCACAATTCTATAGTTTAATTTTTTTCTAGAACCGAATTTTCGTAACGAACTACTTCCATGAATACTTAAATACTTTCCGTTCGCAAAAAAAAATGATATATAAATCGAACTTAAAAATAAGGTAGCCTTGTCTTACGCGGACGACAAACGCTACGTTATACATGGTGCAGAATTGTATAAGAAAACATCGGAAATTCTCGAGACTGATTAAGGTAGCTTTCGCTTCAATCACTTTCGGTATAACGGTAAATGAGAGAATACTTTTGGTTATAGTTCAAGATTTTCATGTTAAGACTCCATAGAGAAATCATAGAGATACATAAACACCACACTCACAAACGCTTTCGCGAGAAATTCATGACGTTATATTAAATGTAGTTTAATGGAAGCATGGACGCTTCTAGCGAGCGTTAAAACCGAGGTTCAAACTCTTGACCAATGCATTGCCGCTGTCGCGGTTTTTACCAAAGTAGGGGAAGTTGTGACATCACAGATCAGCTGATTTGCTTTTGGTATTTACCACTTATAACCGATTATAACCTAGCTTTGGACTTGGGTTAATCTTTTGGTTACAGCTTTTTGATATTATTGTATTTATTTTGGGGATTGATTGGTATTGGTGTTTTGTGATTTTGCAGTTGTGTTGTGGCCTAGAAGTATACACTCACTGCAATGACGTCACACTTGGCTGTCAAATTTATCAACCAAAAGAATAACCACGGTATTTACCGATAAATAATCATTCCAGGCTGAAAATCGCCTTAAGGTGTATCTGGTTTCGGAGGAGTGACTCCTGCGAGTCGTAAATGCTTTTACGAGACACTCAAACTACTGATCATTGAGTACAGTTCACATAGAGCAGTTTGAGAAGCTCAATTAAACTAAAATTCAACTGATAACTGATATGAATAAAAATCCAATTCCAGGCTCTCCTAGAGTAGTGAACTTCAATTTCTAACTATTCTATTGTTAATTGGCTATGGACATTTGAAACGTCAATTTTGGCCCCTCAAACTACGATTTCTGATCATTATAAAATTACAGTTCAAATAAAGTAGTTGTAGTAGCTCATTTTGCACCCTGATAGAGTTGAAATTCAACTGAAGATAAAAAACTTATCAAATTTAATGCTAAAATTGTCAGAAATTGAAGTTACTACTTAGTGGCCGTTTGCAGCGACTATTTTAAAGAAGCCTTAGCGATAAGTAGTCCTTAAAATGACATTTTTTACATAGAGAATTGTCATTTTAAAGAATACCTACTATCTCAAAATGGTCGGTGCAAACATTCATAAGAGAGCCAGGCCAACATTAAATTTGAGCTATGGTAGTTTGAAATGACAGTTTTCGCTCTCAAACTACGAGTTCTGGTCATTTTTAAGTTACAGTTCGAATAGAGCTTATTTTGCACCTTGATTGAGCTAAATTCAACTGAGATGAATAAAAATCCTATTTCAAGCTCTCTTAGAGCCTGAAATGGAAATCCAATTTCTGATAATTCTAGAGTTGAATTTGGTACAGATAGAGCAGTTTGGGAAGCTCATCTTGCACCCTGATTGAGCTGAAATTCAACTGACATGGATAAAAATCCTATTCCAGACTGTTCTAGACTATTAAACTCTAATTCCTGACAATTCTAGTGTTAAATTTGAGTAAATTTTGGCCCTCAAACTACAATTTCTGTTCATTTCAAAGTTACAGTTGAAATAGAGCAGTTTGAGAAGCTCATTTTGCATCCTGATTGAGCTGAAATTGAACTCAGATGAATAAAATTCCTAATTAGAATCAGTCTTTCACAATTCTCTAGTTCAAGAATTGAACTAATTATTATTCTCTCGTGTGATTTTACTCTAGTTCAAATTTTAGCGCTTGGAGAGCCAAGGAATCGAATTTTCACGCTTTCTTGATTGTTTCAGTTCTAACAGATTCAAAAATAAGTTTCTGGAATTGCTCTGGCACGCCTCTAATTCAAGATTGGTCATGTCGTTTTGACTCTAAGAGACCCAAATAAGATTTTTATGATTCTTCAGTAAGTACATATTTTAACTCTCAAAAGCCAGGAATATAATTATTTTTGCACTTTTCCAGTTCAATTTCAGCTCTAAGAGGTTGAAACATTGGATTTTGAAATTGGTCTGGCTCAACTTTATCTTTAAAATCGTCCAGAAACTCACTTCTCCAGTTTAAGTAGTATTTACAGCAACCATAAGTTTAGGAAGAAAAATCTCTCAAAGGAGAATAATTGAATTTTTGGTTTCATATACTTAAAACACTAGAATTCGCTTTTTTCAGTTTTATTTCAATAGAGTGCAAGTAGAATAAGAACTTCTGGTTCTTATTCTGGATAAGAAGATGTTAGGCAATAAATGATTGAAAATTAATGTATTTGGGATCTTTGCTGGCTCTAGAAAAGATGTCCAGCAAATCAAGAGCCGATAATAAATCAAAATTGAAACTATTACCGGCTCTCGGTTGTCTCTAGAATACTTTTTTCCAGCTCTATCAAGCCAAAAGTCACTAAGATGAAAAATTTGTATTCGTTTGGGCTCTTAATGATTATTGTACCAGCTCTTGATTACAAGAAGAATTGAATGAAAGTCAATTGAATTCAAAATTTGAAGCATTTTGTGTGTTTTATTACTTCCAGAAAATGTATAAATTAGCGATTCAATAAATAATTGGGAATTAAACTATTTGAGATCTTCGCTGGCTCTAGAAAAGAAGTCCATCTAATCAAGAGCCGATAATTATTCAAAATTTAAACCATTACCGGCTCTTGATTGGCTTTAGAATACCTTTTCCAGCTCAATTAAGCCAAATGCCGCTGAGATGCAAAATTAAAAAAACAAAGGAACATGTCGTTGCTGATGCTTTAGTAGATACAGGGAATTCTGGAACATACATTAATAAAACTTCTGCCACATTTATCGATGTACCTACACCATTTCCAACACAGAATATTTCCAAATTCATGCGGCAGTAAATGACATAACTGGTCTTTTCATTACAACCTATCAGGGGCGCCGGGTTTCAGAAAACCTCGTGGGTGCTGATGTGCATGCATCGGCATTTATGAGGGGGGTGAACAGCTCGCCGGTGGCGAAAAAACTTCTCCAGAAGCCACGCCCAAAAACGTTTACCAGCATTCTTTAATTTACATTCGGACGATTGTCTAAGAAGGGTAATACATTTCAAACAACGTAGTTCACACCTTTCCATATTCGTTTTTCAGCTGCGGGAACTATATAGTGTTGCTTGGTGCTTGCGTAAGTATTTTGCGGTGTCTGCTAAAATTGGAGAAAAAAGACGACTATAAGGGTAAAGAGTAGAGTGTTTTCACAGCTGTCAGAACAATACCCACTTCTACCACGTAAAAGCCCCCCTCCAGCATAGCCATCATACCCCCTTCCGTGAAGCTCCTACCCTGAGGAGGCACTTTTTACCCACCTCCACTGTAAACCGTTTTCCGTAAAGCCCTCCATCAATCTATTTTCAAAAGGCTCCTACCCTGAGATGGAACTTTTTTATATCCCTCCACTTTCTTGAAAACTAAATAATGTTTAACCAATTCTTCCATTTGTATTCGCCAATTTTGTAGTTGGCCCGAGTCAAATCCCCAAAATTTCAGATCAAAGGCGCCGCCGATCTAGAGATTTTCCCACGGTATCGAAAAACTTCCTAGGCTCAAGTGCCCCCAGCTATCAGACTAGCAGATTCACAAGCAAAATATTTATTATTGCAATAAAATTAATGCACCTGTTTATGAGCAATACCCACCTCACAGCTATCAGAGCAATACCCACCTCCACTACGTCAAAAAACTTCTACTCTGAAGAGGTACCTCTTTCCATTCCATTCACTTTCTTGAAAATTAAAGAATATTTCAACAATTCCTGCATTTGTATTCGTCAATAGTGTTCTAAACTCCATGAGATTAATTTTATTGCAATAATAACATTTTGCTTTTGAATCTGGTGGACCACTTACTTAGTAGAGGTGGATAGTGGTCTGATAGCCGGGGGCACTTGAGCCTGGGAAGTTTTTCGATACCGTGGGAAAATCTCTAGATCGGTGGCGCTTTTGATCTGAAATTTTGGGGATTTGACCCGGGCCAACCCCAAAATTGACGAATACAAATGATATACGAATGAAAATATTATTGGAACGGCGTCCAGTAAATTCAGTACTGACAGAGTTGATATCGGAACATAACCTATATAAGGCTATAGTCCAAATATAACCAAACGTTAACCATTAGCTCTGTTCCAACAGACATGAGAACCGTTCCAGAACCAATAATTTCCAGTTGCCCACCTATTTTTCAATAAGTTGAACGTTTTTCCTAATTGACAAATGAATTGATCGACTGGAAATTACCGTTCTAGAAAGGTTTTCGTGTCTGTTGGAACAGAGCTAAAGTGGTTACTTTAGCTCTGAATCGATTCGGTTGAATCGGTCAACAGATGTTTACTGAAAATTCCGGTTACTTTGGGGAACGCAAATATGGAAATAAAACATAATTGACAGAAGTTACAGATAAAACCTTGGCCGAGTTCGGTTTTGTCATCTTTTTCGTCGATTTGCTCCGTAATTTTGACTTGATTTGACTGAAACTGTTCAATCCAGTCACGTGTCTGTCAAAATTTCGGAGCAAATTGACGAAAAAGATGACAAAAACGAACACGGCCCTTGATAAAATCAACAGAACCGACAACCGATGGCCGGTAACTATTTTGACATTTGATTGACCAAATTTCAGGAACCCGAGGTACAAAATTAACCAGTTTTCCAGGAACTAGAGAGGATTATCAGTTTTTATGTCTATGCTCGTGGGTGCTTCGCACCCACTGTTTACATCTCGTGAGTGCTGGAGTTCCAAGCACCCACGTAGTCGGCGCCCCTGCAACCTATCAAATGTCCTCCGTGCATGCGCACTAATCCAGGTAGGACGTTTCAACCCTGAGTTTCAACCAATAGGAAGACTGGTGTTTGTTTACAATTTAGGTTATTTAATGTCATTTACTGCTGCTTGGATTTGAAAATGGTGTATACAATTGAAGCACTGGATATATACTAATGACCACAACAGCCTCACAGTCTCACATATCAAGTCATTGTTTTGTAGACGAAATGATGGGGGCATACATACAAAAAATTACGTTCAGCAGCTCTTTCTGATTTATGTGCTGATGTCATTATAGGTCATGATATTCTTAGACAGTATTCAATCTTTGAAGTATCTTTTGGGGGTTCTAAGTCTCCCTTGTATATTGACAACTCATCATCGATTTGTAGTTTGGCGTTCCTAAAAATTGATCCGCCTACATTATTTTCAAATCTATCAGCAGATTGCAGGCCAATTGCAACAAAGTCTAGACGATTTTCACCAGAAGATATAGACACTTTATTTCTATTGAAATAAGAAACCTTCTTTTGAATAAAATCATAGAAAAAAGCAACTCTCCTTTGCGGGCACAGGTGTTGGTAACGAAAAATCAAACGCACAAGAAAAAGATGGTGATTGATGACTCTCAAACCATTAGCAGGTTTACATCTTTAGATGCTTATCCTCTGCCCAATATTGAAGATATCGGGCTGTGGCGAAATTCAATATTTTCAGTACTATAGATTTACAAAGTGCGTATCACGAAGTTCCCATACGTGACGACGAAAAGCAGTATACTGCTTTTGAGGCAGATGGTAAATTATATCAGTTCCAAAGAATTCCTTTTGGTGTGACAAACGGAGTTGCGTGTTTTCAGGGGGGTAATAGACTACATAATAAAATCAAAGAATCTTGAAGGTGTCTATGCATATTTAGATATTCGGTAGAAATTAAGCAGACCTTGATAATAATTTAAAAGAATTTTTACTCGTTGTAAGGCAATACAATTTCACTATTAACGGAAACAGAAGTTCTTATTCCCCAAAATCAATCAAACTTTTTGGATATCCAGATCAAGAATAATACCTTGAAACCTGATGCAGTTAGACTTGAACTTCTACGAAAACTACTTGTACCTGAGACTCTCAGTCTCTGAAAAGAGCTCTTGGGATGTTCGCCTATTACTCAAAGTGGATACCTTGCTTTTCAGAGAAAATTCATCGACTTGTTTCTTGTAAATCTTTTCCTTTGTCAGAAATCTGTGAAAACGATTTCGAGAAGCTTAAATTGGATATTGCAAAATTAGCTGTTACTTCAATTGAAGATAACATTCCATTTGCGGTTGAGACTGATGCTTCAGAACATTCCATTGCTGCCATTTTGAGTCAAGCAAGAAGGCTAGTTGCATTTTTCTCGAGAAAACTAAGTAAATGTGAACAAAATAATTCATTAGTTGAAAAAGAAGCTTATTCCATAGTAGAAGAATAGCAAAATAAAAAAAGAGGAGATTTTAAGATGGCGACTTGAACTATCATGTAACATACTCCGGTGCACTTATGAAATGGTATATGCTTGACCTCAACAAATTAGCTTAAAGTTGCCATCACTCGTGTTTGATAGTTTTTAGAGTTCCTATGAACATACTAAAAGTCCCCGTCGCTGTGATTGGTGGAACATCCCCAAATCCAGTGCGCCATTTTGAATTCTCATTCTTTTATTTAATTTCTACTAATATCTCCAACACTATAAGGTTTATCAAAAATTGTCAAGAGACAAAAAAGTTTCTAAATATGTTTTTTCTATTAGGGCGATGCAATATAACAACATTCACAAACTGTGGTAGTCTCCGCAGACTTTCAAATATTGAAAATAATACATTCACCTATGCCATTTCGGCTAACAATTTTTGTTAATATTTTATATACATATACAGCTCTTTTGACAGACATGGACATGAAATGCAAGCCGTTGTCTAGTGTTCCAATAGACGGAGTTTTTGTAATAGATGGAGGCTACATACTCCACATAGTCACCTATGCAGAGATTTCCGAGCAATATGAAAAGTTCATCCAGTTTCATTATGGTTCAAATTGTAGAGTGGTTTTTGATGGGTATGATGGTTTACCTAGTACTTAATCTTTGGAACAAATGCGGAAAACTAATAAATTATCTTGTGCTGATATTGTGATATCTGACTCAGTAGCTGCAACAGTAAATCAAGAAATTTTTTCAGTAACACCAACAATAAAAAAATGTTCATTAAACTGTTAATAGAAAGCCTCATTTTACATAAGTGTAAAACAAGCAGAACCAGATGCAGATGTTTTAATTATCCAAACAGCTATGAATTTGAGGGAAAAGGAGACTTCTGTGATAGTTGTTGGCCAAGACACGTACTTCATGGTATAACTGCTCCATTCTGTTAAAAATAACAACGTTTTTATGTTACGGCCCGGAAATCAAAGTCAAGCAATCAAAATTACCGAAATTTTACATTTACAAGAAGCTTTAGGGCCAGTAGTAAGTGAAATTTCATTTGTCCATGCAATTGACGGTTGTGATACCACATCTGCAATGTATAAACAAGGCAAATTAAAGCCTATCAAAGTTCTAGCAGGCAATAAAACTATTCACTTATTAATTTCTGTTTTCCAGAATGTAAAGGCAGATGGAGAAGAAATTAAAATTGGCGAAGAGTTTCTTTTACTTGTATATGGCAAAACTAAAATATCTAAGACGCTCAATGACTTTAGATTTCATAAATATAACAGCATTATCTACCGCCCGTCAAAATTTAAAATTAAAATTAAACTTTGAACTAACGCTTACAGGTGAATTGCTGGCGGAAGGTACCTGCTACTGATATCTTCGGTTTATCACCCAAAAAGGGCAAGGGACGATTGCGCACGGAATGCACATTAGGTGCGGCGTTTTGGCGAACTCATTAGAACCAGTGCAACATTTTGATGAATTTAGCCGCACGCGGAATATCGTTCGGCATCCTCCGGAGCTCCGCCTGTCTGCTCCCTAGACTCTTAAAAATATCAATGCCTAATGGTGTATTACCAAATACAACAATGATTAGGAAATAATCTGAGTCCTCTAGAATTTGGTTAAAAATGCAAGGTCGCGGGCTAGTTTTCGAAAAGTTACATCCTGGAAATAAGAACTCTTCTTAGGTATCGAACATTTCAGCTAATCTGAAATTTTTGAAGGAACCAGTAACGTGTCGAGTAGGGCTCAGACCTATTTTATATCCAGTTCTCTTGAACATTTTTCAAATTTCTATTTGTTCCCAAGATATTGAAGCAAACTAGGAAAAAGTGGGAGAAATCAAGATGGCGGACCAGATTTGGGGATGTTCCACCAATCACAGCAATGGGGACTTTTAGTATGTTCATAGGGAACCTAAAAGCTATCGAATAATGGTGGTGAGAAGCTAAACTTTTGCATTTGCCATTTGGCAACTTTCAATAACTGGAATTCTTTTTTTCTGATTTTACTTTATCTCTAAAAAGAAAACCACAAATTCTAGTCAAACCCCAAATACCTACAAGTTTTATACTGTAATTAAAATTAAAATCATCCTCTTACTAGTTGACATTTCTGACACAATTCTTCGCAATTATTTTCCTATTTCCCCACATACGCAAAAGCTAATTAAAATTTAATTATCATCATGCAATTCATTATCTTTTTAAATACCTGATAAGCGTGAGGACATTCGCAATAAGTGTCGGCACAATCCCGGCCTTTTATAGTGTTCTCGTTACAAAACATATCGTCTGGAATTTCGTCTCTTTGGCTCAACAACGGAAACGACGGCATCTCCATTGAAATGTGATTCAATTGAGGGGTGAGAAGTTGGTTTTCAGATGAAGTAACTAGAACATATGGAAAACAATAATTTCCCTTATTGTAAATTTTGAGCTAAAGTTACAGCCAATTAGGTAAAGTGTTGTGGTTCGCTACCACCAATGTTGTGGTTTGATTGAACCACGTTATTGCCGAAGCTTTTAAAATAAACACTTTTAAACTTTTAATTATTTATTTCACTTCTTAGTTAAAAGCACAGCCAAAATCGTAAGTGAGTTCGGAGGTTACTCTAGGTTACAACTAACTTCTAATTCTGCCTTTTTTTATAGACAAATTATAATGATTATGATAATTAGACAAAAATGGTTATTTACGACTAATAATTGAATATTGATAAAATGTCTAATGACTAAATAAACTTCACCTATCTTAAATGTTATTTTATAATGGAATTTTAAAGATGATCTCCCAAATTAGTTTGTTCAATTTTGGATCAGTCATCAACAACATTAAGATAATTAAATTCAAAGATAGGTACCCAATAATATAATGCTTAATGTTGTTATTTTTAAGAGAAGTATTGAGCTTTGGTCACGAACGGCGCTGTTTATTTGTCATTAGTTAATAAATAGGGGTTCCAAAATACTATAATCTACTAATGAAGTTTGTTATTAGTGATATAATTGAAGAAAAATAAGAGTATGGAAAATTACTGAATAGAAAAATATAACTTATGAATCTATTATTATATACATGTAACTAATACCTAATATGTTGGGATTACAACAAAAAACATGAAACGACTCCGAGTTACGTAAACTAAGACCAATTTGAGGGCAAATTTTAAGTAGGTGTTATCAGGTGTGTCATACAAAAACGATCCACTTACCATTATAAAACTCGTAGCCAGGCCGGTGAAAGTGCTTATTATCCAGTTTATAAAAATCGTACGCAAGGAAAATCTGATAATCTGGCCTAAACTTCAAACTGTGGTCCCATTTTTGCAAGGCCGACAATTCGGGCATCGTTATGTGGGATTGGTTGGCTTCTGTGCCTTTATTTAGGGAATTGATTTGCTTTAAAAAAAAAAAAAAACGATAGATTAAGCTTGATTATATTATGTAAAGATGATAGTCAAATTACTTTGCCTGTCCGATACGAATTATCCCAATCAGGTTTGTTTTGAGGCAAAGTTTCCTCTTGCATATAAACAATATCGTTTAAAAATTTTGAATTAGTAGCTGCAAATCCATCAGTAACATCGTTCTGGCTTATACGATTTTGATAATCTTCATCTGAAAAGATTTTCAAAATGAAACATGCACCGGGATAATTTTATCCTTTTTTTGTTTTACCTTGATTGTCGAATCCTTTGTATTCTAATACGGCAGATTGATGGGCCTTGTTGAATCTTTCGTCGCAGTCCATCAGACCCCGAAATCTGATCCAATAAAGATTTTTCGGTTGGTCAGCGGTCAAAACGAAGTCGAATCTTTCTCCTGCGTAGGTTACAAGGGATTCGGCTACAAGAATGATTAACGGTGATAAAACAAGTTTTAAAAAGTGGCAAGGTTAAGTAAAATTGCCAATATTTTCATTGAAATTTAAACAAATCATAATATTAGAAAGAGCAATAAATTCTCTATAAATCTGTGCTAAATTGAGTTTGATAGCTCAAACACTTTCCGGGCAATTTGACCCTCAAAGTCTTAAATTTTCTGACTGGAATGGAAAAATTAAGAAAAATTTTGAAGGACCCAGCACACTTCTTATGGAACTTTTGACCGCGATCAAATTTCACCAAATTTTAGTATGTTATAAATAGACAAGGGCAAATATGCATATAAAAGTATAAGAAATATGCGCATAGATATGCATATATTTTATTCAAAATGTGCAAGTATTTTTGAAAATATGCATAAAGAATTTTAAAATAATAAACACTGTTGTATTGTTGATGATTTTTAAAAAAATCTAAATTAACAGTTGTAACAAGAATAAACAATTGAATATTCCTGAACATTTTCTAGCAAAAATTTCTGTCTTCTATCAGAATGCATATATTTATATAAGGAAAAACTTCTTTCTACGTCAACTGACATAATGGGTGCGTTTTTTAAGCCGGCCACGATTTCAGGATCTAAATTTAAATTAATAGATTCATTGAAATTTCCCATTAATATGTCTACTACTTTGGAAAAAAAACAATTTTGAATTTTTCGAAATCCTCTTTCCCAAACACAAAATGACAACTTCAGATGAATATGGACATCTTCAAAAATCGATAGTATAAATGGGTATTTATTGCTCTACTTCTAGGCAAGTTTTAATCACCAGTATGAACAGTGGTGTACTTCCCATAAGAAGGCAGCACAAGGCTCAATGAAGGATCTTTTACGATAGGTTTTCCGGTAATAACGTACCTGCTGAATGGTTGCATATTTAAAAAAAATTCCCTTCATTGACGCCTTTTGTCTTAAGATACATTTTATTTACGACTGACATATAATGTGAGTATTATACTTGTAATTTTGGCAGTTTAATGCCATATATTATTCCCGCAGGGATTAATGGTCATTATTCCCGCTAGCCCACCAATCACCATCACAAAATTTCTCAAATTAAATGAGTAGTACCATGGAAACAATATACCTGAACAAACTCAAAAGTGTCAGTGTCAAACGCGTAGTGCTTGTGTATTTGTATTGAGATGGATGAACAACGAGCGTTTTTGGGAAGAAAATTTCAAATAAATTAATTTGTCGTAAATAAAGTAGAGTATACTACTCGCAATAATGGCTATTATTCCCTCGGAATGTTACTCCCTCGCCGCTAACGCGGCTCAGTTCGTAAATATTCCTCGGGAATAATAGCTATCATTATTGACTCGTGGTATAATCTACTATTATGCACTATATGCCGGTTTTCAATGAAATATGCAGAATTAAATTAAAATGCATAAAACATGCAAATTATGTAAAATATGTACTTTCCATGTAATGCCCTTCTCTAGTTAGAAATCTCACCTTTCTGATCAATAACTACTATGGGCACAGCTTAATCCTATGACTAGTTTTTGGGACATAAGTAGTTTAATGTCCAAGAAATGTACATATTTTATATGGAATTACATCTACTTGTCGAGCGTGTGGATACCTGTCAATCCTGGTATTATTATTAGGTGACAGATAGATGTAAATGCATATATTGTTTGTCGTTTTTAATTTGACACTTTCCGTAAAAGGAGCGAGGGCAGTGTTGCCAACTGCGGATTGACTATTATAGTATAGAACGCTATAAAATTATAGTACATTTGTATAAATTATAGTATCCTGCTGGAGATAGATGACCAGCAATTGTCCTGGTGGGACACACAAAGATCGAACAGACAAAGAATACAGGAAATTACCATTGGAAATTAAGGAAAATCAATTAAATTAGGCTTAAATGCACCATCTAACATTTTATTTTTATTCTGGAAAACTATTTAAGGGAAAACTATGACATTTTCTGAAAAAAAAAGAAGAAAGTCAGGGGCGTATCATAGTCAAATTTTAATTTTTTCCAATGAAAAATAACCTCATTGGAAATAAATGAAAATCAACTAAATTAGACATAACTGCACCATCTAACATTTCATTCTTTTTCTGGAAAACTATTCAGGGGAAAATTATGATATTTTCTGAAAAAAAAAGAGGAAAGTCAGAGGCGTATCATAGTAAAATTTCGAATTTTTCCAGTGGAAAATAACCCCATTGGAAATTAATGAAAATCGACTAAATTAGGCATAAATGCACCATCTAACATTTTACTTTTTTTTCCTGGAAAACTATCCAAAGAAAAATTATGAAATTTTCTGGACAAAACGAGAAAAGTCAGGGGCGTATCGTATTAAAATTTCAAATTTTTCCAGTGAAAAATAACCCTATTGGAAATTAATGGAAATCAACTAAATTAGGCATAAATGCACCATCTAACATTTTATTTTTTTTCTTTCAAGAGAAAAATAATAAAATTTGCTGAAAAAAAAAAAAGAAAAGTCAGGGGCGTATCCTAATAAAATTTCAAATTCTTCCAGTGAAAAATAACATCACTGGAAATTAATGAAAATCAATTAAATTAGACATAAATACACCATCTAACATTTTATTTTTTTCCTGGAAAACTGTCCAGGAAAAAATTATGACATTTTCTGAAAAAAAAGAGGAAAGTCAGGAGCGTATCATAGTAAAATTTCAAATTTTTCCAGTGAAAAATAACCTCATTGAAAATTAATGAATATCAACTAAATTAGGCATAAATGCACCATAACATTTTTTTTTTCTGGAAAACTATTCAAAAGAAAATTATGACATTTTCTGGAAAAAAAGAAGAAAGCCAAGAAAGTATCATAGTAAAATTTCAGATTTTTCCAGTGGAAAATAACCCCATTGGAAATTAGTGAAAATCAACTAAATTAGGCATAAATGCACTATCTAACATTTTATTTTTTTCTGGAAAACTATTCAAGGGAAAATTATGACATTTTCTGGAAAAAAAAGAATAAAATCAGGGGCGTGTCATAGTAAAATTTCAGATTTTTTCAGTGGAAAATAACCCCATTGGAAATTAATGAAAATCAACTAAATTAGGCATAAATGCACTATCTAACATTTTTTTTTTCTGGAAAACTATTCAAGGAAAAATTATGACATTTTCTGGAAAAAAAGAATAAAATCAGGGGCGTATCATAGTAAAATTTCAGATTTTTTCAGTGGAAAATAACCCCATTGGAAATTAATGAAAATCAACTAAATTAGGCATAAATGCACTAACATTTTTTTTTTCTGGAAAACTATTCAAGGAAAAATTATGACATTTTCTGGGAAAAAAGAATAAAATCATGGGCGTATCATAGTAAAAGTTCAGATTTTTTAGTGGAAAATAACCCCATTGGAAATTTATGAAAATCAACTAAATTAGGCATAAATGCACTATCTAAAATTTAATTTTTTTCTGGAAAACTTTATCAAGGGAAAATTATGACATTTTCTGGAAAAAAAAGAATAAAATCAGGGGCGTGTCATAGTAAAATTTCAGATTTTTTCAGTGGAAAATAACCCCATTGGAAATTAATGAAAATCAACTAAATTAAGCATAAATGCATTATCTAACATTTTCTTTTTCTGGAAAACTATTCAAGGAAAAATTATGACATTTTCTGGAAAAAAAAGAATAAAATCAGGGGCGTGTCATAGTAAAATTTCAGATTTTTTCAGTGGAAAATAACCCCATTGGAAATTAATGAAAATCAACTAAATTAGGCATAAATGCACTATCTAACATTTTATTTTTTTTCTTTTGGAAAACTATTCAAGGGAAAATTATGACATTTTCTGGAAAAAAAAGAATAAAATCAGGGGCGTGTCATAGTAAAATTTCAGATTTTTTCAGTGGAAAATAACCCCATTGGAAATTAATGAAAATCAACTAAATTAAGCATAAATGCATTATCTAACATTTTCTTTTTCTGGAAAACTATTCAAGGAAAAATTATGACATTTTCTGGAAAAAAAAGAATAAAATCAGGGGCGTGTCATAGTAAAATTTCAGATTTTTTCAGTGGAAAATAACCCCATTGGAAATTAATGAAAATCAACTAAATTAGGCATAAATGCACTATCTAACATTTAATTTTTTTCTGGAAAACTATTCAAGGGAAAATTATGACATTTTCTGGAAAAAAAAGAATAAAATCAGGGGCGTGTCATAGTAAAATTTCAGATTTTTTCAGTGGAAAATAACCCCATTGGAAATTAATGAAAATCAACTAAATTAGGCATAAATGCACTATCTAACATTTTCTTTTTCTGGAAAACTATTCAAGGAAAAATTATGACATTTTCTGGAAAAAAAAATAAAATCAGGGCCGTATAATAGTAAAATTTCAGATTTTTTCAGTGGAAAATAACCCCATTGGAAATTAATGAAAATCAATTAAATTAGGCATAAATGCACCATCCCACATTTTATTTTTCTTCTAGAAAATTATTCAGGGGAAAATTATGACATTTTCTGGAAAAAAAGAGGAGAGCCAGGAACGTATCATAGTAAAATTTCAAATTTTTCCAGTGGAAAATAACCCCATTGGAAATTTATGAAAATCAACTAAATTAGGCATAAATGCACTATCTAACATTTAATTTTTTTCTGGAAAACTATTCAAGGGAAAATTATGACATTTTCTGGAAAAAAAAAGAAAGTCAGGAGCGTATCATAGTAAAATTTCAAATTTTTCCAGTGAAAAATAACCTCATTGAAAATTAATGAATATCAACTAAATTAGGCATAAATGCACCATAACATTTTATTTTTTTTCTGGAAAACTATTCAAAAGAAAATTATGACATTTTCTGGAAAAAAAGAAGAAAATCAAGGACGTATCATAGTAAAGTTTCAAATTTTTCCAGTGAAAAATAGCCCCATTGGAAATTAATGGAAATCAATTAAATTAGACATAAATGCACCATTTAACATTTTATTTTTTTCCTGGAAAACTGTGCAGGAGAAAATTATGACATTTTCTGGAATAAAAGAGGAAAGTCAGGGGAGTATCATAGTGAAATTTCAAATTTTTCCAGTGGATATGGATTTAATTATAACTGGCAGTAATGAGCTTGACCCTGACAGAAACCTTCAGTTAGTTCTAGAACATACTTTAAAATACATCAAATTCAAAAATTCAATTTAAATTAGAATCTGTCAAGTTCAAGGGTCAAATTTATTCTAATGCGACAACCGAAAAACTTCAAACGCAACATAAATCAGCATTATGAAAAACACAATAATGTTGGCACCCTGAACTACATGAATAAATACACGGAAAAATACACAGATGTAATACGGGCATAAAAATGGTGTTGAATCCAACAAAAACTACGTAATAGTTATTCATGTATCAAGGGAATTATGAGGGTGTTAATACCCCAGGGCAACGTTTGTGTCCCGAGGGCCTCTGGCCCGAGGGACACCATTTGCCCATGGGTATTAACACCTGATAATTCCCGTGGTACATAGATAAATTTATATCCTACTGAATTTACTGTATTTTGTCTATTTTTATAAAGGAATAAACCATAAATCAAAATTTTTTGTCAAAGTTTCACCTATTCAAGGTAAAAGCGGTTGTTATGGAAATCCTTAACTCCTTTGGGAGTTATGATATCCTTGACTCCCCCGCGGGAGTTATGAAATCCTTAACTCCCTTGGGAGTTAAGACCCTGTTTATGATTATCGTAACAAAGGTATTATGTGGTTATAAATGTTATAATAGTTCAGTAGGAAATAAAAGCTGTAATAGATTTGCCAACCCCGATTGAAAAAAATGGAGTTTTAAGAATTTTGGGAATGGCTATGTTTTTGGGCAAATTTCTACCTAACTTGTCCAAAGTTACTATGCCTCTCCAGGAGTTGACAAAGCAAGATGCCACATTCTACTGGTCTACCGAGCAATCAAAAATTTCACTTTTTCATTTACGGTGTAAGAAATGTCAAAAATGCCTTTGGAGTCTATAATGAAAAAAGAATAATTGCTCGTCTATTATTTCTATTATAGTTGTGCTCTATCCTGAAATCACCAGGATATGACAAATTTCAAAAAATCACAAAGAAATAAACACTCATTATCGATAACATTTTTAAAAAAAATTCCAACCATTTATTTTGAAAGGTCAAAACCCGAAATAAAATAAATGTGCTATTAAAAATAAATGGCTTTTAACAAATAATTTATTTAAATCACCAGTCAAATAAATAGGTGATTTTTCCGTGAAATCTAGAATAATTAATGTCCTGTTACGTGTTTTAAATTCCCTCCTGCTATCGCCATATAAACTAAAATGTTGCAATTATTACCTTTAACTGGAACAATGTCAGCTCCATCACTACTTATCACTTGAATTGTATGATTATCAACCGACATTTCAATGGGACAATTGAGAAATCCTGCATTTATCACTCTGAAACGATATCTGTAGCCCTATAAATATATGTTTTAGGTTTATTGTACATTTTGTTTGAAAATTCTTACATATTCTACTGGAAATCTTGCCAATGGAGTATAGATAGTCTTATTTTCACTAACAAACTCCTTCCCATTACCCATACCATTGATCAAAAGTGTAGCAGGCTTATTATCACCAACACTATGATGATGATACAAAAACTTTTCCATCCCAGTAATTCTTTCCCAATCGATCAAAATCATTGTGTGCAAAGAAAGATCGTAATCATACTCTGGTATGTGCGGGTTACTTTCTTCGGGAACTCGCACTACAAGGGGACCGTAACAGCCGTCGACCCTTTGCATACCTAAATGCGAGTGCCAGAAATGAGTACCGGCTTGGGTAGCTTTGAAATTGTACCTAAAAGTGGTTTTGGGTGGAATCGGACATTGGGTCACATAAGGTACTCCGTCCATGTAAGGCGTTTCTTTTTGGTGCTGGCCGTGCCAATGGATGGTGGTACCTTCCGACATCAAATGATTTTTAACGTCGACGATTATTTGATCGTTTAAACAAACCTGAAATTATTCACAATTACTTATAAAAATTCTATGCATTGAAAATTATTCTTACTTCAATAGAAGGTCCAGGTATTCTTCTATTGACAGAAATTATTCCTCGATCGTATCCGGCTCCTGGTATGCAATCCTTCATAAAGCAATCACTACGAGTGGAAGGACAATTTTGGCAGGCTTTGGACATAGTGTAGTAGTTTTCTATTTCGAAGTGGTACCGGCATACCATGGAGACACCTTGGATGCATTTTCGCGAGCATGGGTGTGGTTCCTCAAGAAGAACGTAGTCGGATGTGTTGGTTGATGAAATTTGGTCTGAATAATAATAATAATAATAAAGGATTTCAAGAGATTAATTCAGTACAAATCAAACTTTGGAAATATCCAAGAAATTCTAACTATTCAGAGAAATATTCTATACTCAATGCAAAACTTGGTAGGTAAAGGAAACTTGCGTAGAATGGAACTTCTACTTCTACCCAAGGAAGTGCAGAGGGCATGAGGAAGTTTTGTTAGAAAGTCTAAAAACTTGAATATGAGCGACGAAGACAGCATCTTCGTTCTCATGAGAACGCCAATCCCCTGTTTCGAGGATAAGGACTCAGGATAGCCTATCCTCATAAGGCCTGTGTGGAACAAATCTCCCCCTCCCCTTCACGCCAAATCACCAGTTGTGATGTAGGCAGCATAATATTTCTCGCCTTGACTTAGGTTGTTTATACAGATGATGACTTAGTTATGACGTTGGAAATGGTAACAAGGCAGATAAGCAATTCTGTAAAGTGTGAATCATCCTTGTTCAAAGCCTACTTGGTTTGATAAATTTTTCGCTTACAGTTATCTGTAATATTGATAATCGTCAAAAAAAACAAGGCCTAATCTGAGACGTCAGCTTTTTAACGTTTGTTGTATTATGAGCGGTACCTATTGTTATATTTTTTTTCAAATCACGAGCCCGAAGGGCGAAAGGTAGTTCAATAACGAGCCCGTAGGGCGAGAGTTATTTCAGTTACAATCCTGTAGGGCGGGAGTTTCAAAAAATTACGATTGAAAACTGGGCATGCGTTATATCTAGAGATTGACTGATTTTTTCAAGATTTTCCATGATTCTCTCACGATTTCCTTTGAATTCCCTGAGATTTACCTTGATTTCTTTATGATTTCTCTTGACCCAAGCTTCAAGCTGACGTCAATTTGACGACTTTTTTTCGTCATATTGAGATTAAATTAGATTTCACCTTTCAAATAACGTTTAGATGACGAAAGGATCACGTGATTATGTCACAGCCCAGAAAACGTAATTTCATGACGTAAAAATACTTGATTTGATGACTTTAAAGTACGTGATTTCGTGACGTAAAGATACGTGATTTCAACGGCCGAGCCGAATCCTCAAGAATTTGCAAAATAATGCCATAGAATTCATGATCCAAAGATTCTAAAAATCTTATCTTATACTTAAAAACTCCAAGAAATCAGAATCTGTATAGAACTTCTATTTCCTCCAACATCCATCAAGATATTTTCAAAAAATCCTAGAGGTTCTCTCATAGAAAAAAATACAATGTTTTTTAGATGAATGATTGAATTTTCTCAAAAAGAAATCAGAGAAAGAAATAATTCTGAAGTAACTTGAACATTGACCAAATCATGATTGGCTAAGGTACAGATGAAGAAATAACAAATTTTTCTGATGAAATAAATACATAAAAATGGATATTTGTGAAGTACAATAATACCAATTCATAAGTAAAATAAAGAAGGAGAGGATGGATCCAAGAAAGCAGACAATGCAAGAAGTATGAAAATTGTTTATCAATTAATAGAGGAAGTTTCAATGCCAAAGAAAAGAGAAAATCACTTAAAAATTTTCCTACTGGGGTAAACCGTAAGGAAAATCTAGTTTACAAATCAAGAGGAAATCCCTACAATCCCCAGTGATGTCGGAGTGACGTCATTTTAGAATAGGTTTTCGTCCGTGACGTCATCTGACCTAAATATGACGTGATATAGGACGTTTGTTTTCTGACTTCATATAAAAGTCAAAAGTTCGATCGTGAGGATTTGGCTCGGCCGTTAAAATCACATATATTTACTTCATGGAATCACGTACTTTAACGTCATCAAATCACGTATTTTGGCGTCATGAAATTACGTTTCCTGGACTGTGACGTAATCAGGTGATCCTATCGTTTTGTAAACGTTATTTGAAAGGTGAAAATAACGTCCAATCTCACAAAATATAACGGAAAAGTCTTCAAATTGACGTGAGCTTGCAGCTTGGTTGAGGGAAAATCATAAAGAAATCAAGGGATCTCTAGATTTAACGCATGCGCAGTTTCCAAAAATCTTCATAATTTGAGGCTATTTTGTCATGGGAACTCTTGGGAAATATCTTACTGGTAATCAGAAGAAGTCAATTCGGGGAAATTATAAGGAAATCAAGGGAAATCTTGAGGATCTCGGGGAAAATCTTAAGAAAATCATGGAAAATCTTAAGGAAATCAGTCAATGTCTAGCTAGATGTAACCGTATGCTCAGTTTTCAAAAATTTCAAAAACTATAGATTTTTCTGATCCTAAAAATTTGCTGAATTGGAGATTCTAAACGCCTCAAAGTTTCATTTACATGCCCTTGATAGTTTTTAAGGTAAAAATTCCAAAATACTGGCTTGTCAATGTATTCATTTTTGCCTAATTTAGAAAATTCGTAACTTGATTATTAGTGGGTTGATCAGTCTGAATTTTTAGTATGTTTCTCCTCAAACCTCCAAGAATAGAGCCTCAAAGTTTCATCTATATGCCCCCGATAGTTTTTGAAGTAAAAATTCCAAAGTAGCGCATGAATCATCACAAAGAAAACATTTCCAGATGAAATCAAGAGCCGGGAATAGTTCAAATTTTGATCATTACTAGTTCTTGAATCACTAGGAAATTTCTCTAAAGGAAACTAAGACCCAGTAAGGTTTCAAATTTTGAAATATTCCCTTCTCTTAATTTCATCTGGAAAAGTTTTCATCTGGAAAAGTTTTCTTTGTGATGATTCAAGCACCGGGAATAATCAAAGTTTTGCCCAGCAAATTGTTCTGAGAATCAAAATTTGAAACCTTATTGGGTCTTGGTTTCCTTCAGAGAAATTTCCTAGTGATTCAAGAACCAGTTATGATCAAAATTTGAACTATTCCCGGCTCTTGATTTCATCTGGAAATGTTTTCTTTGTGATGATTCATGCGCTATTTTGGAATTTTTACCTCAAAAACTATCGGGGGCATATAGATGAAACCTTGAGGCTCTATTCTTGAAAGTTTGAAGTAAAACATACTAAAAATTCAGGCTGATCAACCCACTAATAATAAAGTTACGAATTTTCTAAATTGGGCAAAAATTAATACATTGACAAGCCTCTATTTTGGAATTTTCACCTCAAAAACTATTGAGGGTGCAGACATAAAACTTTGAAGCTCTATTCTTTAAGGTTTGAGGTAAAACATACTAAAAATTCAGGCTGGTCAACCCATTAATAATAAAGTTACGAATTTTCTAAATTAGGCAAAAATGAATACATTGACAAGCCTCTATTTTGGAATTTTCACCTCAAAAACTATTGAGGGTGCAGAGATGAAACTTTGAGGCTCTATTCTCGAAGGTTTGAGGTAAAACATACTAAAAATTCAGGCTGATCAAACCATTAATAATAAAGTTATGAATTTTCTAAATTAGGCATAAATGAATACATTGACAAACCTGTATTTTGGAATTTTTACCTCAAAAACTATCGGGGGCATATAGATGAAACTTTGAGGCTCTATTCTTGAAGGTTTGAGGTAAAACATACTAAAAATTCAGGCTGATCAACCCATTAATAATAAAGTTATGAATTTTCTAAGTTAGGCATAAATGAATACATTGACAAACCTGTATTTTGGAATTTCTACCTCAAAAACTATTGGGGGCATATAGATGAAACTTTGAGGCTCTATTCTTGAAGGTTTGAGGTAAAAAATACTAAAAATTCAGGCTAATCAACCCATTAATAATAAAGTTATAAATTTTCTAAATTAGGCATAAATGAATACATTGACAAACCTGTATTTTGGAATTTTCACCTCAAATACTATCGAGGGTGCAGACATGAAACTTTGAAGTTCTATTTTTGAAGATTTGAGGTAAAACATACTAAAAATTCAGGCTGATCAACCCACTAATAATAAAGTTACGAATTTTCTAAATTAGGCAAAAATGAATACATTGACAAACCTGTATTTTGGAATTTCTACCTCAAAAACTATCGGGGGCATATAGATGAAACTTTGAGGCTCTATTCTTGAAGGTTTGAGGTAAAACATACTAAAAATTCAGGCTGATCAACCCATTAATAATAAAGTTATGAATTTTCTAAATTAGGCATAAATGAATACATTGACAAACATGTATTTTGGAATTTTTACCTCAAAAACTATCGGGGGCATATAGATGAAACTTTGAGGCTCTATTCTTGAAGGGTTGAGGTAAAACATACTAAAAATTCAGGCTGATCAACCCACTAATAATAAAGTTACGAATTTTCTAAATTAGGCAAAAATGAATACATTGACAAACCTGTATTTTGGAATTTTTACCTCAAAAACTATCGGGGGCATATAGATGAAACTTTGAGGCTCTATTCTTGAAGGTTTGAGGTAAAACATACTAAAAATTCAGGCTGATCAACCCACTAATAATAAAGTTACGAATTTTCTAAATTAGGCAAAAATGAATACATTGACAAACCTGTATTTTGGAATTTTTACCTCAAAAACTATCGGGGGCATATAGATGAAACTTTGAGGCTCTATTCTTGAAGGTTTGAGGTAAAACATACTAAAAATTCAGGCTGATCAACCCATTAATAATAAAGTTATGAATTTTCTAAATTAGGCATAAATGAATACATTGACAAACATGTATTTTGGAATTTTTACCTCAAAAACTATCGGGGGCATATAGATGAAACTTTGAGGCTCTTTTCTTGAAGGGTTGAAGTAAAACATACTAAAAATTTAGGCTGATCAACCCACTAATAATAAAGTTACGAATTTTCTAAATTAGGCAAAAATGAATACATTGACAAACCTGTATTTTGGAATTTTTACCTCAAAAACTATCGGGGGCATATAGATGAAACTTTGAGGCTCTATTCTTGAAGGTTTGAGGTAAGACATACTAAAAATTCAGGCTGATCAACCCATTAATAATAAAGTTATGAATTTTCTAAATTAGGCATAAATGAATACATTGACAAACCTGTATTTTGGAATTTTCACCTCAAATACTATTGAGGGTGCAGACATGAAACTTTGAAGTTCTATTTTTGAAGATTTGAGGTAAAACATACTAAAAACTCAGGCTGATCAACCCACTAATAATAAAGTTACGAATTTTCTAAATTGGGTAAAAATGAATACATTGACAAGCCTCTATCTTGGAATTTTCACTTCAAAAACTATTGAGGATACAGAGATGAAACTTTGAAGCTCTATTCTTGAAGGTTTGAGGTAAAACATACTAACAATTCAGGCTGATCAACCCACTAATAATAAAGTTACGAATTTTCTAAATTAGGCAAAAATGAATTCATTGACAAGCCTCTACGCCCTACGGCTCGTGATTTAAAAAGACCCTGGCCCTACGGGCTCGTAATTAGAAAAACTTTCGTTCTACAGGTTCGTGACTGAAATAACTTTCGCCCTACGGGCTCATTATTGAACTAACTCTCGCCCTTCGGGCTCGTGATTTGAATAAAAAATATGGCAACACTGTTCATAACACAACAAACGTCAAAAAACTGACATTTCAAAGTAGGCTTGTTTTCTTTGACAATGGACAATATTACAGATAAATGTAAATGAAAAATTTATCACACCAAGTAGGCTTTGAACAAGGATGATACACACTTACAGGATTGCTTATTTGCCTTGTTTTTGGTAATCGCCGCCATATTGGTATGTTACCATTTCCGACGTCATAACTATGTCACAACTAATACACGCGGATATTCATCCTTTTGAATGCGAGACTTGCAAAAAAAAAATTAAACGTAAAAACCAATTGAAAAATCACAAAGTAACACATTTTTTTGAGAATAAGGACCCTGTAGTAGTAGTGTATATCATCCTTGGGCTTTGAAAGCAATGTCGGTATTATGGCGCCAACTTTATACTTTGAAATTTTTCCAAAGCCTACTTTGTCACTTGTCAAACAGTGCTGCCAACTACGTGATTGTCTCAATCATTGAGGCTTAAAGATTTTAAAAAAAAGCCCAAGTAGGCCTTGCAAATTTCAAATTTTCTACATCCTACTGCTAAATAATTATTTTTTTTAAACGTCGGCAACTCTGCTGGGCAATGTTGAATGTCATATTTTTGACAAGCGAAAAGATTTCTTATCAAAAACTAAAACCGTGTTCGTTTTTATCATTTTTCTTGTCGATTTGCTCCGAAACTTTGACAGGCACGTGATTTGTAAATTGAAACTGTCTGATTTAGTCACGTGCCTGTCAAAACTTCGGAGCAAATCGACGAAAAAGATGACAATAATCGGTAATTTAAAATGACTGTCATTTGAAATCGTGACGATTATATGCGTCATGACATGTAAATTATTTATTAATTAATGGAAGAAGTTTCAATGCCAAAAAAAGAGAAGAAATTCACTTGGAAAGTTTCCTACAAGGGAAATGGAGTACAAATTCGAGGAAATGTAAGGCGATCAAGAGAAATTATGAGGAAATCAGAGGAAATCTCAAGGAGCTAAAAGGAAATCTTAAGGGAATCATGGAAAATCCTAAAGAAATCAGTCAATCTCTAGATGTGTAACGCATGCCCAGTTTTCAATCGTAATTAGTAAAACTCCCGCCCTACAGGTTCGTGATTGAAATAACTCTCGCCCTACGGGCTCGTTATTGAACTAACTCTGGCCCTTCGGGCTCGTGATTTGAAAAAAAAAAAAATATGGCAACACCGCTCATAACACAACAAACGTCAAAAAATTGACATTTCAAAGTAGGCCTTGTTTTCTTTGACAAATGTTAATATTACAGATAACTGTTAGCGAAAAATTTATCAAACCAGGTAGGCTTTGAAAACGTGTATAGTAATGTCGGTATTACAGGTCGCCAACTTCAAACTTTAAAATTTTTCGAAGCCTGCTTTGTCGCTTTTCAAACAGTAGCGTTACCAACTAGAACAAACATTGTCTTGCAAGTTTCAATGCCAAACAGAGTAGAAAATCACTTGGAGAGTTTCCTACAAGGAAAATCTGGAGTACAAATTCGAGAAAATTTAATGCGATCAAGGGAAATTATGAGGAAATCAGAGGAAATCTCAAGGAACTCAAAGGAAATCCTAAGGGAATCATGGAAAATCTTAAAGAAATCTATTTCTAGATGTAACACATGCCCCAGCCCAATTTTCAATAGTAATTAGAAAAATTCCTGCCCTACAGGCTCGTGATTGAAATAACTCTCGCCCTACGGGCTCGTTGTTAAACTAACTCTCGCCCTTCGGGCTCGTGATTTGAAAAACATGGTAACACCGCTCATTACACAACAAACGTCAAAAAATTGACATTTCAAAGTAGGCCTTTGTTTTCTTCGACAATTGTCAATATTACAGATAACTGCAAGCGAAAAATTTATCAAATCAAGTACACTTTGAAAATGTGTATAGCAATGTCGGTATAACAGGGCGCCAACTTCAAACTTTGAAAATTTTCAAAGCCTGCTTTGCAGTGTTGCCAGGCGTACCATAATTATGTATTTGTACCAGAATTTTGCAGAAAAATACATAGTAAAATCGCGAATGCAATAATAAATAATTTACCATAATTTTGACCTCTTTGTATTTTTCTTAATATAACTTTAGAATACTTCTTCTTTTATTTTCTCATGTTTCTGCTGTTTAGAGGTTTAAGAGTTATGCGTGACGTCATAAATCCGGTTGCGTGGACGGTTGATCGGTTATCGATCCGTAGTGGCATTGACGTTCTTTTCTATCTCATTCTCACTTACGTCAGCGGACTGCACGTCACAATAAAAAACTTTCACTGTCACAGTTCTAATAAAGTTTATTCAAAAATTATTGTGTACCATAACTTTTTTTCAAATAACATAATTTTGACCTTCATGAAGCATAATTTTCAAAATCAAAATCTGGCAACACTGCTGCTTTGTCGCTTGTCAAACAGTGTTGCCAACTTCGTCATTGTCTCAATCATTGAGGCTCAAAGATTTTAAAAAAGGCCCAAGTAGGCCTTGTAAATTTCAATTTTTCCACATCCTACTGCAAAATAATTATTTTTTAAACGTCGGCAACACTGTTGGGCAATGTTGAATGTCATATTTCTAACAAGCGGTGAGATTACTTATCAAAAAATACAAACTAACTCAAACTAACCCGTCCACGTAATGCGTACTAGTCCTTGAATGGTAAGCTTTGAAAGCAAATGTTTTTATTGATGTCGGTATTACAGGCAACTGCCAAATGTGAACTTCGATGTTGAAGAGTGCTTCATCCATTGATAAATTGTTAAAGAAACATTTTGAACTGAAAATGAATGAGTTGTTGAACTAATCAGTAAAGATTCCAACCTGGACCCTTATTCTTGAAAGAGGCTAGCTGCGTTCCAAGGAGAACGAGTGTTCCATCTTTATTACTTATACGTATATCAATTGCATATCATTGAGAAAGAGTAGAAGAACGGAACATTCGTTCTCCTTGGATTACTGCTCTTCTGTTTCAAGAATAAAGACCCTGGTATAAGATAAGACTTTGGATTTTTTCTCATCTACAAAACTTTCTATTTCTTTCCTATGAGAGAAACTCTAAGATTTTTTTGAAATGAGTAATTTTTTGAACTAATAAGTGAAGATTCCAACAAGAGTTTTTGAATAAAGACAAACAAGAAATCCTAGAACATTAGAGAATTCAAAATTTTCAAAACTGTAAATTCTTCCCAAAAGCGAACTCAGAATCTTGAAGATTCTAGAGTATTTGAACAAATGCGACAAGAAATCTTGAAAATTTGCAGAATCCAAGATGTTAAAAACTGTAGAGTCTTCTCAAAAGAGAACTCAGAAATTTAGAGTTTTCGAATATTATTTGACATTATGTTATCAAGGGAACTCTTGGACAATCTTACTGGTAATCAGAAGAAATCGTGAGAAATTATCCACGATTGCCCCTAAAACCGCAATCTGGGTGTACAAAAACTGGAATTTTAAGTGGAAGTTCAAATGAAAGAAAATATTTATCAAACATTTAAATTGAAGCTGAACCAATGACGTCCTTAGTGGGTGAAAAACCACATAAATAAAACCTCTTTTTTTTTATAAAATTGACTTCTTCTTCAAGGCTATTTTCCATTAAGGTGATTTCATTTGTTGTTCGATTTTAATTTAAAACTCAATCAATGACAAAAGATATTTCTTGAAAAAACTGGCACTGAAGATTCTGTACCACCGAAACGTTGCCGTATTTTAAAGTATATTTTGAATAATTGAGGATGTTAATGCATGCATGACCAATAAACATAATGATGGTCCTTTGATACTATGATGAGATTATCGTGATAGTTGGAGGCCTTGCAACTAAGCATCAAATTAGCTATTCGTATTTGTTTACTATCGAATTATGTTTGCCATTGAGAACATCGTAATGAATAAGACATTGAACTTGGATTTTTTTACTCACCGATATTTTGGCTCGAAACTGCTACAGTCCACAATAAGTGTAACGACACTGAAATTGTTGCAAGGTTCTTCATGATGGCATCTGCAAAGGAAAAAATCTCCTATGTACTAAGCCCAAAAGATTACCGACATTACATTGTTATATAGTAAATTATATAAATATTCATTGATGTCATGCATTCGTTAGATTTTATGATACAATTTAATTTGCGTGGTTTATTTGATCTTTTCGGTTGTAAAGATAATACTCCCTTATTTTTTTCTCAGTCATTTTATAGCTCGCTTTATCAACAATAATAATTATTGTACTTTAATTTTTAAATAAATAAATAAATAGTTATCTTATGATATATATATATACATACATTTCTTTTCTCAAGAGGTTTTTCCAATTACAAATGTGTGGTGGCCGAAGATTTGTACCATAAAGCGGGATTTTTTTCAATTAATTATTATTTGTCATATTTATTTGTTCTTGGTTGTGTGGTCAGAGAATTTTCCTCAAAATGTATCATAATCAATATCTTTGCCTTTATAATTTGATAATAATTATATACTGAATTTACTGAAGAGAAAAAAAAAATTACAAATAATTCAAAAACAAAATCTTGCTTGATGAATGTTGATGGCCCCTTTATTTATTGTTGAAAGTTCTAATATATGAATTATTCATAAGGGACCCAAATTTCGCAAAATCAAAAACAAATTACAAAATCGCATTTCTGTATCATGTGAGCATCAAAACAACCTTTAAAGAATCCGAAGGATTTTACTTTATAATTTTAATCGTCAAGATAATAGTATGCTTAATTATATTATTGGCCATCCTTTCTGTTTTTGCACAATATTAATTAACAGAGAGGCAATTAAAATATTAGCCAAATTACCAAAGAAAAAAAAAGTCACATTAATGTGTGCCAAACAAAACTACCTGCATTATGATAAAATGTGACGATAAATAATTGAGTTAGGAAATATCATGGTAATTAAAAGCTTGCAAATTGACCATCAGAAGATCAAGTTTGGTCAAAATTGATTGAGGAAGTTCCGCAACAAGATTTCAAGTATATCTTCTTTCAAAGTAAATTTTAATGTTGCATGAAAAAAGGTAAAAGTATGTATATGATTTTAATCAGATTTAAGTTAAAATCTTCACACTATTCCGATTTACTCTTTCATACAAAGAAATTTAGAAGAAGACAAAAATTCAAAAGCCTGATAGAAAACTCAAAAATTGACACGAAAGAAAAGAAAAATAGAGAAAAGACATTCGAGAATTATTGATTTTTCTTCTATTCCAGGCTTTTAAGAATGTTCCTTGTTCTTTTATAAATAGAAATTTGGCAGGAAACGGAAATTCAAGAACCTGGAATAGTAAACGCTATTACCTATCTCCACATGCAAACTGGTAGAATTTTTTGTCAACTGTATTGTCTGTATCTTTGGTATTGTCACCAATCAATCAAAATAATTTTAAAAAGAGTTTTCTGCGAAATAAAGTAGCCATATCAAACGAAACTTGTGTCAACAGTGATTTGTTATATTGGCGCCCAACGTGGGGCCCAAACCCACTATTTGGAATCGATGTCCAAGTGATTCTTCCAAGCTGTCAAGACCTGTTCTTCCACTCACAAATTTTGGTGAAAGTGGGCTTGCCTATGCAGACACAGGAGCCTCAAGGACCATTGCAGGAAAACGACTTTTCGACATTTATAAAACCCATATTGAGAAATCATCAGAAATAAAATATGAAACAGTCACAATTACATTAGCAGATGGAAGCATGAAGCATATCCCCTCAGAAGATACTCACTTTTTCTACAGATGTGAACATAGAGGACCATACAGTGTTGACAAACTTCCTAGCTCTGCCTAATGCTGAATACACCCTACTTAGAGCCGACTCTATTAGAAACTCTGAGATTGTGCTGGACTTATCAAACCGATCTTGGCAATTTGGAGCGAATTCCCATAATAAATATTCTTTTCCGAAGATTGTTGATGTTGCATCCAGTGAAACAACTTCACCGGCCATCAATGACTTTAATTCTCTGACCAATAATGAAAAATCTCACGAGCCCGAAGGGCGACGGTTTTTCTGATGATATGTATCAACAAAAAAAAAAATTATACTTTTTGGTGATATATTTATTTATATCATTAGAAAAAAACCCTCAACCTACGGGCACATAATTAAATCACGAATTTATAGGGTAAAGGCACAGCGCAAAGGTTTTTGTCTAGTAATATGCACGAATGTTTATAAAACTCCGGCCCTTCGGGCTCGTATAACCTCGGCCCTTCGGGCTCGTGATTAAAATAGCCCCGGCCCTTTGGGCTCGCATAACTCTGGCCCTCTGAGCTCGTAAAACTCCGACCCTTCGAGCTCGTATAACTGCGGCCCTTCAGACTCGTAATTAAAATAACCCCAGCCCTCTGGTCTCGCAAAAAACATATGGCAACACTGCTTATGAAACAACAAACGTCAAAAAATTGACGTTTCAAAGTAGGCCTTATTTTCCTTGACATTCGATACAAAATGGCGTTAGTCTGTTGCCCTGTGCGCTTAAAATTGAAAACACTCTCGCCCTTCGGGCTCGTAATTAAAAAAAAAAAAAAACGCTATTTCGACCCCAGGATGATACACCCTACTACTACAGGATGACCTATCCTCATCTCATAAGGTCTGTGTCTAACAATTCCCCCCCTTTCCACCATACCAAATTACCACTTGTGACATAGGCAGCATGTTATTTTTCGCCTTGATGTTAACTGTTTAAAACAGCTGACGACTTAGTTATGACGTGGGAAATGGTGACACACCAATATGGCGGCGATTACCAAAAACGAGGCCGATAAGCAATTCTGTAGGTGTGTATCATCCTTGGGTTTTCTAGACCGTTCCAGAATGGTTTTGAGAATCTCAGAGTGTTCTAGACTGTTCTGAATGTTCCAAATTATTTGAAAAGTGTTATGGAATTTTCTAAAATACCTGTGATTGTTCTTACTTAAATTTGAATTTTGGAGTATTTTCCTAAAGCGTCCTAAAATATTTCTTGATATTTGAAAAATCACGAGTTTGAAGGACGAGAGTTTTACAAAATCGCGAGTTCGAAAAGCGAGAGTTTTAAAAAATCACGACCCCAAAAGGCGAGAACTATAAAAAATCACGAGCTCGTACTTCGTAGGTGTGTCATTAGTATGTCAGGTGACAATTTCATTCTTAAATTATTGCTAGTATTGTTATTAGTAATTCTATGATTAGTTGGCGTCCTAGCTGCCTGTTTATTGTACTTAACTGTGCTTCAGTTGTTAATTAAAAATTTATGAATATTGTTCAGACCATAGTTTTACTTCACAAGAAAAACCCTACGTTTCAATAACTTTGACGACGTATCAAATTCGGTAATTGAGAGCAAAAGTATCCGCCCTTACAGTCCGGATTTTGAAAAATATCAGTAGAGGACAAGCATCGGGATAAAACGGCATTTGTCACCTCCTTTGGTCTATTCAGGTTTAAAAGGATGCCGTTTGGCCTTTAAAACGCTCCGGCTGATTTCCAGAGGCGAATAGATAAATTTAAGAGTGGTCTTGATGTTATATTATTTGCATATTTGGATGATCTGCTAGTTTTATCACAAACATTACAGGAACACTTGCAAAAAGTATTTGACCGACTTCAAAAATTCAACCTACGAGCTAACAGAGAGAAATGTTCCTTTGTCACTACAAACATTAAATATCTTGGTCATGTATTGACTTTTGAAGGTATTGTTGTAAACCTCGAGAAGATTTCAGCAATTTCTGATCTGCCAAGTCTAAAAAACATTAAAGGACTTCGCACCATAATTTGAAAATGTTAGAGTTTTCTGTCATATCAAACGAAACTTGTGTTATTTATCAGTGATTTGTTATAAAATGGAAATGAGAGGAGACAATTAAGGACAAATTGATGAATAATCAAAAAATAAAAGGCAATTCTTCAGTGAAACTTCAAAAAATCCTAAAACTCTTACCTAATTCCTATTTTTCCTTTCAAAAACAAAAATAAAAGATCTCCAACAAAAACCCACAAACACAAAAAAATCTCAAGTTTAAATATTTGTGCTGTTAATTAATGTAGCACCCAATGAAAACAAAACTGAAAATTGTTCAAGATTTACCATTAAATGGCAAATAAATGTTTTAATGGTGGCGGGGGTACTAAACGTGCAAGAACACACGGGGATTCCTTCGGAACCCACTTTTAGTCATTTTTTTTTTTGCCACGGGTTATACCAGGCTCCGATAAATGACCGTTTTATGAATGAATGGCGGGTACCAATAATAAATTAGTTTGGGATTACCGAAAACATTAATGATTTGATTCTTGTAAACCGGATTCATGTGGGTTCATTTTGCTACCATATATTGTAATCAGGATTTATGTGCGGGTTCATTTTGCTACCATATATTGTAATAATAATATAGGTAGTAAAGTGAAGCATCTTTTAAGGGAAAGCAAGGTCTTAAGATCGCGTGATGCGTAAAGCAATTATTATTTTTAAAACTTAGTTTTTTCTTTGCCAAATTGGTTCTTATGTAATTGAATTTACAAGAACTGCAAAACTGGAATTATAGAAGAAAAAAAAATCAAGGATACCTAAGTGTGTTTGCAAAAAAAAACTCAATAATGTATGACAATAAAAATTAATATCCTTTATTACGTAAGACAATAATTACTATAGCATAGGAGTAAGTATATTTGTTGAAAATTATATTAAAATTCCTTTAAGTATATTTATTTTTGTCTAAGAAAGGTCAACTAGCTTTATCAAAGTGGCATGTGGTCTATGGAGCACCTTATATTTACCACATACCCGTATGATGCAACTCAACTAGCACATATAAAATTGCAACCTTGTATGTATTCATTTATTAACAACAAAAACGCTTTACATAAAAATGTTAGTCTGAATGTAAAGCTTTATTGCCTAATTAAGTAGGCATTCGATAATTGATATTCTTGTCAATCAAGGTAGAACTAATAAGATGATATATGATTACATTAAATCAGGTGTGTAATTATAGCATTTTGATGCGGCATTATAATGAATTAAGTTATATGCATTCGATTACATTTTGCCATTACAAGGTCTTTAACGATAGAAATTCAAGAGACAAAAAGATTTCTCGATTGAATTATATTTTTTAAACAATTTAAATATATACGCAACCAAAGTGTTGAGGGTCCAAAGACAAGGGGGGAGGCATTATGAAAAAGTGTCTTAAGGGTAGATTGACAGACTTTCTATATGGTCGGTACAGTGTTCTCCGTTTGCCTTTTTTAGCAGACCAATTCCGTTATTTGAGTGTTTTTTTTTGGAAGAACTTTTTGGAGACGTTGAGCTGGGGCTAATTCGTCAATCCCCTCGCAGAATTGTCTCCATGATTTCCTTTTTGATTTTCTTAATTCGCAGTTGTACTTGTCTAACTACTATAGTCTGCCCCGTTAGTTTTTGCCTTGTTGAACAGTTTTCTGGCATCTTGTTTTAGACGTCTCATAAAAATTGACAAGAAAATGTTTCCCTTTCAATTCAAATTCTTGAATTTTCTTTATTTTTCCTATTCCAGGCTCTCGATTTTTCCTTATTTCTTTATTCTAAAGTCGTAACTTTTCTAAAATACTATTTAGGGGCGAATTTTAGGGAGCTGTCACTCCGAAAGAGGGGCCATTTACCAAAAATAGAAAATACGAGACTCCTATTTCTCATTACAACAATCTTCGAATAAATTTTAATACATTTATTTTCGGACAATTTGAATTTAAAAATGTATTCCATCAACGATTTCTTGAACTTGCGACATGGAAGGCATACCAGTGACGTCACCTTTTTTTTACTAATATCCTTGCTTGAGTTTGCTATCAACAAAAATGCCTCAAGCTAATTGTATTTGGTTGATTTATTGATAGTGCTCTATTTATTATTTAATTTCCATGCAATTTATTGCTGAAATAGAGGTATTGAGGTGATTTTAAACAATTTTAATAGAGCTTTATTAATAACATTACCTGGCGCCATCTGTGATTGAATACTAGAAATACTTATTCAGATTAGTTTATGGTAAAAATTGCCTTTAAAACGTGGCTCATAATTCAATTATGGTACTTTTAATTGTGTGCATATTAATCTTAATCACAAAAACAATAAATAATAACTTAAATAAATGTTTAGTAAATGCAACATACTATATCCTATTACAGATTCCTATAATAAAAAGCATTTCCAATTTGACTTTGACAATTGACAGTTCGCCGGCTCCTACTCTTATGAAAATAATCAAATGCATTTTCCATTATTCCATTCCAAATTGTGAAAAAACATGTTTCCAGTGAAAATTCTATCTCCAAGTACTTCTGGAAAGCATTTATAAATCTAGACTTTCACTTGCTAGCCTTCCGTCTTGCTCCGGCAAGTAGAAAGCTCTAAATTATGAATGTTTTTCAGAGATGTCCCAACACGTCGGAATTGGAGCCCCTCTATCTGCCCCAGCAGCTCTATCTGCGCCCCATCGCGAAAATAAACATCTCCCTGCAGCTGCCCAATGTCAAAAAACTCGGAAAAAGCATTTCCCATTGGGAAATCATGGATAAACTCAAGGAGCTTATCAGGCCGGACGAGTTTTCTGTGCTCAAAGTCAACAAGACCACTCTGGACTTTATAAGGTTTGAGGCTGAAGTTGAAAAACGTAGCAAGCTGGAACGTGTTATTACCAAGCTGAACAATAAAATGATCAAACTTAAGGATTTTGCTGAAATGATGAGAGTCAAAGCTGGCGAAGCCCATTCCGAATTTCCTAATAGGAGAATATGGGATGCTTTTTTTTCTGAAGCTAAAAATATGGACGAAATGAAACCTGGGGAACGTCCTGATACCATTCACATTTCCAATTTACCTTCTCAATGGTTCACACCTCATTATTTGAAACAGGATGAAGATGCAACACCATCAGGTAATTTGTGTGTATTAGGGCCAAATTATGGACCAACTGGTAAGTGTCTGGTTGTTACCCAGCAGGTACTTTCAAAGTCAAAGTCAAAAAATGCTTTATTGTCTAAGAACAAAATTCTCGTTGACAAAGCTGTAAAAGGGAAAAAAAAAAACATTATACAAAAATAATTCCAGGGCCATAGAGTACCAAGATTGAAATAATCAAAATAATAGTATATTATATACCTAGGTAGAGAAGTTGGTCATTATATACCAAAAGCTTTTATAAACCGAGGCGCGCAGCGCCGAGGTTTATAATGCTTGAGGTATATAATGACTTTCTCTACCGAGGAATATATAGAATTTTTTTTACTACTGCTAGTAGAAAATAAAAAAATTTGTTTAAAATCTGTGTTCTAATTATTTTTTTTTACCACTAACCTGAGAAATAGACATTATTCAATCTATTTTTCTAAGAAAAAATTGAATTTCTCTCCCTAGGTTAATAATGAAAATAATGAAAAAATACCTAGGTCAATAATGAAAGTGACGTCATGACGCAAGGATATTGTCATGTTTCTATTGGTTCAATTTCAATTTCATACGTCAATTTGAAAAAAAATACAGGTTTCTGTAGGTACATAGGAAGTTATATAAGCTGTTAATAGAGGGCAGCACTTTCAAGAGGGCGTTCACAAAAATAATTAGAACACAGATTTTAAACAATTTTTTTATTTTTTACTAGCAGTAGTAAAAAAAATTCTATATATTCCTCGGTAGAGAAAGTCATTATATACCTCAAGCATTATAAACCTTTCGGTATATAATGACCAACTTCTCTACCTAGGTATATAATATACTATTTGTGAACGCCCTCTTGAAAGTGGTGCCCTCTATCAACAGCTTATATAACTTCCTATGTACCTACAGAAACCTGTATTTTTTTTCAAATTGAGGCATGAAATTGAAATTGAACCAATAGAAACATGGCAAGATCCTTGAGTCATGACGTCATTTTCATTATTGACCTAGGTATTTTTTCATTATTTTCATTATTAACCTAGGGAGAGAAATTCAACTTTTTCTTAGAAAAATAGATTGAATAATGTCTATTTCTCAGGTTAGTAGTAAAAAAAATCATTTAAACAGTCATTAAAACAAAAGATGAAGTCACTTTAAAAATCAACATAAATATAAACATAAATCAACATAAATACAAAAACATGTTCATTCTAAAATATAAAATACAAAATATCAAAATTGCACAAACGTAAAGTCAACAGACATAGAAGTCATTAAATAAAACTACAAATTATATTCAGACAGTCACAAGAAAGCATCTTGGAAAAATTCTTCTGTGCTATAGTAGGCCTTTGATAATAGAAGCCTCTTAAGATGTACTCTAAATTTTTTACCAGATACTATCTGTCTCAGATGCAGTGGCAAATGGTTACAGATCTTTTTACTTTGATAGATTATCGAGTTTTTTGTTTGTGTGGAGGAAGGGATAGGAAGGTTCACATTGTGTGTTTGTCGAGTGGTATGTACAGATGAAAATTCGTGTATGTTTTCCTTAAACTTTTTATGAACGAGACATGAAGTCTCTAGTAAAAAAATACTAGGAAATGTAAGCAATTTATGACGCAAAAACAATGGTCTACATGAGTCTCGTAATCCTATCTTAAACATATACCTTACCGCCCTCTTTTCAAACCAAAAAATATATTAAAGAGAGACAATGAACAAAAACCCCAGAAACATATTCCATACCGCAAATGGGATTCAACGAGAGCAAAGTATGCACTTTTTGTTGTCCCAAGATCTAGCTTACTCAATATTACTCTGATTGCATAACATCCTGATGACACCTTTTTGCTCATGTATGTTAAGTGAGGCTCAAATTTTAGTCTATCGTCTATGTATACTCCTAAAAACTTACTCGATTTTTGACTGGCAACAGTATCTGCCCCTAAGGTAATTCCCTCAAAACCACATTTAAATGTTAACACATTTGTCTTCGACACATTAAAAGTTAAACAATTCGCATCAGTCCATTCTTTTACCTTAACTAAATCATTATTGATATCCAATTTAAGCTGTTCTACATCCTTATTTACCCAGGCATCATCGGCAAACAGTGTAAATACCCCAACTATATCAATGCTAGACAGATCGTTGATGTACAATAAAAATAATAGAGGTCCCAAAACAGATCCTTGTGGAACTCCTGCACTTATAGCCAGTTGTTCTGAATCAACACCATCAAAAGTAACTCTCTGTGCCCGTTCAGAAAAGTAGGACTCAAACCACTTTAGAGCTATGTTGTATTCATTCAATAGATGTTGATAAGTTGAAAGATGTTAAATTTATTCGATTTGCAGAAAAAGCTTTCTATTCTCTAGTGCATAGAAAGTACCTCTGGGGGGGGTTTATTTGAATTGTGCAATTCAAATTCGTCTGACTAAGTCGCATTTTTTAGCATAGAAATACCGGCAAAAATTACGACTTAGTCAGACGTATTTGAATTGCACATTTCAAATAAACCCCCCCTGCTAGGTAACAACCAGATGTTTACCAGTCAGTCCATAATTTGGCCCATTTGTATTATTACAAGGGTTTTAATTATTGATTATCTATACCTACCTAGAGAAAATCTTCTATAAAATTTTTGAAAAATTTGGCCCTATTCGTTATGTAGACATCCCCATTTGCGATCCTTACCGCAAAAAAATGAAAGACCACATTTCTGGTCTAAAATATTCAACTTTTGATAAAATGGATTGGTTCGAGGGCTACGTACAATTCAAAGACTATATTGGCTTCACTAAAACTATGGATTTTTTTCGTGATAGAAAATTAGTCCATAAGGAAGATGATGGAGAGATGGAAGTTGAAATTAAAGTTGATTTCGATAAAAGCAAACATTTAAGGTAACAACTAAGAAGGGGTAAAAATATTCAGCTACAAGTTTTTGGTTTTATAGTGATGCTTCTATAAGAAGACGGGAAATTGTGAGGGATAGATTAGTCAAGAAAGCTCGAGAGAAAGAAGAAAAGGACAAGAAAGAGTTTGAGGAGAAGAAGCGACATGAACAAGCTGAAAGGTTAGAAATAGTGTCTTTGATACTAACTGGTGTAGAGTTAGTTCCTAGAAATTATTATATTTTGAATAAATTTCAAATTGTCCCTAAATTTACTATTTCAAGGATAAAGATTGAACCCGAGATTGAAATGATTTTGCTCTTGATTTAATGTAGGAAAATAATAATTTTCAGGTGCTAAATTCATAATGCACCTGTAAAGATGCTAATTTTTTAACATTGTTTATTGTCCTACTGGATCTTTGTGAGAGGTAAGTGCTGATTTGCAGAAAGAAAGAAGAAAATTTGAAGGAGCAAAAGGAAATCCGGCGACGCGTCAGGGAAGAAAAACGCAAAGCAAAAATAATGAAAAAACTTGAAATCACTGGCTCTGACGAGATCAATGCAAAAATTGCCAAGGAGGAAAAGAAGCTCATCAAAGTCCAAAGAAAACTTGAAGCCATTAGATTACTTGAGGAACTATTTAGGAGATGTAAAGTAAGAATCTGTATTTTTTTTCTTAAGAGTTTTATTCAATATTATTTTTTTTTAGGACAAAATTGAGGGTGATGTACAGCATTATGATGCTCCAGATCCAAGACGAGATGAGGTACATCTGAATTACACACAATGATAATTGTTTTCTAATTATCAGAAATTTTCAGCTTAAAAGACTGAAGAACATTAGAGAATTAAACTATTTGAGTCAAAAAGAAAAGCTTCATAATGCTGTCAAAGGACGAGTCATGCTGAAAACAATCTTATCTGAAGAAGTCAAGACTAGAAAAATGTTGGAATCTTCTGATTCTGAACTATCTTTAGATGAAGGCCCTCCTACTAGTAATGAGTTTTTTCTAAATAAAAAGACTATTTTATAATTTGCACTTATAGGAAGATTGAATGCTCCAATGCGCAGTCAACATCCAGCGGAATTGATATATGATGGACACCCTCCAGCTCCTGCAATGTATGGATACCCTTATCCGCCCATGTATCCACCTTATGGAGCTCCAATTTATCCTGATATTGATATTTTTGCTATTTACAGGGGCAGGGGAAGAGGTAAAAATAACTGAATTTCAATTCTAACTCTAAAAATATAAAAATTTAGACTAACATTTTCAGATTTACCTACATGTATACAGGGTGTCCCACGGTGGATGGCGTATTAGACGTTTATAGAGAACTAAAAAGCGGATCATTCTGAAAATTTGGCAACCGGGATAAACGACCATAATCTACACTTTAAAAATATTTTTGTTTATGCGGTGTTGCCGCTTCTACTCTAAACCAGTGGCAACATCGCTATTTTAAATGGAACACCCTGTATGTGATTGCATATTTGGATTATACGTAAAATTCTGAGCAAATTTCATGTGATATACCCTATACCTAAGTTCATCTGTTTTGGAAATATTGAGAGTTGAAAATTGACTTTTTGCAACTTTGACAGGCTGTAAAACCTGAACAGTTAATTTTGGAGAAAAACCGATTTTACGTTCCTATTTTAGATTTTTATAAACTATCATTTGACACCAACTTTGAATTTAACCGGAGATTAAATTTAATTGGAATTTTTAATTATGGATTAAATTCAAAGTTGGTATCGAATGATAGTTTATAAAAATCTAAGATGGGAATGTGAAATCGGTTTTTCTCTAAAATTAACCGTTCAGGTTTTACAGCCTGTCAAAGTTACAAAAAGTCAATTTTCAACTGTCAATATTTCCAAAACAGTTGAACTTAGGTATAGGGTATATCATATGAAATCTGCTCCTAATTTTACGTAGAATCCAAATATGCAATTTAATACGGGGTGTTCCATTTGAAATAGTGATGTTGCCACTGGTTTAGAGTAAAAGCGGCAGCACCGCATAAACAAAAATATTTTTAAAGTGTAGATCATGGTCGTTTATCCCGGTTGCCAAATTTTCAAAATGATCCGCTTTTTAATTTTCCATAAACGTCTAATACGCCATCCACCGTGGGACACCCTGTATATATTTAGTTGAAAGAAAAATATATATACAGGGTGAGTTACTAAGCGCGCGGTCGTCCATATCTCTTATACTAACGGAGATCGAAGAAAAAACTAAATACAAAACTTGTAGATAAACATTAGTACTACATTCCCGAATTATTTTCCAGTATACAGGGTGGCCCAATAACTAGTAGTGACACAAAGTTATGTTTTTTTTAAATGACTCCCCCTGTATGTTCTGACTTTTCTGGATTCTGCGGAAAATTCTAGACATATTTCATGTACAATGTCATATACCTATCTTCAATTGTTTCGGAAATATTGACAGTTGAAAATTGACTTTTTTGCATCTTTGACAGACTGTGAAACCTAAACGGTTAATTCTAGAGGAAAACGGATTTTATGTTCCTATCTTAGATTTTCATAAGCTATCATTTGGCACCAACTTTGAATTCAACCGAAGATTAATAATTTGGGTAGAATTTTTAATCATGGATTGGTGTCAAATGATAGTTTATGAAAAACTAAGATAGGAATGTAAAATCCGTTTTCTTGTTAAATTGACCGTTCAGGTTTTAGTCTGTCAAAGATGCAAAAAAGTCAGTTTTCGACTGTCAGTATTTCCGAAACAGCTGAAAATAGGTATATGACATTACACATGAAATATGTCTAGAATTTCCCGCAGAATCCAGAAATGTCATAATATACAGGGCGAGTCATTTAAAAAAACCTAACTTTGTGTCACTACTAGTTATTGGGCCACCCCGTATACTGGAAAATAATTTAGGAATGTAGTACTTATGTTTATCTAGAAGTTATGTATTTGGTTTTTTCTTCGATCTCTGTTAGTATAGGAGATATGGACCACCGCGCGCTTAGTAATTCACCCTGTATATATGTGTGTCCACTTAAGTTTGCAGCATTTTTTAATTAATAATTTTACAAAAAAAAAGTTATTCTTTATAAAAGTTTCTGCTTCTCGAAAAAATAATATTAAACTACTAAAACTTGAAATAGCATGTACAGGGTGGTCAAAAAATAGAAAAATATACAGAATTTTTTGATAAAAAACGGTAAAAGTAGAAAAAAAATGGCGTATCACTATTCTTTAAAACTTTTGATATTTTTTCACATTCAGCAAGTCATATTAAAGTCAAAAGAGACCTTTAAACAGACCTGCCAAATTTGAAGAAAAAAAAAATTGGAAAATGGATTTTTGAGCTAAAAAAACGATTTTTTCTAAAACTTTGACACCCTGTATTTCAGAAACTATGCACTTCCGGACACATGTTTATGGGAACTTTTTTTCTTAAAATATTGTAAGGAATCACATCCTGAAGTCACGAACCGCACTCAGGAAACACCCTGTATATTTTTTTAGGTTTTGACCACCCTGTACATACTATTCCAAGTTTTAGTAGTTTAATATTATTTTTTCGAGAAGCAGAAACTTTTATAAAGAATAACTTTTTTCCGTAAAATTAATAATAAAAAAAGTTTTCTATATGGTGCGAACTTAAGTGGACACACTATATATAAAAATCCTTAAATAGGTAAAGTATTTATTCTCATAAAATTATTTATTTATTCATGATAGGTCGTGGTAGAGGTAGAGGTGCTTTTGTACCACGTGGTAGAGGTGGACCAATGAGAAACCAATATCCACCAGAGGTTTTTGAAGAATACTCGACCAAGTATTATAATAACAATGTAAAACATCATCATCAGCACGATGATAGGCGCAGGTCTTATTCTCCACGAAGTTCGCACAAGCACCGTTCCTATAGTAGATCTAGAAGCAGGAGTTATTCTAGAAGATCCAGGAGTAGGTCGAGATCCAGGAGACGTTCCAATAGGAGATATGACAGGGATAGTAGGAGTAGATCTAGAAGTCATAGAAGGAGGTCAAGGTAAGTAATAACAAGGGTTTGGTATGTTTTATATTTTTTGGTTTTTAGGTCAAGAAGGTCTAGAAGTAGGACCCGAGATAGGCATTCAAGGAGTAGAAGCAGGACAAAGGATCGTCGATCTCGTAGCAAATCTAAGAGTAAATCCAAGTCTAGGGAAAAATCCGTGGATTCTTCTAAGTTTATAACTCCTAAGCAGCTGTTAGAGCAAAAAGCACAAGCTAGAAGTCGCAGTAAGTCTTGGTCCTTGCCAAAGGACGGCGAGAAAGAGAAAGGAAAGTCTTGGTCTAAAAGTCCAGAAAAGGAAAAGTAATGTAGTCGATATGTTTAAAGCTTAAGTATAATTTTATAGGGTTGTTATTTATTTATCCCAAGAGCAATTTTTCTTTTCTATTTTGTATTCAGAAATTTATTTTATAATAGGATAAACATTGATTTGAATTGGGAATATTATTATATTATAAGTAAAAACTGAACATTTTTTTTTATGCCTGTTCCCAATCACAAACTAATTTGAATAGAACTGGGAAAACAGAAAACGGCTTCAAATTCAATAGCTCATTTATTCAATATCAACATCTTCAATAATATAATATCTTTAAAATACCACAATTGAAATAAATATACAATTTAAAAAAATAATACAGCACATCAATGCTGCTTTCATAAAAACAATATCCTTCAATAAATTGTTCTCTACATCACCAGTTTTAGTACACTACAAATCATTTATACAAAAATAATTAGTCTTAAATTGAAGTGATGGTCTATTGGTCTATTAAAAAAACAAATGTCTAAGCCAGGGCTGATACAGGCAAAGAACTGTGCTTTGGTTTAGTTTTATTAACAAATATTTTAATACAACCATTAAAATCGGCAGATACCAGAACGTAACCTCCACACCCTTTGGTGTGCTGTTCCACCATGGGATCTTCGACTTTATTGAAATCTTCTCTACTATCACTTTGGTACTTTTGATTCTCTTCTAACATTTTGATAATGGCTTCGGGATTCGGCGCAAACACTGCGCAAGTCACTACAGCGTTGTGAGCTTTGATCGCTTCCCAGAAATCGTTTCTGTCACGTCTCACCGAGGAAAATTTAGCGTAATCATGGTTGGTTTTCCAAATGTAGATGTCTCGATTTTCTGAACCACTAACTATGTATTTGCCGTCGTGACTGAAACTTCCTTTGATCTGGCTGCTCATATTTACATAACCTGAGAAAATTATAATTTAAGAAATTTTCCGATATCACATCATAGGGGCAGTTTCTCAATAGCAAATCAACCCCGGGTTAAAAATAATTCCAGGCTAAACAGTGCAACTGGACAGGTTTACCCTGGAGTTAAAACTAACCTTGTGACTTGCTATTGAGAAACCAACCCATTAGTCCATTTAACGTGGCTCCGTTTAAACTAAAAACGGTTAGTAGCGGTATGTCAAGTATGACATACCGTTTTCTAACCCCGTTACAAAGTGACGTGATCGATATCACTCGAATTTGAGCGGTATGTTGTGGTTTGTTAAACCGGAGCCACGTGAAAAGGGTTATAGTGATTTGATAATGAAGTCTATTTTATAATTCAAAATAAACCAGTAAGCATTATAGGGTTTCCATAAAGGTTTTTCGCAATTTAGGACAAAGAAGTCAAGAAATCCGGATTTCGCCGAAATAGCTATTTATGCAACAAGTATGTAAACTAAAACTTTTTTCATGAATGTGACTTCTGACGCACGAGCCGAAGGCGAGTGCGACAATCACATGAGTGCAAAAAGGTTCACTCTACACACGTATTGCATATAAAAAAAATTCTACTATGTACCAATGAAATATGTGTAAAAAAATAAATTCAGACGAATACTTTACGCACTAGTGTGTAAAGTGAATAAATAATTTACTAGAAAAAAAATGACAGTGTCGACATCTGTCATTGACATTACCCACTCCACGCACTAGTGTGTAAAGTGAATTACTTCACGTACAAATGCGTGAAGTTAAATTTTACGTCTTTTGAAAAGGGCGTAAAGTGAGTACTTTACTCACGGTAAAAGAAAATAGTTATTTATGTAACAAGTGTGTAAAGTAAACCTTTTTTCACGAATGTGAATTTTGACGCACGAGCCGAAGGCGAGTGCGACAATCACATGAGTGAAAAAAGGTGCTTTACGCACGTATTGCATACAAAATTTTTTCTACTATCAATCAAGTATGTGTAAAAAAATTAATTTTAACAAATTCTTCACGCACTAGTGCGTAAAGTATTTTTACTTTACACATTAGTGCGTGAAGTAATTTACCAGAAAAATAGTAATTTGACAGGTCGACATCTGTCATTGACATTACTTTACGTACTAGTGTGTGAAGTGAACTACTTTACGCACTAGTGCGTGAAGAGAAATTTTACGTCTTCTGAATAGTGCGTAAAGTGAGTACTTTAGTAGCACGGTAGTAGAAAATAGTTATTTATACAACAAGTGTGTAAAGTGAAAAAAGGTGCTTTACGCACGTATTGCATACAAAATTTTTTCTACTACCAATCAAATATGTGTAAAAAAATAAATTTAGACAAATACTTTACGCATTAGTGCGTGAAGAATTTTAACTTTACGCACTAATGCGTGAAGTAATTTACCAGAAAAATGCCAAATTGACAGTGTTGACATCTGTCACTGACATTACTTTACGCACTAGTGTGTGAAGTGGATAACTTTACGCACTAGTGCGTGAAGTGAAATTTTACGTCTTCTGAATAGTGCGTAAAGTGAGTACTTTACGCACGGTAGTAGAAAATAGTTATTTATGCAACAAGTGTGTAAAGTGAACTTTTTTTCACGAATGTGAATTTTGACGCACTCGCCTTCGGCTCGTGCGTCAAAAAACGCACAAATTGCATACAAAATGTTTTCTACTACCAATCAAATATGTGTAAAAAAATAAATTTAGTCAAATACTTTACGCACTAGTGCGTGAAGAATTTTCACTTTACGCACTAGTGCGTGAAGTGATTTACCAGAAAAATGCCAAATTGACAGTGTCGACATTTGTCATTGATATTACTTTACGCACTAGTGCGTAAAGTGAAATTTTACGTCTTATGAATAATAATAATAATAAGTATCTTTATTGTAGGACTTGCCTAATATACAAAACAAGATTACATACATCAGTAAAAGAATGCACTATTACACATTATTATTTCAATCCAATATACAATAGGACAATAGGATGATTTCATAGACCAATATCACAAAGTGTCATCTCAATCTCACAAAACTATTAAAGACTATTAATATTAACTACATTCTCCGCATATGGTGGCTCAACAATCTTTTAAACATATTTACATTTGGTAGATTTTTTAGTTCCATAGGTAACTTGTTGAATGCGTCTAAACCTTTATTAAATAAACTGTTCATACTACTTTTTAAGTTAGTTCTTGTAATGTGGAAGTTATTTCTTGATCTAGTTCCATAGTTATTGCGAATAAGAAATTTATCAAAATAGATTGGTCTATTATTTTGTTGTGTAATTTTAAATATAAATGTCATATTCAAGTAATAAATCTTATCACGAACTGATTGCCATTGCAGAGTTCTTAACATAGTGCTAATTGGTGTGTATCTATTACACTTTAGAATACACCTCATTCCCTTATTTTGTAGTTTATGTAATTTTGAAGTATGGTTTTGATTAAATAAGTACAATAGTGTAGTGCAATAGTCAAAGTGAGGTCTGATGATACAGTTATAGCACGTGAGTCTAACGTTTAAAGAAAGTGATTTTGAAATTCTAATGAAGAAATACAACTTCTTTGAAATCTTTGATATTATATATTCAGCATGTTTATCTAATCGAAGTTTACTATCTATCAGATACCCTAAATATTTTATTTCACTTTCAATTTCAATCCTACAATTATTAATCTGAATATTTATTGAATTTATGTTTATATTCTTATGTTTAGCTTCAGTAGTTATAATCATAGCTTTAGTTTTAGAGACATTTAATTTTAGTTTGCTTATAGTTAAGTATTCTTCTATATTTTCTAGCGATTCGTTAATTTTTTCTTGCGCCCTTGTTAACTCCGTATCCGTGACATAAATAAGTGTATCATCAGCAAACAAGTTGATTCTATGCATACCTGGAACATAACTAATATCATTCAAATATATTATAAATAGAAGAGGGCCCAAAACACTATCCTGTGGGACACCCATATCATTTAAAAGTAAATCTGACATACAATCACACACCCTAACCCTCTGAAACCGATCACTCAAGTAAGATCCTAGCCAGCCCAGTAACTCCATAATATTCTAATTTATTCAACAGTGTTTCTCTATTTATTGTCTCGAAAGCTCTTTTAAATTCTAAAAAGATAGCTACAACATACTGATTATTATCTAAACAGTTTTTCCATTCTGAGATAATAAGTTTTAGTGCAGTTTCACATGAATGGCCTTTGCGAAAACCAGACTGATAGTCGAGAAAAAGATGATTTTCATTGAAGTATTCAACTAATTGATCATAAATTGCCAATTCTAATATTTTTTCGAGACATGGTAACGTGTTTATCGGTCTAAAATTTGCAGCATTTTCTGTGTTGGAAACTTTTGGTATAGGCGTAATTGTACTGGTCTTGAGCTGATCTGGAAATATACCAGACTTTATTGATGCATTAATAAAATTCAAAATGACATGACCTATTGAATACAAAGACTGCTTAAGAAATTCGCTGCTTATTGTTTCACCCTTATTATTTTTATCCAAAGAAAAAATAATTTTTTTCAGTTCAGAAAATGTTATTTCTCTAAAGCTAGCTAAGCCACACAAAACTGGTTCATAACCAGCTGGAGACCACTGTTGGGCTGTGGAAATACTCATAGAAATGTCAACAATGCTAGTAATAAAGTACCGATTGAAAGAATTTGCAATTACCATTGGATCTGTTTCAATTTTTTTCTGATTGTTAAATATTTGGTTTTTTGATGGATTAATTAGTTGTTTCAAGTATTTCCACATTTCTTTTGGATTTTGCTTATTTTTGTCAATTTTATTTTCAAAATAAAGCTTTTCTTACTTGCATATTACTGGATCTAAATTGTTTATATGCTCGATCTTTTTCTTTGGACAAATTTTTTAGAACATCATCATAATATGGTACCTGATTTGAATTACATTTAATTTTTTTTAATGGTGCAACCTGATCAACAACAAACGTACAATTTTCCAAAATTTCTCTCACAACAATATTTACATCTGCAGTATTTAAATTCCAATTCAAAGACAACAATCGTGAATTAATTTCCCCAAAAGTATTATCATTCAACCGTCGGACATACATATATTTATCTATTCTAGGTTTCAAGCAATTGAAAAGATTTATTGAAATCAATGAGTTATCTTTGGCAAATCAACTACTTCCGCATTAACATTCTCGAAATTACTTACAACATAATCAATTAAAGTTCTTGAGTCCTTTGTTAATCTGGTATATGTTGATATCAATTGATCAACGCCTCATGAATCTAACATATTTTTAATTTTTCTTGTATAAAAACCATCATTATTACTAAAGTCAATATTTACATCACCAACCAAAATACATTTTTTTCCATTAAAATATTTATCAAGTATTTCATCAAAACATTCCAAAAACAGGGGATGACTTGCATTTGGTGAATGGTACAGCCCGCCTATGAGCCACTTCTTTCCACTTACTTTAACTTCAACAAATTGAATCCAAAAATTCATATCATGCACCAATGACTCTTTCACTTTGAATTCAATATCATTTCGAATGTAGATTATGACTCCACCAGTGTGTCTTGTTGAACTGTCACAACGAACAGTATTGTAGTTATCTATTGATAATTCTGAATCTTGAAACTCCTCAGTAATTCTTGTCTCACTCAGTATAACAATAAGCGGACTATAGCAAAAAACATTTGTGATTAACTGTACTTTATGCGCATAAAGGCTTTCAATGTTGAGATAAATAATATTTTGGTTAATGGAAATAAACTGACCCTTTTGGACAATTTGATGCATATTAGGATCCATTAGTTTTTTCTATTGTTTGGTAGATTTTGATCATTTGTTTTCTTTACTATGGTGGGAACAGAATTTACATACTTAATTGTTTGAGAGTTATCACCACTTGCAACAATATCTTGGAGCCTTTTCTGTACCGATTTGAAATATAATTGTTGTTTTTTCGTTTGATCCCCAAACATTCTAATATTTGTTAAGTTCTTCCTACTTCTTAGAACTTTTTTTGCATCATTAGCATTATCAAACACAACTTTTATGGGTCTACAACGATTTTGTTGATATTTTCACAATCTTTGTACCACAACATTCCTATCAACAATAATAATATTTTCCAATAATTTTAGTACTGTTTGCTTTTCATCCAAACTTCGTTCAATTCTGTTTGCCTTTATTGACTCATTAATATTCAATATAATAACATTTTTTGATCTGAGTTTTCTTTCTTCCATTTCAGTAATCATATTCTCAATTTCTTCACTTATACCGGGTGGTCCTCCGGGAATGACATCGATTGCTTATGGGAAAACTGTGAAAGGTAAAAATTTGAAAATTTGGCAACATAGCAATGTCGATGGGGGACATCCAGGTAAAATATTTTCAAGATGGCGGCATTTCCGGTCATACCGGAAGTTGATACCAACTCGGTTATTTTAAATAGAACACCCCATATATTAATGTATTTTTGGATTCTACATAAAATTCTGAGCAGATTTCATGTAATATACCCTATACCTAAGTTCAACTGTTTTGGAAATATTGACAGTTGAAAATTGACTTTTTGCAACTTTGACAAGCTGTAAAACCTAATTGGTTAATTTTAGAGGAAAACCGATTTCACATTCCTATCTTAGATTTTGATAAACTATCATTTGACACCAACTTTGAACTTAAACGGAGATTAAATTTAACTGAAATTTTTAATCATGGATTTAATTCAAAGTTGATGTCAAATGATAGTTTATAAAAATCTAAGATAGGAATGTCAAATCGGGTTTCCTCTAAAATTAATTGTTCAGGTTTTACAGCCTGTCAAAGTTGCAAAAAGTCAATTTTCAACTGTCAATATTTCCAAAACAGTTGAACTTAGGTATAGGGTATATTACATGAAATCTGCTCAGAATTTTATGTAGAATTCAAAAATACATTTATATACGGGGTGTTCTATTTAAAATAACCGAGTTGGTATCAACTTCCGGTATGACCGGAAATGCCGCCATCTTGAAAATATTTTACCTAGATGTCCCCCATCGACATTGCTATGTTGCCAAATTTTCAAATTTTTACCTTTCACAGTTTTCCCATAAGCAATCGATGTCATTCCCGAAGGACCACCCTGTATTTGCTGTTGCTAATTGATGGGGTGTTGCTTCAAGAATATCAATTTTTTCTTGAATCAATTTAATGTTTTCAGTAGTTTCCGCTACTTGTTTTTTTAAATTATTCATCAGTTTTGAGATTCTTGACTTCTTTTATTCTATTAGGAATTTTCTTAAAAGCTTCTCTGCATTCAGGACAAAAGAAGATAAGTGATCTACTTTTCAGCCAACCCTCATCGGTGTGAAAAGGTAACATGCAGCTATCACATAACACATATTTTTGATCTTTTCCAACGTCTTCAGAACATGTACCATATTCTCTCGACATTTCACAAGATAAAAATGTTCAACTATGCTTGGGTGTGACGAGGTGACCTTCTCAGGACACTAAACCATAACAGATTTCAATTGGTTTTTATGTTAAAAAAAAACGCACCTCAACGTTCACAAAACAATGCAAGGGTCCTATTTACCAGTTTGATGCAAAATTTATAATTTATTTTACACTATTACCACGTAAAAACGACAAATTTTGAACCACAATGTAAACAATGATACACAATGTTGCCACTTTTTTGCAATAATGCGTAAAATGAGTACTTTACGCACGGTAGTAGAAAGAAATAATTTAGTTAGGTTGTTTTCACGATCTTCGAGTTTTCCAGACATTCTTCCGAATTCCGGCCGGACACCCTAAAAAGCCAAACATGTCCGGGTAAATCCGGACGTATGGAAACCCTAAAGCAATATGATTTTTACTATTTAATTTTAGTAGTTCTCACCTTTTCCTTTATATTTACAAGAAACATTCAAGTCTCTCAAATCATACAAACGAATCCGGCTGTCATTGGAGGTAACTAAAATTTTGTCTTCGCCAGGCATTGGTTCGATTCCGCTCACTTTTCTACCAACTGCGTTGCGCCCTCTAGATGATCTCACGTGAATTTGCGTGTGGTATTTCAATTGGTCAGTGCTTAAAAATAATTTTTAAAACATCATTAATTTGCTTGAGAGAAAAACTTACCTATAAAAAATGCATCTGCCATCATAAGTACCAACAACAGCGAATTTACCGTTCTGACAAAAATTTGCAGCAGTTATTAATTTAGGATTACCTTCCACTTCATTCCAAACTGCTACCTGGAATTTACCACTTAATTTCGATTACCAACAAAAATCACAACTTAACTTTCTTATCAGGTATATTCCAAAGCCTTAGTTTACCATCCAAAGAGCCACTTAAAAAATACCTATCGTCTCTGGGATGAAAAACAATGGCGGTAACAAAATCAATATGCTGAAAACAGCACAGGCATTCTTTTCTTGAAATATGCCACAACCTTACGGTTTTATCCATGCTAGAAGACAGAATGAAATAATTCTTTGACCAAGACACATCCAAAAGATCAGATGTGTGTCCTGAATAGGTGCAAAAAGGTTTAGGCATAAAAGTAATCCTACTGGCTTCTTCAGGACTCATCGCTTCTAGGGCTGCTAAGTTAGAGTAATCTGTTGAATGATGAGAGGCTAAAGATTCTTGTGATGGAGTTGGTGACACTTTTTCTGCATTATATTTAGTTCTCATATCCTAATAATATCAATAAATTAAAACATGTTTTAAGCATAAAAAAAATGATTACCTGGAAGAAAGGATAAGCATCCTTGATAACCCAAATTCTTAAAATCTTATCCTGGCCAGCAGTAGCTAATAAACGTCCGCAACTAGAAAACTTCATGCACCAAATAGAACCTTCATGTTGGCCATCTTTTAGTTCTTGAATGTGTTCGATTTTTTCAAATTCAAACGGGCCCTTGTGGGAGTTGGAAGCCTACAATTCAATACTAATTAATGAAAACAAATTCAATTTGAGGCTACCTTTAATTTGCACAATTGCTCTCCCGGATGGACATTGTCAACAATATCAATGACGTCTTCTTTGTGTCTGGCATGCGACACTTCTTGGGCGATGCTTTTAGCTTTGTGCATGGCTTTTTTGACGTTGGTGCCTATAAGCCTTTTTAATTTGGCTGTTCTTTTTCTCATGCCTGGAATTTTAGATTTGTTTTATTAGGAAATATATAGTTTCAAATTACCTCCGGCTTCATTGTCATCGACAATAGGAATGTCTGATTTTTTTAGGGCTTCAATGCTTTCTTCGTCACTTTCTTTTTCTTTTTCCATACTGGAAGAACTGACATATTCTGAGGTTAAACGCATTATATGCAAAGAAAGAGGGTTGATGCACTGTGGTAGTTTGTCTTCGGCCACACTCAGTGGAATTCTTTCACCTAAAAGAATAATTGCAAAGTGACAAAAGAAACTAGTTATTGTAAAATATAGGTGACAGCTAAATAATGTGCATGAAATGCTAAAAGACCTTAATAACCAAGAGACAATTTTTTACACAATACAATTAGAGGGGTAAACCACTAGTGGAAATCATTGTAAATTTTTTTTGGAATCACATAGTAATCAATGAAGAATACATGGAAATCACTGGGGAGTCTCTGCGAATAACCTAGGAATCGCTAAGAATAGAGATGGCAAATTCTCGAGAATTTATTTTGAGAGAATTTTCTCGGAGAATATTCGGGAACATTGGATAAGTTTAGAGAATTTCGAAGAATATAGCTTCTTAACATCATTTGGGATTTTCGCATTTCGCAAAATCACAAAATTTACATTAAAATTTGTTGTCCTTATTTTGTCTGAAATATTTTCATATCAAACCTCTAGTTTTAATTTTCTTAGGAATTTCCTCAAAACTAATATTAAATTAAATATTTCTTTACACACACTCAGCACTGGGACAGTGTAAACTTGTGGCGTTTCCGGTTGGTAGAAATCGTGCAAAAAAACTGTGTTTGTGTGTCTATCTGTTTCTTTAAGAGGCTGAAAGAAAAAGCTGGAAATACACTCAGTACTCAGTGGTACAAAAATATGTCAGAAGAGAAGGTTTTTCGGATATCGGACCTCGGAAAACGGATGACAGATACATAAGACTCCGGCTCTGTTTTCCGTTTTTCACAATGAACTGATAAATTTAAAAATTAGAGCTAACTTCCCATAAATTCTCAAAAACCTACCGTATAATCTCATAAATTCTTGAACCTGAAAAAAATTATAAAATTCTCGAAAATTTAAGCCCAAAGAATATTCTTGGTAAATTCTCTGTTCTCAATAGAAGTTCTTTGGAGAATATTCTCAGGGCCATCTCTAGCTAAGAATCTAGGACTCCATGAGAATCACATAGGAATCCATTGGCAATCGCTGAAAATCATGTGGTAATTGCTGGGAATATCATCTCATTCTAACCCAGAAATCGCATATCATACTTCTTAAAGGATACAGCATAGGTACTGGTCAGTTATGTATATATTTTTAACCAATGAAATTCGCTCTAACTGGTTTGTGATTTCTGTGAGAACTATATATACCTACAACAAAATCGGTGTGGGTGTGGACAACCATGAAAATAAAAGTTTGCTAACTTTTGGAAAAGTTGCAAATACAGAAGTTGTCAACTTTTCGGTGGAACTTTTCAGTGGAAACATGTTTTTATAAGAAAAAAACTGTCTATTTTGATTATATCAATACGTTTTCGTAATAAAATCAGCTGGAAATCGGATGATTGTAGGAAATCATTGAGGAAATCAGGTAATCAATTGAGAATGAAGGAATCCCCGAAAAAATGGAAATCAGCTAAGAATCATACAAAAATATCTGAAAATCATTGGAAATCAGTCGCAACTCTTGGGATAAGAATATATTAGATTTATTGATCAGTGATTGCCAAATATTCATCATTGTACATTTGTAAGCATAGTGGTTGACCCCTTGGTCTTAATAGTTAGGCTTTTGATTATTAAGGTCTTAGACTAAACTACTCTCTTGGTCAACTTGTTTCCCAAGATATATTTTAAAGGACACCCCACACCTCTTATGGGTTTTTGGTTTCCAGTCAAACTCAATGAAATTTTGATATGTGGTTTATCTTGACTTACCGATAAAAAGTTCTCATAGGCCCAATCCAATACTATGAATAGTTTTCGAGATACAGGTAGTTTAATCTCCAAAAAATGTACCTGGTGACAAATTATAAAGTAAGGTACCTGACCCAAATAAGGCCATGTACCTAATAAGGCCAGTGCCCTTTATTGCTTGATATTGAATCCCATTTTCAAAAATTACAATATTATTGAAAAAGAAATATATAATGCAAATCAAAAATTATTGCAAGGGTTTCTAGCAACTCGTTATATGTCGAAAAATAGCCAACCACATATTTCATATGTCATGTTATAACTTTGAGGCTGAAACTTAACTAGTTTATACACATGTTTATAAAGTGAATGGAGCGAACGCAATTTTTACACGGACATTTATGTATTGAGAAAACTACAGAGTAAGTACAGAATAATATCTTTGCTAGATTTCTAGTTACAGATTTTTTTTTATCAATTTAACATGGTCCCAATAAGGCCATCATACGAAAAATGCTCAATTGGCTTCACATCATGGTGTTTTTTTCAAAAAATATGTCGTATTATTTATTAAGTGATGTTTTTTGACATGCCTGGAATCTAACCAAGCAAGAGATACTGTGGTTCATTTGTACTAGGTGTATGTAAACCTATTTGGATAATCATCCTAGGACTTGGAATTATTGGTTTTTTGGGAATGCAGCAAACGTATAAGCTCTATTCTGTGTACTATTTCTCAAATAATATTTTTATAAATAATTGTATTTCTTTTAAACATTTTTTAATGGTGGCCTTATTAGGAGCATAGTGATCCAAATAAGGCCAATGGTAGGCGTCTTTGTTTCACGCAAAAATCACCACTTATATATAAAAATGAATAAATTGGAGTTATGTTAGCTAAGCACTTTCCCGAGGTAATTTGTGAGCAACATCCATCCAAACATCCCACTCTATATTCCTCTATGAAAGTTACTCTCAGGCAAAATAACTTCCGCAATGCGTGGAAAAGAGAGATATGGCCAAATGGTGCCCTCGTATCTCGGTTTTTTGCCAAGAGGAGGAACCTGTCACAAACAGAGGAGACAGTTCATCAGAGAAAATGAAAACTAAATCAAATATAAATATAAGTATAAATAAAACTGTTTCGCAATCAAAAAATCCCACTTCCACTTATGTTTCAAGTAACCATTGTCAGGTCTACTACCAAAATGTGCGTGGTCTAAGGACTAAGACTGAAGCTTTTTATACCAACCTGTTGACAATGGATCCCGATATAGTGACACTGACTGAGACTTGGCTATGTGATGGAATTTTCACTCAAGAGCTGATTGATGAGAGGTACACGGTGCTAAGAAGAGATAGAAGTACTGCTGCTAGAGGTGGAGGCGTTTTGATCGCTTTCGACAGAAGATTCCCTTATGAAATTATTGATAGTAATGTTGACTGTAATGTTGAATGTATTCTTGTAAGGTTGAAGTTGAAAAAGTATAATGTTATTGTCTCTGTTGTATATTTCCAACCAAACTCTAGTTTGGAAGTCTATAATAGTTTTTTTAATCAATTTGAATGTCTTTTAGATGACGAGCGGACAGGAGTATTGATATTGGGTGATTTTAACCTCCCTTTTTTTGAAATATGTGATAATGATAAAAACACCTTGCTTACTGAGTTCCTTAATCTCAATAATTTGAGACAGTTGAATAACATTAAAAATTTTAGGGACAGGTGCCTGGACCTGGTTTTGACGAACATGGAGATACCGCAAATCACTAGGTCTGTGCAGCCACTAGTTGCAGAGGACCCCTATCATCCTGCACTTGAATTTGGAGTTCCAACGAAGGATAAGTTGGTAAATTGTATATCCAAACAGTATGTATATGATTTCCCAAAAGGGGATTTTCTACTTCTATACAATCTTGTGAAAACCTGTGATTGGACTGAAGTACTTTCAATTACAGATGTAAATATGAGTCTCAATTTATTTTATAAAAAGGTGTATGGTCTTTTAGATAGAGCTATTCCAAAGAGACAAATCAAACATTCTTCCAGTAAAACCCGTTATCCACGGTGGTATTCCATAGATCTGATTCACAAAGTCAAGGAAAAGAATAAGCTTCATAAGCGTATATTGAGTAAGTGTGCTGATCCATCAGTGCAATTGCACTTTAGTGAATTAAGACAATGCATCAAGCTGCAGACCCAAGCAGAATACAACCTGTACAAGAATAATGTGGAACTTAACCTAAATTCAGATCCCAGTTCATTTTGGCAGTTTTTGCATGAAAAGAGCAAGAATCGAGGGATACCGGGGGAAATGAAATTTAATGAGAAATTGTACTCGGGTTCTGAGGATATAGCGATGGCTTTTGCTCAGCATTTTGAGTCAGTATATGAAAGACCCAAAGATGTAAGTAAATACATGGGGAATGTAAACGGATGTGATTTTAAATTTTCAGATGTGTCAGAGTTGAAAGTTGTAAATAGTATTAAAAGGTTGAAGCCTAAAAAATCGACAGGGCCTGATCAGATCCCTGCCTATATTTATAAAGGATTGGCTGAGTTCATAGCTCTACCGCTCAAACATATTTTCAATCTTTCTATTGGAAGTGGACAATTTCCTGATGCCTTGAAGAATGCTCAGATTACACCTATTTTCAAGAAAGGACGAAAGGACGAAATTAGGAACTATAGACCGATTTGCCTCATTAATATTTTAGCAAAAATTTTTGAAACAATACTTTATGATGATCTTTCAGACTTTCTAAAACCTAAAATTTCTAAATACCAGCATGGATTCTTAAATGATAAGTCAACAATAACAAACCTCTCTATATTCTCGGAAATGGCGGCTGAGGCGATCGCGAATAAGAGCCAGTTGGACGTCATTTACACAGATTGTGAGAAGGCTTTTGACAGGGTGGACCATGAGTTGCTGCTTTGCAAGCTTGCTGAGTTTGGGGTGTCAGAGGATGCTTACCATCTTGTGAGGTCATACCTAATAGGCAGGGTCCAGACAGTGAGGGTCGGCGCTTGCAACTCTGAGGCGTTTGTTGCAACCTCAGGTGTCCCTCAGGTGTCCCGCAGGGTAGTAAACTGGGCCCTCTTTTCTTTTTGTGTTTCATCAATTCATTGCCTGACTGCCTGAGGGACTCTATGGGACTTCTCTTTGCTGATGACTTCAAGCTCTGTAGGATTGTTGAGCGGCAGGAGGACTGCAGAAGGCTTCAGGGTGACATGGATAGGGTGATGGACTGGTTCAACAACAACAGAATGTCCCTAAATGTTAATAAGTGTTCTGTTGTCAGCTTTACGAGACGAACAAACCCAATAGAAGAAACATACAAGATTGGTGATACTGAGCTTGATCGTCAAACAGAGGTGAAGGATTTGGGTGTCTTTTTCCAGGCCAACATGAAGTTCAATAAGCATTTTCATCATGCTGTCAATAAAGCAGTAAAAGCACTTGGCTTTGTAATCAGGAATAGTAAGAACTTTAAAATAAGTACAATTATTAACTTGTATAATGCTCTGGTGAGACCACACCTTGAATATGCATCACACATTTGGATGCCATTGGAAGCCACGCATATTAATGAAATTGAAAAAGTGCAGAAGAGATTTTTGCGGTATCTCTATGTGGTTAAAAATAATATTTACCCATATATGGTTCCTTACAGGGATATGCTTGTTAGTTTTGAGATAAAGTCATTAGTGGAAAGAAGGAATAATCAGGCTGTGATATTTTTGTTTTATATTTTAAACAACCTAAAGTATAAGGATTGTAATTTAATTAACTATGTCTCCTTAATTGTACCAAAGATTAACTTAAGAATTATGAAAAACAAGAAATACTTTGGTACTGATCCTAGTAATAATATGTCACCATTTAATCGCATGATGACAGTTGCGAACCAAGCACTTAATGAGGTCCAGGTAGATCTTTTTAATGTAACTTTCAATCAATTGAAGGCCCTTTTAAATTAGTCATATATGTTTATATTGTGTACTCTATCTTTATTTCTGTGTTTTACACTTCGCTGTTTTAACTTTACATGTAATTACTAGTTTTGGTGTTTGTAAAGTAATGAAATAAATAAATAAATAAATAAATAAATAAATATTCAAGTAATAGAAGCGAAACACATCACATATAAGCTCGTGATTTTTGTTGGGTTTGGTCGATAATGTCAGGAAAAAATATAACTTCTTAATGTGGCCTTATTTGGGACAGATACCATATAGGGTGATTTATTATAAATGTCACCCCTTTCTAACTTTTTCATTTGACATTATTGACGAAAGTGTCAAATACAAAAGTTTCAGGAAATTGTGAAAAGTTTTCAACTAAGTCAGTTTCAGGCATACAGGGTGCGTCAAAAAAGTGCAGCAGTATGAAGTTATATTTTTTCAAATGGGACACCCTGTATATTGTGCACTTATTTATTAGTCCCTTTCAACCTGATTTCAACGATATACGGTTTGATATGTCTATCTCCAGTAGTTATAGGAAAAAACATGAAAACCCCTTTCAAGTTTCATACTGAAAAAATAAAAATTATACCATTGAGGCTTGATTTTTTTTTATATACAATTTATTGTTCAAATTTTATTCATTAATATACAAGGTGGAATATTATAATAAATCCAGATGTCTAAGTTATTATTATTATTTTTTAAAAAATAACATGAGAGACCTAGAAAGGAATTTTCGCGTTTTTCCCCATAACTATTGGAGATAAACCGAGAGATAAACATATCAAACCGTATATCATTGAAATCAGGTTGAAGGGGACTAACAAATAAGCGCACAATATACAGGGTGTTCCATTGAAAAAAAAATACAACTTCACACTGCTGCACGTTTTTGACGCACCCTGTATGCCTGAAACTGATTTAGTTGAAAATTTATCAAAACTTTTGTATATGACACTTCTGTCAAAAACGTCAAATGAAAAAGTTAGCAGGAGGTGACATTTATAATAGATCACCTTGTACCACCACCTGTAACTTTTTTATGTACAATCAAATACAAAAAAGTTAAAGGTGGTAGTACTTTATAACTTGACACCCTGTACACGTTTTATATGTATATCCTATTCACCATCCGATGTCTACAGGTACAGGTAAATTTATCACCTTTCTCTATCAAATAGCATTGAAAGGTGATAAATTTTACCTGTACCTGTGGACATCCGATTGTGAATGGATAATATTGTCTATTCATAATCTGTAGTCCAAAGATACAGGTAATATTTATCACCTTTTAATGCTATTTGATAGGGAAAGGTGATAAATTTACCTGTACCTTTGGACTACGGATTATGAATAGGGTATATTTACATCTACCTGTCACCTGATAATATACCAAAATCGACAAGTATCCACACGCTCAGGTGACAGGTAGATGTAAATGCTTATGAAATATATACATTTCTTGGACATTACACTACCTGTATCTCGACAACTATTCATAGTATCGGGTTGGGCTCATGAGAATGTTTTATCCGGAAATTAAAATATAACACATATCAAAATTTCATTGAGTTTAACAGAAAACCACAAACCCATAGGAGGTGTGTGAGGTCTTTTGATCAACAAAGCGAAAAGTCCAGATATTAGTTTGCAATAAATATTGTGGAGGGTAAAAATGAAATTTGAACACACATAAAAAAAAAAAATAATGATCACATCATGACGTCACTGGTTCCGGTAAAAAGCTAAATAAATTCACACACCAATTACATAAAAATAATTTTTCCTTACCAAAAGCGGGATCGTATAACAACTGTGACATATTTGGGTCTTCAACAAAAGAAAAAAAAACAATTTTTTTTTTTTTAAACAAAAACATTAAGCACTGATAATAATTCAATACTTGCAACTTACCTGTATCCAAATTCAATACTGTAACTTGTTCTAAAATTTCCAAATCCGAAAGTTGCTTGCCTGATTCAGTGTGAGTTCTAACTTTCATGTTGGTGCAAAGTAAATTTTCGTCTCCTGCAGATTTTCTTCTGTCTTTCGAATTGTGACGGCTTGAAATTTGATGAGTACCTCTATGAGGCCCTAAACTATAGTGTCCTAAGCTGCTTCTATTTGAAGTTTTGCTTTTATTGCCAGGACAATCTTCTGAAGTCAACCTATCTGGCCCTGACATTGTATGTTCCACCAAGGCCTTTTTCAAAGGTTTTATACAATATCCAGTACCTTGAGCTTTAATGCTTTCTGTGTCCATAGGTTTCACCACAAACTGGCCTTTAGTAACCTAACAACCAAATAAATCAAACAGTTTGAAAATTATTGCAAATTAATTAACCTGTGTAATATCCAAAGAATGTCCGCTTCTCAAAGTGGAACTTTTAGACTCATCTGAATGCAACAACCTTTCGGACTTGTGCGATTTCACTGAGGACATTGAAGGTAGCCTTTCGATTTCGCGAGTTAAGGACTCTATAGTGCTAACAGGACTAGCCAAATCGGTGGCTATTGGAAAATTAGCACTAGAAGCTGATTTCTGCAAAAAAAATGAATCAAGCTACAATAATATAAATATTATAATTCTTACTGCTACAACAGAAGTATCTTTAAGTTTCTTTTTGCGCCTTGGAGGTGCCACTGGTACAGAATTTTTTTGTTGCTGAGAGCTAGTGGAAGCCTTGGCGCTGGCTACAACATCAGGTTCTTGCAGTGTAGTGCAAGTGGACTTTTCTGAATCAGTAGTAAGTGGAGCGGTACCTGTAGATGATAAAGCAAAAGTGCTTGGATATTTTTTCGAGCTCTGAGTCGATTCTGAATCCAAGGAGCTTGATGATAAAGCAGACACTGACATGGCTTTTCTTGATGTTTCTATAATATTTAGTGAAGATGTATTTTTTTTTATATATAGGAAAATTATTGTTGTTACCAGCATTATTATTAATTATCCTCATTAATCGGCCTAAAGAATTAACGCTTTGCAAACTAATGGTGTCTTGTTCAATGACTCGAAAAGGATGTGAGGCTTTGCTGGCGGCAGCAAAGACACCTTCAACTGAAGAGGTTTGACTGTGAGGCGGCGTGACGTTTCCGCAGCCTTCTTCGTCGTCATTTTGCAGCTTTTCACGTAACTCTTATGACAAAAAAAATCAATTTATATTGTATGTATTGATGGTATGGTATGAATAATAATAGGTTATTACCTTGAAATCTTTTTCTGCTGCTAGAGGCTTGCAAAGATTTCGGTGGTGGCTCAAGGAAAACATTGTCGTTTTTGTCATCGAAATTTTTGAGGTTTTCTAGTTGGGTATTAGCATTGCTGTCTTTGGGTGCTAGGAAATTTGGTACTGAACTGGATCTTTTTGTTAGGCTTTCGGCTGATGTTTTTCTCTGCTTGTTTCTATGGAGGAATATAAAAATAAATCTATAGTACAAAACAAAATAAATAGTCTCTCAAGTATAAACGAGTACAGAACTCATTCCTATAATAGTGGCAAATATCAATCTAAAATCTAAGATTATTCACATTTTTCTTATCCATGTTAAACAAAATAAAAATCCTAAGGAAAAATAATCAACCAATAGGTATTAGGCTGAAATTGCCTAATTCCTAAATTCTTTAGTTTGTCGGCGGATTGATTATTCTCATCCTTATCTGGAAGTTCACTTTGCACTAAGCAGTTTTGGCAATTTTTGCCACTCGAATAATCATCCTTCTCAAAAGACTTTTCATCACATTTTCAAAACAATCAGAAATTGGTGCTTTGTGCATTTCAACAAGTAAAGATGGAAGGATTTATCTCAATATTATCATACCTAATTGATGAATCATCACCGAATCAAGAAAAAAAGGGATCAGAGTAATGTAAACAAGCTCTTATATATAAGTATATTTTTTTCTTATCTATTTTTATATTAGTCATTAAGCAGTAGACTATTGTGGAGGAATGATCTAGTAAAAAAATAATAATTACCTAAGCTATAATCCTAACATTCCTAACTGCCCTTCAAATCAGAATTTTGGTAAACTACTTCAAGTTGAGCATGTTTGGTATTAGACTTTATAAGGCATTTGGCTATAGATTAGATGTTTTCAATAACTTCCTCCTAATAATTGAAGTTGCGTTTCACTGATTTGTGTTTTTTTTTTCCAAATGTCAACATTTGGATCACCCCTCGATTTGGGCTCCAATAGTTGACACCCCCCCTTTAAAAAGTTGATGCCAGTTGTTTAAGAGATAAAACAATAATAAATATGTATTACAATGTATCTTATTATTATTATTCATAAATAATCAACCCTACCTTAACTTTGAGAACTTTTGTTTTTAACGAGGTTTTTATATCTTCTTAACAGTCGCACTGGGACCCTAACTGGGTACCCGGAGAACATGGAAGAGGGGGGTTAGCGACTGACCCCAAGTTTTCTTGAATTCAGAACAGGGGGGTTAGCGACTCAACGGGTATGTGGTTTGCTCGGTGGTTTGTAAAAAAAAAGTGAAAAAATTCAGTATATTATTCAAAACTAATTTTCAAAGTAGCTATATATTTATTTTGAAGTCCTCTATAGCTTGAGCGATTACCCATATTAATTTGACACAAAAGCTTGCCTAAGCATTTTATAGAAGAACTTTTTCCTAGATTTTTGTTTTGGATGATCTCTTGCCCAGTTCTCATTAGCTTCTATAAAAAGAATGTAGAAATTATAGCTAAATATATCAATCAAATTGAAAAAATCGTCATCGGCCATCTTCTTGTGTCTCGCCGATGTCTGTACGCGTAATAAAAACGTCTGGTGAAGGTCCAAGATTTTATCAATCCCAACAAATTTTATATCTACGGGTTGGAAAAAACGTAAAATAAAAGTCCTAAATGGTTTTTGAAGAGAAAGTAAAAATGAGTAAGTAATGCTAAAAAAAGTAAACTATTAGGCAATTCAATCCATCTGTCAAAAAGGAAAATTCATTATTCAAGGTGGCGTGGCGGCCAAGCAAGTTTGTTTTGAATATGTTTTTATACGTATTTTAAATTATTTTGCATACAGTTTTGCTTACAACATTGATTTTCATTATTTAATAAAATATTTGTTGACTAGGTACCTAAACTATTAATTCGGGCAGAAACTAGATATTTTTTTTTTGTGTTTTTTGGCCCATGCGTGGCCGCCACGCCATCTTGAATGTCACGTGGTTTGAATTGCCTAGGCCTAATATCCCGAGTTTAGGCGGTTACACACGGACGTGGATGTCTGAAAACATGTACGCACATACATGAACGTGCAAACAAAAACATCAATGTGTATGCAAAATATCGTCGCGTTTTTGAATGTGCAATCGCTAGAAATTTTGTATGCACACTCCGAACACTGTAGCAAGGATAGCAAGACTACAGTTTTGTGCGAGCGTCTGTACAAAGGCGTCATGCACGTTTTTGTTTGCACGTTGATGTATGCACGTATATGTATCAAGCCATCCACGCCCGTGTGTAACCGCCTTTATAGGGACCGGTCACAAATTTAAATCCGCGACCCCTAGTGAGAGATGTCAAAAGTTTTTGTATTAATAGTTTGTCAAATTTTCACTAGAATTTCGAAAAATCATTCGAAAAGGAAGCTGGAAATACATTTTGGTTTCCAAAATATAAAATTTATACACCACGAAGCTGCATACAAAAAAGGTGTGGCTCTAGTGAAAGCTGAACATGTATTGCAATTAGTTGAACGAAAAGTTGGAGGGGACTTATCCATTTTGAGAGGGCATGTTATGCGCCAAACCTCCATAAACAGCTCTCCTTGCTGTTGAGCTACAGGTAGGTATAGTCCAAGAAGCAAATAGAAAACGGGTACCCAGTTTAAGTTCAGAATGTATTACAACAGACAGCAGATGCGACAAAAGTGAGTCTCGCAACAATTGCAAGTATTAAAATTGCCCTCTGATTGGTCAATACTACTTCAGAAACGCGTTTGTAAAATGCTAGTGGGAACATATATTAAAATTCAATAGTAATTAACTACCAGTAGCTTTTTGTCGGTGATATCAACGACATAATCAATGGACATACGTTTTTTGCTACCAATATCACGTGACTTTAAAATGGTATTTGTCGGACTTTATAACAATAAAATGGACGCTACAAATCCTCGACTGTCTTTCTGGCTCCCAGATTTTACTACTTTGAGTTGGATTTTAAAACGATAAAGAGTAAAGTAACCAAATCAATATGAAAACTCGGTGTGTAGTTCCTATGAATAGGTGTGAAGATTAATGTTGATAGAAGTAAGTAGGAACTTACATTTCTCTTCCGACTCTTAATCCATTTTTTACATCTTTCCTGAACATGGGGCCGACTAGGAAAACTGTAGAAGTGAACATTTCCACCGAGGGGGATTTCAGTAGTGGAACTGTGTACACTAAATTACCACTTCTGACAGAAATTACCACAAATTACCAATAATTTCCTCTGAATTACCACTTTTTTCCTCTACAACCTTTCATTGCCTCAGGAATTACCACTCAATGCCACTCAAATTACCACCTATTACCACTAATTTCCTTTAAATACCACTAATTGCCACTCTCATTACCACTAATTGCCACTGAAATTACCACTCAATACCACAAATCTATTTTAATTTTCAAGTATATACCTGATATTTATAACTCAATAGCATGTTGCTAAGTAGGTATATGATAATAATAACATGATGTAAATTTTTATACGTCTTTAGGGTATTGAAAAATATAATTGTGTACCTAGATTAAAAAGGGGGTGTGACCTTAAAACACGACTTAAGCTACCTAAATCAAGAAAAAAATTCCAAGATCTCTCGTGAAAACCGCAGTCGCATTTTTGTCCAATTTAACCAGTTTCGCTTCAATTTCGATCAAGTGACGTCATCTTTCGAATCTTAAATGTAACTCATGGTATATTATGGCCTTTTTCGTTAGAAAATTAGATTACAAAATCCGCAATGCCATATTTGTTAAGGCTTTGTTAAAGAAAATGATAAAAAATTATACAATGGAACATATAATGATGCGTTCCGAAGTTATCATTTGGGACAAACCTCGTGGGACACCCTGTATATATATTTTTTTTTGGGAAATTTCCCTTGTGCAAATTACACTGGAAATTTTGCATACAAAATGTAAAAATTAATTAGTGGACATTTTTGGAAATATCCCGGGGAAAATTTCCAGAATTGTCATTTTTGACATTGATACTCGCTTTCCCATTTAAAAAGCATTGATGTCAGAAATCTGTCAAAGTGTATATTTTTGACAAACGCAATTTAAATGGGAAAGATTAATAACAATAAGCAACAATAAAAAAATTCGACACAACGTAGTAAATAAACTTCAAACTCGGGAAATTTCCTATCAAAATATAACACGTGCATAAAATATTTCCTAAGGGAAATTTTGGAAAATTTCCGGAAATATTTTATGCACTAGTTATATTACTACTGGAAAGATTCCATCAAACAGAAACGTTTAAGCTATTAATGCGCAAAATGCATATTTTCCATCAGAAAATTTCAATCAAAATTGAACATTTGGCAACTTTCAAAAATCAACTACGAAAATTCCCTACCAATTTGAGACCAAATAAATTGGTTGATATAATCTACAAGAAAGGGAGACTGCATTACTCCTAACCTCCTTAAGTACCTATTATTGCTTGAATAACGACCAGTAACCTTCAACGTGGTTAGTAAGAACACGAGTACAAACTCCAAGTTATGGGATCTTGAAATTTAAATTATTTTTTAGTCTCCGATTGCTCGCTCCGCTCGCCAAATCTCAAAGAGAAGATCTTCGGAAATATAAATCCACTAAAAACGTAAATGATTGGAACCGAGTTCGGAATCAAGTTCAACAGCGCCTTCAGAACATTCGGACTCTATTTCGGATTCCATCTAGAAGACGAAAATATGAAAAAATACGAAATTTCATACGCCTTTGCAGTCAAAATTAATACATACACCTCAAAAATCTGTAAAGCTCCTTACAAATATTTGTGTATTTGGCTCGGTATTTGGCATCCATCTAGGATAGGGGAAAATCTAGAAAATTGAAACTAGAGAAACAGAGAGACGAGAACACATTAACACCCAAATATTTGTAGCTATTTGCCGAATGTGTGATGGAGGCTTAATATAACAATAATGCATTCTCTCTTTACTTTTTCTTTTAGATTTAGAAACACTGAAACACAAAACGAGGCCTCGAAAGTTTCAAAATGAGTAGTAAAAACGACGCTCATTCATAGATGATGTCGAACCAAGTGTTGAACTATTGCAAGGTTGCCACTTCTCATGTAATGAAACCTCAAATGAAACATTCCTTAGAAATTAAAAGTTGATGTTTCTAACTGACTAATAGGGACTCAGAAGAATATTTTACTTAAAGCTTAGTTCAATAGTTTAGTTGAAGCTCTGTTACTTCTAAATTGAAGCAAATTCAAAGGCATATCATAATTTTATCACTACAGAACTTCGAGTTATTACCACAAAATTTCCTTAAATTACCCCAAAAATTTCCTTAAATTGCCTTAAATTACCAAAAATTTCCCCGAATTACCACTATATTTCCACTAATTACCACTATATTTCCACTAAATACCACTATATTTCCCCTAATTTCCAGTCATTACCACTCATTTCCCATAAAATTTCCACTAATTACCATTATTGTGTACACTAAATTACCACAATGAAATCCCCCTCGATTTCCACTTAGTTAGGGAGAGGACCGCATTTTTCCTACCCCGATCCAGTTATGTGTCGACACTATTATCAATATACAGTAAGGGGCAGGCTACTAGGTATATAGGATCCAACTTGACGAATTTACCACCGTCCGCAGCCGTTTGAACCCCTGTCACTGTTGTTCGTTCAACAACTTTGACGTTTGTTTACTTCAGTACGATTTAGATACAGACTTAAGCACGGTTCAGACGCTACGGTTCAGCTTATTGATCAAAACGTTTTGTCTGCAACGTGTTTAACCTTAGAGCAGGTAATTTCCTAGGTGGGAGGAGTAGGAACATAAAGTTGGAATTTGAAGCCGTATTTTTCCAGGTATTTTGAGATCCAAAATAATGGCGGTATAGGCAATTCAATTCTTTACCTGTCATTTGGTGTACAAACACCTGCCAAAAACTGGCTTCACTTTAGTGTCATAGCAGAATGGCTCGTTCCTACTCCTTATGTCCGTAGGACAGCGCTTTACCTGCTCTAAGTGTTTAACTGTATGCAGACAAAACGTTGTGCAAAATGTAGCATCTGCGCCATGCTTTCAGATATTTCGTCAAGCTTTATTTATTTATAATTATTAAGTTTACGCGTGCAAATAGCTAAGCGTTGGTTATCAATGTAGACACTAGACACTTTAAGCAAACCCTAAATATTCCTACGTATCCGTATCCGCTTCTGTGAACGCATCGAGTTACGTTGACCGCCTAAAAGTCCTTTCATGGTCATACATTACGTAAACGATCGTATCCTTGGATGACACGTTTTCTAACCACAAAAAGTTTTGTTTTGATTTTGTAGCTGTGTTTGTAGGTTTTATTTTTATCCATAAGTACTGTGTTTATGTTCTTGAAGTTATTTTAGTAATAACTGACAGGTAGATCCCTCAATAGTGTCAAATGATTGAGATACGTTTTCGGATACAGATATGAGGCTAGGCCCGTAACGATACGGACAACGTAACGCAACGAGACCACCGTATTTACTATCTATCCTGCGTTAGATACCTACGTTTGAAATTCAGGACCTGCTTAAAGTGTCTACTTGCTTATCCTGAATTTTTATATGTATCCGCCTCCGCATCGATCTGCGCACGCGCAGAATAGATACGGTGGTTTCGTAGTCCGCATAGTTACGGGCCTAGTCTCGTATCCGAAAACGTATCTCAGCCATTGTGTCTTTAGCCTTAGTTTTTTGAGTGACAAGTCTTTTCACGTTTTGTTTTTACCTGGTTGTCATGAGTTAAGGGTCATTCACATCCACTTAACTTAACTTAAGGTACGGAAAATTATAACTAACGTACGAAACTGAGAAGGTGTCTGTTAACAATGAAGTAAATTATCTTACATGACGTATGCGCACTTATAACCTGAACTGTCAAGTCAAATTATATGCACAGAAATGGAAATTATTATTTATTGCACGGATTTTCTTAAGTTGGTTCAACTTTTCGTGTATCACGTTAATTTTCTTAATTTTTAAGTGGATGTAACAACTATGTGATCTTCAAATTTTTTTTATTATTAATTTTCGGTACGTCAAGTTAAGTTAAGTGGATGTAAATGACCCTTTAGCACTAAATATATTTGTCATTTTGCCACATGCGAACGCCTGCAAATTCGTCAAGTTATATCCTATATACCTAGTAGCCTGCCCCTCACTGTATAGTATTATGTGCATCTATTAAACGGTATTCCTGCCTGAGAGCGTATGCTGCCGGAAATATCTTTTAAAAAATTATTAACAAATTGAAAAAAAAAAACATAACACCACCCCCATCGAGTTATGCCTTGAGTAGGGTATCAGATTGAAGGTATTGATGTCCTCTATCTAAAAAGTCGATCCTGCCTCGTGAGAACTTGCCGGAAAAAAGAGGCAAGGCAGCTTATTGGGGCAAGGGCCCGTAGTCTCAACTTTGACACCTATCAAGTTTTGCCCTGAATGATGTGTCAAATTAAAGGTGTCGAAGTTAATTAAAAATCTCTTCGCACAGAAATCCCAAACCAGAAGGAGTGAATTTCATTGGTTGGAACTAGTTTTCTGACTGTTTCCAACCCAACCAATGAAATTCACTCTGACTGGTTTGTGATTTCTGTGCGAACAGACCTTAAATCAACTTATTGACATCTTTAATTTGACACATTCATTCAGTGCAAAACTTGATAGGTGTCAAAGCTGAGACCGCAGGCCCTTGCCCCAATGAGCTGCCCTGCCACCTTTTCCCGGCAAGTTCTCACGAGGCAGAATCGACTTTTAAGATAGAGGACATCGAGACCTTCAATCTGATACCCTACTTAGGGCATAACTCGATAGGGGTAGTGTTACGTTTTTTTCAATTTGTTAATAGTATATTATATACCTAGGTAGAGAAGTTGGTCATTATATACCGAAAGCTTTTATAAACCGAGGCGCGCAGCGCCGAGGTTTATAATGCTTGAGGTATATAATGACTTTCTCTACCGAGGAATATATAGAATTTTTTTTACTACTGTGTTCTAATTATTTTTTGTGAACGCCCTCTTGATAGTGCTGCCCTCTATCAACAGCTTATATAACTTCCTATGTACCTACAGAAACCTGTATTTTTTTTCAAATTGACGTATGAAATTGAAATTGAACCAATAGAAACATGACAATATCCTTGCGTCATGACGTCATTTTCATTATTGACCTAGGTATTTTTTCATTATTTTCATTATTAACCTAGGGAGAGAAATTCAATTTTTTCTTAGAAAAATAGATTGAATAATGTCTATTTCTCAGGTTAGTAGTAAAAAAAAGATATTTCCGGCGCGGTCGTCTCCCAGACTAACTTGCATTGGCATAATTATTGCCACAGTTACCAACACAATAATTTTTGAAGCTTTTCCTGGGTAGAGGCATGACAAGTACCTAGTGGGTATGCACAATAGCCCTAATTAATGATAATAAAAAGTGTTTGGCAAATAATAATAATTACAAGGAAGGAAGTGTAATCAAATATAATTGTTTCGTGTAAACAACCATACCTTTATAATGAAATATATTTCGCTTTGAAATCGTTTTTAATAAGAAAAATTACATTTGTGTAAATGGAATCAAGCACTTGTCATAATACAAGAACTTACGTTGTTGTCGAAAGAGGGCGCTACTGTAGTTTATGGACGGACTCTATAACCAGGGCCGTGCATAGGGGGGTGCGGCCGGTATAAATTACCGGGGCCCGGGTTCCGTAGGGGCCCGGCCCGCCAAAAATGTTCTTAGGTCTATGGACTATGGTACAGGGTTATTGGTTATAAATGTAACCCCCTCTAACTTTTTTATTTGACATTTTAGAAAGAAGTGTCTCAAATAAAAGTTTTAAGGTTGAGATTATTATTTTTTTTCAAAACTTCTATCTATCTATCTATTCAGCCTTCTTCAGTCCATCTTTGGACGTAGGCCTCCCCCAGTCTTCTCCATTACTTCCGCATAATATACAGAGTGTTTCAGAAAGGCTGGTCGTGGTCCAGCTCTCTTATTTTAAATGGAGTACCCTGGCTGTATTATTAAATATTCGGATTCTACGTAAAATTCTGAACAGATTTTATATGATATACCTACCTACCTGTACCTGTTTTGGAAATATTGTCAGTTGGTTGGAAATTCACTTTTTTGCAACTCTGACAGGCTGTAAAACCTGAACGGGGAATTATAGAGCAAAACCGATCATTGGCGAGGTTCGGTAATTGCATTTGCGAGCAAAAAGAGCAAATTTTGACGCACGTCACGTGATCACTTATCTTTTTCACGTGTCAAATCACGTGACATTTGTAATGTAATGTAATTCTCTGAAACAAGCGACAAGCGTGTGCGTATACCCTCTAGGGTCGTCGCTTATGCGCTGTTCATACTCCCCTCACGCGATCGGAATTTTCGTAAAGCAAAGAGGTTTCACTTCAAAATCACCTGAAAAAAAATTATACTCAAAGCGTGCTTTTTTAACAACTTTTGGATAAAAATTTGGGCAGTCGTGATACTCAAAAATGGGGGGGCCCCGTCGGAATGGCTGTACTGGGGCCCGTACGTTCTTTGCACGGCCCTGTCTATAACCTCTATAAATTCTTATTTTCGGGAATAATATGCTAATGTGTCAACTTTTGGGACCCTGTCAACAATTGGGTACTTTACCTTAAATAGGCTGTTTTGGAATTACATGTAAATTTTTTGACACAGTGACACACCCCTCGGGTGTAGTGGATTAGATTTTCTACTCTTGTTGTTGTCTATGTCTATATTTACTAAATTATGAATATTTAAAATCAATTCAACAGCCTGGAAGAGGAAAATTATTTTAATAATTTAGCTTATTGTAGGAACCTAGGTAGTTATTAATCGAGTTAATAATTATCTCTGTATGAGTGGATTTTTGAAACAACAAGCCCAATGAGTTTTTGTCAATATTGATGGTGGGTTTTTGTGTATTGCAGCCCTGTTTAAGACATCGTCAGATGCACATCTATGGACCCACAGATTTCAGACATCATCTCCGGAAAATCTCAAAACTGCCACTATACCTAAGGCTGGTTCATTAAGTGATTATGAATCAACTAACACCTGAGAGAAGTTTCTTGTGCCCACAATTTATATGATATTGTCTTACAACTAAAGTACCAATTTAATTTACATGTTTTGCTGTTTTTTATCCTCTCTGGATTAGTTTTTTTTTTTAATTTTAAAGGGCCTCAAATCAACATACCAATCAAGTTTGGTAACCATAGAAAGTTGTCATTATTTGTTTAAATATTTACTGCCAGCACTTCTACTATGCGGAACCCATAGGTTAATGTTTGCCCATGTAAGTACCCTCTTCAATTAAATAATTATCCTTAACAATATTTACCTTTGACCATGGTTGGGTGTAATATCCTCGGCATCGTAAAATTCCTCAGAGTCGCTGCTACTGCTAGACATTGCCAGCGAACAATTTGGGCATTTTCACATAAGGGGAATTCAATGCGGGGGGGGCTAACTAGAATTTAGAATCAATTAATTGGGGAAACAAAATAGTAAATAAATTTTTTATTTATATAAAAAAATGAATGACCTATTCACACCTGTGCTGTCAGTTATCTGTCTCTAGGAGCAGTGTTGCCACAGGCTCTGAAAATTTCGTGCCAGACAATGAATTTATAAGGGGCCAAATTTCAGATTTTGGGGCAAATCGTCCGCAAATAAAAAAGAAGTGAGAAAGGTCGCCGCAGGCTCCGCCGGAGGCAGACATTTTTTTCGGGTGCCACGCCCAAAAACGCTTATTTTGCATAAAATAATAATGATTTGGCTTGAAGGCCTAGTTCTCATAACTGCGAAATTCGCATTTTTTTGACATTGCGTTGACAATTTGACGTTTTATGCTTGTATCAAACGTCAAATTGTCGAACCAATGTCAAAAAAATGCGAATTTCGCAGTTATGAGTACTAGGCTTTAGAAAGGGCCAGGGCCGGTATTCTGGTTCTCAAAAACGCTCACCGCTTTCTAGTCGCTCGGCACTTTAAATGCAAATTTACATTGAAAGTGCCGAGCGACTGAAAAGCGGTGAGCGTTTTCGAGAACGAGAATACCGGCCCAGATCTGGCCATATGGGGCCACCTGTGGCAACACTGTCTAGGAGTGTCAAATTTGATTGGGTCGGTAAAGTAGGAAGTTGGCTAATAATGCTAATCGAGTAAAAGAAATATCAATGGAGTTTAATTAATTTTTGGTTTAAAACCTGAATAATTGGAAAATTTAAGATTTTCTAATTACAATAATTTATGTTACAGCATATATTTTAAGTGTGGGTGTTGTTAAAATTGAAAAATCCCCTTAATTCCTCCTCCAAGTCCGTTCCTGATAAAGTCCTTTCAAACTGCTGTCATCTGTCATCTTCGTATTTTTTCCGCAGAGCGGCAGTGCAAATCGCTCTCGGCTCAAGGCTGTTTCCTCGTCGAAGAGTGAAATCAACATGGAGGATTTAGCTGTGGAAGTTGTCGGCGAAAATGGGGCCCATTATAAGGTCAGTATTTCGTTCAAAGTATATTAATTAGTAGCCCTAAAGTGTCGTCAAACGATCGAACAAAGTTAACCGGTCGAAAATCGTTTGATTGTACGGTTTCGAGTGGATTTCGTTGGGGGATTTTCGGTAAAAATTCTCGGGCGAGCGCGGTTCTTTTTTGACGCCATGGCCGTTTGACAGGGCGTGATAAGTCCATGTGTCCGGGAAAATATCGTTTTTCTTCGCTCGCCGAGTAGTTTGGATACCCTATTTGCCGAATTTCCTGGCATCTTCGATCCGAAAACTCTCCCATCCGAAATTGCACAAGGTTATGTTAAACGAAAAGTATCGGATTACAATAATGGCCCTGGCAGCGGAGCCCCCTTTTATAGCTTCTTTTTTGTGTTTTTTCAGGGCTTCGTCCTCGACGTGTTCGATGACGGCGTCCTGGTCCACTTTGAAGACGAGTAAGTTGCATTTTATTAATATTAGTTTTGGTATCAAAAATAGTTTATTGCTACAAAAATGACTCAACCAAGATTACAGCAAATTTATTTGAAGAATGTGTAAATTTTTGACCAGAGATTGTGTAATGAATTTTTAATAATCGGACTTTTGAATCAATATTTTTAGATGCCACAAAAGTTACAACAATGTAATTTGATCTAGAGAAAAGAAGGTTTATTTGTAGTCAAGAAAAGGTTTTTTATTCCTATGCAAAAGACTGATGTTAATAGTTTTCCGGTATCTAAATTTAATTTACTGTTAATGTCACTCAATTTCAAAGGACTTGAATCATAAAAGAATAATTTTCTACTTGGGTGATATCAAAACATTCCAAACTAATGATGGATAAATACCAGATATACCTAATGATATTTTGATAAATACCCAAAAGAATGAACCCATGCTTGTTTTATTATAGATCACATTTTTTCAATTATTTTATGAACATAACTTTGTATATGGTATGAAATTTTCCTTTTCAGAACGTCAGCAGGTAGGTAGTTCTTCCAAGAATATTTTGAATCCCTGTTTCAAACCTGTTGAAAAATTATGTTTTTGTTCTTAATCTTTGTTGTTAAACACTGCCACCTTGTTAAAACTAAATATATTTGTTTCCTTAGGTTAGTGTCTCACACTTATGTGAAGAAGTATAAGATGAGTTTTATGTTTCTTAAGCTATTTAGGGGGGTTCTATCATTCACGAACTCAAACACCTGCGGGGCAGCGGTGAGAAACGAGGTAGTTGAAAGTACTTCAAGGGGTGGAGCTTGGTACCTTTCATCTAGGACCTACGCATCAAAGTGAAATTAGGTGCAGGATGTTTAATAAAAGAGATAGACATTAATAGATATAGAAAAATTTACAAAAGTGTTTTAAAAGCATGTAAAGGAAAAGTTTTATCAGAATAGAATAAACTCCTCTAAAAAGAAAAACTGGAAAATAATTAATCAGTTAACTGGTAAAAACTCAGTTCATCAAACAGATGTTAAATTAGATCCCAATATTCTCAACAACTTCTACTGTAGTGTTGCTGATACTTTACAACAAAACTTGAAAAGTAATGTGGATCCTGGTTCTTATTTATTGGATGTTAAAATAAATGACACATTTGTACTGAAAACTACAAACATATTAGAACTTAATGAAATCTTTAGAGGAATAAAAAACAATAAATCCAGTGGGCACGATAATGTTTCAATAAATTTGCTTAGAAATTTGCCTGATAATGCATTATATGTCTTGTCTGAATGGATTAATATTTCATTTTTAACAGGAGTATTTCCAGACTGCCTGAAAAAAGCTATTGTGTTGCCTCTTTATAAGGGTGGCGAATTGGACAACCCATGTAATTATCGACCAATATCACTTCTCTTGATGTTGTCAAAAATAGTTGAAAAGTTAGTTAAAGAAAGAATGTTAAAATATTTTTCAAAACACAACATAATAAGTGACACTCAATTTGGATTCCAACCATTAAAGGGCACCCATGATGCAATGTTTAATCTTTTGGAACAGGTATTCGTCAGTCTTAATGAAAGTGAGCTTGTCGCCGTTGTGTTTTGTGATTTCTCTAAAGCCTTTGATTGCGTAAATCATAAAATAATACTTAAAAAACTAGAAATTTATGGCTTCGGAGGAATCTCATACTCATGGTTTGAATCTTATTTCTCGGGAAGAGAACAATTTGTTAAGATTGGTTATACTCGGTCATCAAACTTGGCTGTGACCAATGGTGTTCCACAAGGATCTGTGTTGGGACCAATATTGTTTTTACTTTATTTAAATGATATTAATCACCTCCCCATTAGAGTTAAAATAACATCATTCGCTGATGACATTACTCTGTCCTGGAACGGAAAAAATATTGAAGAGTTGAAAAAGATTATTTCTGAAGACCTAAATCTTGTAAAATGACAAATTCAATGCTTCCAAAACTCAAGCGACAGTATTCTTAAATTAAAAATCTTCCGCCGGTGATAACCCAGTTTTAAAGATGTCGGCACAGACCTTTCTACCAAGCTCTTAGTTTTTTTGTTTCGTACAAAAAACTTCTTCACTTCCGATCAACTTCTTCTCCTTTATAAGTCTTAAATCAGACCATGTATGGAATACTGTTCCCAGGTCTGGAGCGATACTCCTAAGCATTCATTGACTCTAGATACAGTACAAAGAAGACCAATGAAAATTATCGAAAATCCAACTCTCACCGATTCATTTCAGGTGGGAGAAGTTATTTAAGAACCACAAAATCATCCCATCCGATTGTGGTAAAGTTGCCTTTGATTTGGTAAAGCAATGGCCAATTTTCAAAGCCATAAGATTGAACTCAAGAAATAAGTATACATTTAATCGAAAATATGAGTTAGATCAGCTGATAGGTAGGTATAATACAAAAGATGTTAGGATTCGTCTGGGTGGAATTTTCGTAGAATATATTGAAAGCTTTGTTCACTAAGGACATAACAACAAGGTTGGCAAATTAAACCAAACAATGGAAATCTGTAGAAGAATCCAATTATCGTGGGCGCCAACTGAAAGGCTGAAAACAGCTTTCAGGGATTCGAAAATTCCTCTAAAGATGAAGAGGGAGGTAAAGGGAATACAAAACCTCCAGGGTTAAAAATTGATCAATTTTCGACGAGGTAGATACTTACTTAATAATTTTAAATTTAGAGCACGTTGTTCAACCTTGACTTCTGTTCAGATTACTGATTGATCATCAGTGATAAAATATAAGTACTTTAAATATGGCGGTACTAAAAGTTAATATTTAAATGTCACAACAGGAAGAAACAAAATCAATTAATTTTGTTAATTGATCATAAGGTAGATTTCATTAAAAAAATAATACAAATTATAAATGAAACTCTATACAGGCCTCCATTCCAACAAAAAGGTAGAGCACGGTAGCCATCCATTCTCGACCACTTTACGGGGGAAATTGCAAGTGGAAATTGCAGATTCTAGCCTGGAATCAAGGCTAGAATTTCAGTTTTTTTCGTCAAATGTGGGGGTACACGTATTGACCCGTGAGAAACTGATGACATCAGAGATACTCAACGCTGGCATCGCGCGCTTGTTTATGTCCCGTATATTTCTACAATTTTAGTGGTTTTTTTGATGTTCGTAATTGTAAAAAGTGTCTAATCTGGAAGATCATAGCTTGGTTTTATGCTGAAAGTGAAAGCATAGGAAAAACATCACATTTTGACCAAAATTAAACTGTAAACCCGGTTTTACTGATTTTGAAGGTTATCAGAGAAGTATTGTTGCCAAGTCTAAAGTTTTCCTGCGGGGTTTCAATATGACATCCCTTAAATGTGAAACCTGTTTAAAATGTTGCATTTTTAAGAGCCGCCCAAAGGAGGATGAAATTTTCGGCTCCTGTAACATTGCAAATGTCACTTCCTTTTTTTCAGATAAATAATTTTTATATTTTATAATTTTATATAATTATTCAGCCATATGGCGGCATCTATTGCCCGCTGAATTAATTATTTTATCGATGACCTCGAGAAGGGAGTAGACGCTTTTTTTTGTACTACCTTGATTTACTCAACGTAAATTTTCAGTAATGTGTAATTTTTAGTAATTTTTTTTATTTTTTTATTTGTTGTATTATTTTTTATTTTTTTAAATTTTAGTAATAGGCCCCTTGCATCAAATTTTTTTATTGCTGATTTCGATAGTCCACAAAAAATAAGTCAACACGTGTTTTTTCTTTTTCTTGTTACTCAAAAATTGACGGAGATACAACGCCATGAAATACGCCTATGACGTCACTTATCATATAAATTAGTGACGTTGCACATGCTCAGTATATCTTTATATACAAAACTAAATATTTGTATAACTTTCGAAAAAATCATATTTGGACAAAATAAAAAACACGCATCGATTTTTTTTCGATTTCCTACAGCTTGCAATAAACAATAATCAATTTAATTTTCCATGCAAGTACCCTATTTGTTGCTCTTTAACCACGTTAATAGTTTTCGAATGTAGTACTTTTCACATAGCTGAGGGTTGACAGGTTGATAGGTCGTCGTCGTCCTTTAAAAATGTCAAGTGAAATCTATTTATTCTGAAAGAGAGAAAATTAAAGAGCCCCTTTTCTAATCTTGCTGTTGCCTCAAAAATATCGAGTGTGGCTGGGCTGGGGGCGGCCATCTTTCTCAAGTCTAATTACCTTTCTCGTGGAAAAAAGTACCTTATCGGCCTTCAGGCATCATCGCAACGGAATAAAGTTGCGTAGTGCAATAATCCATTGATTACCAAGAAAATTTAAATAAAAAGTTTCGTGATTACCGTTTTATTCAAGTTTGAATTTCGACCCCACTGTGGTAAAAAATGAAAAAATGAAAATGACATTTAAATTTTTTTTTTGATGATTTATTATTAGACTCTCACACAATTGAAAATAAAACTAGCTGTAAATTTCTTGGTGTTCATGTTGATACTCAACTTAAGTTTAATGAGCAAGTTACACATCTAAACAAACGATTGGCAAGTGGTTGCTATGCTGTAAGAATAACGTCAAATGAACTTGGTTTGAATACTGCTAAATTGGTTTATTTCTCGTTGGTTGAATCTCATATCAGGTATGGCATTGCATTTTGGGGTAACTGTTCTAATAAATTGTTTGATTCTGTTTTTGTCATTCAAAAGAGAGCAGTGCGCTATTTGTGTAAGGTTGGATATTGGGAGCATTGCAAGCCACTATTTTTAAAACATAAAATACTTACAGTATGCTGTATATTTATCATGGAAACTGCTTGCCTTATGCACAAAAAAACATTATGATGAGTTAGAATATCCAAGAACTTATCCAACTAGGCAACTTCTTAAAATGCAGCTTCCTATACCCAAGACTGCATTGACGCAAAATTCACTAATTTATAAAAGTAGGCAAATTTTTAATCATCTGCCTGTTAACTTAAGGCAGATAGGTGGTTTTAAAAAGTTTAGACTAGAGCTCAAAACATTTTTACATGGAAAAGCCTACTATCATATTAATGAATGTTTAAATGAAAAATTTTAATTTTATTTGTTTCATTGTTTTGTTTTGTTCTGACCGCAACCTTTATGTTTTTTCTGTATTAGATGTACCTTCTATATGACTCTATAGTTTGATGTAGTAAAAATTGTACATGTGTTGCTTAGGATTATGCTTTGACATTTAAGTTTATGTTTATTTTTTATTTTATTGATTGTACCTCTTTTTTTTTATAACTCGATAATTTTTAATTACTTGCACATTATTTAAGATCATGCTTTGTCAATGAAATTTATTTTCCGACAATAAAGTATATTTTGATTGATTGATTGATAGTTAAGCATTTGCCAATCGGCTGTTTGCGATTGGTGAAATGTACCTATTTTTATAGAGAAGGGAGGAAATCTATGACTTGATGACTTGTTTTGCTAAACTACCTTTCAAGGGAAAGCATATTTTCAATTTTTGTCATTAAGAATCAACGTTTTGCCAGTTTGCGCGCATTTGATACAGCAGCGGCCGAATGCATAATTCGATTTCAACTTTTCAAACACCACATTATTGCTAATGGAATGCACTCTCCAATGCTTTTTTGTTCGAATTTTTTGCTTGAAAATTAAGCGAGCACGGACTTGCCTGAAGTTGTAAATTGCATCGAAAGCTACCCCTTTCTTGCATTCACTGTAATTTCTAAATGGGGCCAAATATTTGGTGACAGTTTTTTACAATCGGCTGACCATTTCTTCCTCTCATAATGCCCTAGCGGATTTTTTTTTTCGTTAATAATTACTCAATGACTTATTGGCCTGAACACATCGCGCGAAATTTTTCAACAAGTCAAAAAAAATTAAAATTGTCGCACAGCGCTGAAATTTTGTACGATGGCTTTATTTATTATTCTCATGAATATACTGCAATTCTAATTGCTGCAGCAGTCGTGTGAAGCAATTAAAATTGCAGTATATTCGTAGAAACAATAAATAAAGCCATCGTACCAAATTTCAGCACTGTGCAACAATTTTAATTTTTTTTGACTTTTTGAAAAATTCCGCGCGACGTGTTCAGGCCAATAAGTCATTGAGTAATTATTAACGAAAAAAAAAAATCCGCTAGGGCAATATGAGAGGAATAAATGTGCTGCCGATTGTCGAAAACTGTCACCAAATATTTGGCACCGTTTAGAAATTACAGTGAATGCAAGACAGGGGTAGTTTTCGATGCAATTTACAACTTCCTCGCACATTAGACAAGTCCGTGCTCGCTTAATTTCCAAACAAAAAATGCGAACAAAAAAGCATTGGAGAGTGCATTCCATTAGCAATAATGTGGTGTTTGAAAAGTTGAAATCGAATTATGCATTCGGCCACTGCTGCATCAAATGCGTGCAAACTGGCAAAACGTTGATTTAGTGACCTTGAACAAAAACATGCTACTATTCAAGATGCTGCAGAAGAAAACTATAGAAGATAGAGGGGTGCTGTCGCTGAGTTTTTTATAGCAAAAAACTTCAGCTACAACAATCATTTGAAACTTTTTGCTATTGGACCATCCCTTTGAGCAGCATTCTCCATAAACCGCAAATTTCCCCTACAAACCATCCCTAACTAAAAACCCTATGGAAGTACAAAGTCGCAAACTTAATATGTTATTTAGCATATTAAAATGGTCCGATCCCCCCAAAAAAAAATGTTAAATTCTAATTATGTTGAGGTAAAACCCTCTTTTCAGATCCCCGTTTCTTGGACTACATGGTGCACAACCAAAAAAATTAATCCGCACAGACACAACACGGAAAAACAAACTCTCTACTCGAAAAGATGAGTAAAAAAAAAATGGAAAACAATATTCACATTGAGGTTCACACACAACTACCTTCCAACTATAGACCAATAAGTTTAACTTCCAATATTTGCAAATGTTTTGAGAAGGTCATCACAAAAGAATTAACACCATTCCTCCTTGAAAATGGGCCCATCACAGATCACCAACATGGATTCCTTCCAAAAAAGTCAACCATTACCAACGTCACAACTTGTTTGAACACCTGGACACAAAGCTTTGATAAGAATGAACAAACCGATATTGTCTACTTAGATTTTGAGAAAGCATTTGACAAAGTATCATTCAATAAAATGCTTCATAAGATAGACCACTATGGTATTGGTGGTAATCTATTTGGTTGTCTTTCCTTCTTTTTGAAAAAAAGAACTTTTCAAACAAGAATAAATGGAGTACTCTCTGACATACATGTAGCTCTCAGCGGGATAGCTCAAGGTACAGTGCTTGGTCCTCTGCTCTTTTCAGTTTATATCAGCGACTTAGCAATGGAAATAAAAACACGTATAATATTTTTTGCCGATGACGCCAAGCTGTTTGCAAACTCCAAAACTAAGTCTAAAGAGCTGCAAGAAGATCTTCATAGGATAGAGCAATGGGCAAAAACCTGGAGCATGAAACTAAACGAAGAGAAGTGCACAGTACTCAGTATTGTAATAAACAACACAATTATACCCTATTCACTAAATGGTACCAATCTAAATAACGTCGATCAACAGAGTGATTTAGGCGTCATCATCAGCGCAGACCTCAAATGGGAACCACACATTCATAGGATAGTGAAAAAAGCAAACTCGTTCATTTATTGCATCCAAAAAGCATTTTCAGACCACTCAATGGACACCATATTGAAACTATATAAAACTTATATTAGGCCAAAACTAGAATATGGCGAAACAATATGGAACCCTTACTTTGTAAATGTCATCGAGCTATTAGAAAAAGTTCAAAGACGTGTAACAAGAATACCACCAGAATTATCACAGTTAGACTATACTACAAGACTACAAAGACTTAAATTGACAACTCTACGAGAAAGGCGTTTAAGAGATCTTATTGAGACCTACAAAATTTTAAAACCATATTATAATGCTACTCTTAATATCTTCCATGTGAATGCAAACATACACCTTCGAGGACACAGCAAAAAACTGGAAAAAGAGAAGAACGCAAAACTACCCCGTAAAAACTTTTTGACAAATAGAATTGTCTATCATTGGAATGCATTATCGGAAAACACTGTGAGCGCTCCAAGTATTAACTCATTCAAAAACAGACTAGATAATCAACGGGAAGTGCTGACTAGTGTGAACATTCACTTCGGACTGTAAATGAAGAAGCTGAATATTTTGAAAAGCCAAAAAAGAACCACGGAAATTATGACAACAGTTTCATCGGTCATAACCGTTTACTGTTGTAACTAATAATAATAATAACATCATACTATTGTCCTTTCCACATACTGAAGACAAACTCCAAGACAGGCAAAAAGGTTCATCATCGAATTACAAAAGAAGAGAACTTAAACATGAACAGAAATAAAATCAGATTGGTTTGGTTGTTAAACCCAGTGAAATATCACCTAAAAGCAAATGAAAAAGACAACTGCAGATTTTGTGAATCTGCAACTAAAATTTTTACTCTGGAAAAGGCCTCAAGGGGGTAATGTCAACACCCCAAATAATGAGATAACTATCTGCCAAAAAAACAACTTCCTTCAAAGGAATCTTCAATTTCTTAAACATAAACTATACATATACCATGATATACCAAAGAATGAAATGCAGTCTAAATTGAGGGGTTAGTCACAACATATTTGAGTGTAAGAGATATTTTCATGAAAAAGATATCTTACATATCCTAGATTACCGAGGAACCCCCTAAAATTTATTCAGATTTTCTTAAATCTCCAAGATTTTGCTGGATCTGCCTATTTTTTTCAGGGATTTCATAAAATACCGGCACAAGTACACAGCCAGAACACAATTTCCGAGGTCTTCTTAACACATGTGTATGTTTTCTTGATCTATTACTTTCCTGGCAATATCAAAGCTACATTTATTATAATATGAAGTATGATATTTTTAAATCTGGGGAAAATCTGGTAAAATGATATTCTCATTCAATAGAAAATTAAATTCAGTAATATTTTCCTCTGATTTCTCCAAATATCCCTCACGTCTCCCATAAGAACTCCTCAGGTTTCTCCAAATCTCCCCAGATTTCCCCAAACCTCCCAAGTTTGAAGAGTGTACACAGACAAATTGTATCTTTGAAAATAAAGCAATTATTTTTGATTGATCTATTCAGGAACAATTATTATGAAAAATAACAAAACACATTACCTATTTTTGGAAGCTAATCCCCAATTTAATAGCATCGCTCCGGCCTAAAAACAAAAATAGCAAATATAACCCTTAATGACGAATCTATTATATAAATACTTATGACCAAATGAATTGTTATTTTTAGGTGGCAGCCTGATTCAAAATTTCCCTATGAACAAGTCAGGCTACCTCCAGCTGCCACCGATGCCAAAGTGGAGTTCACCGAAAACATGGAAGTTGAGGTGTTTTCTAGGTCAAACAATCAAGAAGGATATGGATGGTGGAAAGCTAGAATTAAGGTAAAGGTTTGATAATAATCATTATTTATTTCTTTTTGTAAAATTAAACAAGTTACAAAAAAGCTTTATATTATAATGTATAGGATTAACAGATAAGCTAACTAAAAGTATTTTTCCATATTATAATGTGATGATTAGGCATTTTGTCACACACAAAGGCTTGTTTCAGAAAAATGCAATATGCACTTTTTACAATGCTCTTATCAGAGACAAACTGCCGACTGTTGTCATTTTTTTTTTTTATCAGACATTTAATGTTTAGTCAAAAAACATCTCAAATTACTTGAAGCTATCATGCAAAAGCAAAACAAAATTCTTATTCATATAAACAATAATTGCAAAAATCTAATTGAGTGTTTGTATTTTTGTACACACATAGATGATGAAAGGCGATTTTTACGTATTGGAATACCTTGGCTGGGACAACACCTACACAGAAATAGTGAGCAACGACCGGCTCCGACAAAAAAACACCAATCCACCTATCGACAAGACTATGTTTTATAAATTCGAAATCGATGTGCCTGAAGACGTGCGCGACTATTGCAAAAAAGACACGCACAAGGAATTTGCCAAAGCGATCGGCGCCGGTCGCATTTTCTACAATCCGGAAAAGTGTAGCCTGGCGGTGATTACCAAATGCGAAACGAGCAGGAAGCGGGCTTCCTTGTTGCAAGATATGCATTTTAGGAGTTTGTCTCAAAAGGTTTTGCTGATGAAACGAACCGAAGAGGCGGCCAGACAATTGGAAAGTACAAAATTGGCTACAATCGGAGGGTAAGAATATGATTTTTGTTTAGAAGCTTGTTTTTAAGTTTTTTGGAATAGGTATTCAGATGAGTTCCATGTCAAAGAGGATTTGATGGGTTTGGCAATTGGTGCTCATGGTGTCAATATTCAGCAAGCCAGGAAAGTAGAAGGTGTTACCAATATTGAATTGGAAGAAGTTACGTGCACTTTTAAAATTTATGGAGAAACTGATGAGGCAGTCAAGAAAGCAAGGTATATTAATGGTTGGTTTTTTTGGGTAAAATTTTATTGAGAAACATTTTTATAGGTCTATGTTAGAATACAGTGAGGAATCACTGCAGGTGCCCAGAGCGTTGGTAGGCAAAGTAATTGGTAAGAATGGAAGAATTATTCAGGAAATTGTTGACAAAAGTGGAGTGGTACGTTTATTTATTTTGAAATATCAATGGAAACTTCAAATAAAATGTTTTATTATAGGTAAGAGTGAAAATTGAAGGCGATAATGAACCAGAACCTACAATCCCACGCGAAGAAGGGCAGGTTCCTTTTGTCTTTGTAGGAACAGTAGAAAGCATATCCAATGCCAAAGTACTTTTGCAGTACCACCTGGCGCACCTAAAAGTATTTACCTTTTCAACTCCCATTTATTTTGTTGTTAATCATTATTTTATACTAGGAAGTAGAACAGCTGCGTCAAGAAAAACTAGAAATCGATCAGCAACTGCGCAGCATTCACCACGGTTCCAATTTGGGCTCGATGCAATCACTTTCCATGAGCGGCCGACGTTCAGACAGAGGTTACAGCTCAGATATGGACGGCAGAGGACCTCGTGGCGGTCCTAGAGGCGGCCGGGGCGGCAGAGGAAGAGGCGGCGGTCAGCGGCAAGGCAACGATCGCTACGGTCAGGGTATGCATCAGCCTGACTATAATAATTTCGATGGCAGGCCGGGTCGTAATAAGGGAGCACCCAGGGGTACTGGGGGCGGCGGGTACACCCCCAACGGACGTATTCCTAGGGGCGGCAGCGGGCGGGGTCGGGTTTCTGTAGATTTGGCGGGCGACCGCAAGTGATTTAGTACACAGTTGCCGTTGCAGCAATTTGAATGCCTTGCGAACAAACGTTTTGGCCAAGCAGCGGCAACGGGCGGGACCCGACGCCCATCCGTACCGCTGCTTTTGTCCCATGTAAAAAATGACTTGGGTTAAAATAAGTTGGTTGAAATTGATGATGCAACGTTGGTAGATGTTCTTATATTTCAGAAATTTGTTTATGATTTTTTTAAGCTTATTATAAATTTCTGAAATATAAGATTAGAAGCCAAAAAAGATTCATGTGCCATTAAATTTTACCAACGAAATTTTGTGCCATTTGTCATTGTAAAATGTGTATTTTCCGAACGACTTTTATATAGACTGACCCGGCCGACGACTCATTTTTTATCGTGTCTCTGATTGAACTTAACCCATTGATTGGATTGCGTAATGTTTCTTAAGGTGGGGACAAAAAATTGCTCCCTAGTTTCTTGTCACTCTCTAACCAATCAGAATAATTCTTGATGCCAAATCGTTACCAATCCAATCAATTTTAACAATTTACGAGGAATTTTTGTGCATTTTTCAAATGAAACGTTTTTTGTTTTGTATTGTATTTGGGCGTTGCCATTTTTTGCACACATCGTATCAATTTTTTTGAACATACAAAAATTGCATGATTTAAAAATAATTGCGCTACTACTAATTAGTAGTGACAGTTGTAAATAATTAAAAAATTCACATTTTTTTTATTTTTGCTTTTATTAATTTATTTGCTTTTTTTTTGAAGCTGACCAAGATTGCTTGAATGCAAATTAATTTCTTTTTGTTCATACTAATAAACCCTGTTTTATTTTCTGTTTTATAATTTCATTGGAACCATTACAAATCCATAAACTGGTCAGCAATTTTAAAGGTATGTTTTTAAAAATTATTTTGGACTAAGTTGATGATATTTGTTGCTCAGGTAAGGAGTATTTTTTTAGTTTAGTACCAAAAAATAATAGTTTTTGTTATAGTAATTAAGTTTTGAGGCAATTATTAGTGGTAGACAATTGAATATGTTCTGAGTAAAGGAACTGAGGCGTTTTTAAAGTATTAGTTGGCCATTTCTGTTTCATTTTAACAAATCAATTCTTTTTTCTTGTAGTCAAAATTTCTGAGTCTCAGTAAGATTTATGTTTTCCTGAAAATTGGTCTTTATTTTGAATTGAAGTCCTATTGTTCTTTTAGAAGCTAAACTGACTGGCTTAAAATAGAAATTCTCAAAAAAAAAAAATCACAGTCCTTCACAAAGATGCAACCGGTAGAGGACATTGAAAATGCCGAAACAGATTTCAGCGCTTATGCTTGTGATTATTGTGTGGTATGAGCTCTGAGATCAGCGAAAACTTCCAAATTTTCCACATTTTTTTCCGACCCTTCTCAGAAATTTCCAGAAGTTTCCAAAGATTTCCAGACTTTTCCAGGCATTACCCAGACTTTTCCAGAGTTTATCCGGATTTTGTAAAATGATCCCTAGGTCTTTTGGGACGCATTCCAGATTTTTTCTGACCCTTTCCATAAATTTCTAGGCCTTTTTCAGACGTTTTCAAAGATTTTTATACTTTTCTAGACATTATCCAAACTTTTCCATACTCCATCCAGATTTATCCAAACTTTTCTAAACACTTGCCTGACTTGTTCCAGCTAACTTGGTTTGTTCCAGGACTTTGTCCGTACACTTCCCAAGAGTCCAAAAGTTCGCATGCATCCCTATGTGCCCGTGCGATAATATAAACATTTTCAATGTTAAAAACCATCCGGCTACACGATGTTTACGACTTGCGAGCGATCGGCAATATCGATTCTGTGACGTATGGGACAAATGCAACATAATAATTTCGAATTCGGTACCCCATACTATGTGTCCGTGCGATAATAAAAACATTTTCAATGTTAAAAATCCAATTTTCAACATCTTAACACCTTTTTCTTTAACAAATATATCTGATTGTCTACCAAATTATATTTTGCCCGAATTTTTGAAGAAAAAAAATATTCGTTGGATCTTTGACATCCAACGGTTTAAATCATTTCTGTGTTTATCCTTATTTTACTTGCTGTATTAAGTGTAGCATATAAATATAACTATTTTACTTAGTTGCTGCAAGTGTTTGTATGATGAGAATTTACTTTTAGTGGACCTCAAATCAGAGACCTACGAATGCATAAAATTGAGGCACAACGAATTCTGTGTCATACAAATGCTGGAAGCAAAAGAAAAAAAAATATTAAAGGAAAATTATGTCGACTTTTCAAAAGGCTTTTTGTACAGGCAGATGCAAATATTGGCTCATTAATAACAAAGCTCTGTTCCAACAAACACGAGAACCGTTCCAGAAACAGTAATTTCCATTTGCCCACATATTTTTCAATAATTGATAAATGAATTGTACCGTTCTAGAACGGTCCTCATGTATATTGGAACAGTTTAATTTTCTTTTTCATTATCTGCTAATATCTGCATCTTCTAAATATCTTAATCGTGAAAAAAATATTTAGGCAATCGCGTTTTAACAGCAAACATCATTATTGTTCTGTTTCTAATTTGTTTTGGGTACTTATGTAGTTTTCATTTGCTGTTAAGATGCGATTTATTCTATAAAGAATTAGTGAAAAAAAAACCCAAGAGGCTTCTAATAAGTATCTCAGTTTAAAATTAATACATCGGAAAAGGCAAATAAAATACTTTGCTGGAAGGGTACGTAACCAGGCCATGTCCCGCATCACACTTTGTGGCATATTTGAAATGTAGCAGTTGTGTGAATGTGAACACTTATAAAAAAAGGACATTCTCGACGAATTGATGATTGATGTAAATTCGGGAATGTCTTTGAATTGCAACTAGAAAAAACTAAAACAAATCGGTGACTATTGCCACTTAAAAATTCGTAAGAATTAGGCTTAAAAAAGACTGGCTCTCAAATGTGTCGTATCTTTAAATAATGTGAAAGACTTTTTTAGAAATAAAAATTGATTTTGAAAAAAAAACCGACTTTAGCTTGTTTTATTGCTATTTTTTGTTTGTTTGTTGTACGTAGCTGAATTAGGCGGACATTGGACTTGGGTACCCTTTCAGTTTTAATATTGTTTTATTTAGTTTTAACGATGTATGTATTTTAATTAATTATGGATTTGTAATGGATTTGTGTGAAGGGGTTGCCACATTTCCGATGTTTGCCTTTTTATGCGAAACATTTACTTATATAGTGTATTAACAAATTTAACATTTAGTAGGTAAGTAAAGTGTGCATTATTAATCCTAACAAACCTCTTAGAAGAGAAAGAATACAATTGAGGTTTTTCTGTTGTAAAATAGGTTCACGCCATCAAACTCCAGACACTGTAGACGAAAGAGTGTCAGATCGTAGAAACTATCAACGCTACGATGGACCTAGAGGCGGCGGTAGAGGTAGAAGAGGTGACAATAGACGCGGTGACGATAGGCGCAGGAATCACGATGAAGAAGAAACCGTTTTAGACAGTCAGGAGGTTTCCGGTGCTGACAGAGGTGAGAAATATTAACCAAAAATGTACCGTTTTTGTAGCTCAAAAATATTGTGACAAATAAATTGTCAATCACAGAGTCGGTCTCTAGCCAAGAAGGTAGACCATGGTCGGAGATCTGCAACAGAGCCAGCGACGTCAGAGCCAGACCGGAACGTAGATACGTTCCAGGGCCGCGTCGCAACTTTAGAGACTCGCCAAGAACGGATACGAGAGTTGACAGTAAAAGTACTAGAACACCAGGTAGGGGCCCAATTTACCAGTGCTGAGCACTTGACAGTGTAGTCCAGGCGGCAAGTACTTTCTGCTGGAAAGTATTCTGTAGTTAATGATATTCTGGTATGTCATTTGTGGGTAGTCTGTGGAATAAAATGTGAGTTTTCAACCTCGAAGACCCTGTGCTAGCTTGAGGGGAGTCGAAAAGCCACGAAATTTATAAAGTTGAAGAACCTTAAATTTCCTTCAAAGGACCCCTCACTTTTCTTATGTAAAATGGCTTTTGGTCAATTTTTTAAAAAATTTGGTATGTTGTAGTCCTTGATGTTCTGAACAAATGTCTTCATAGGCCCAATTCGATCATCTGTCCATTTTTCAAGATATCGGTGCTCAAAGTTGGACAAAGGGGAATTTTAATAGTTTTCCTATAATTTTTACAATAGCCTATTATAAATAAAACCCTTACTTTTTTGATAAAATTATTAGATGAGAATTTTGCTTATAGTACGGTCTTTTAAATATGAAATCCATTTTTCATACACGGTGAACCAAAAGATTTTAGAGGTTTATTTTATACAATTCAAAAGTATGCAAAATTATCGTCCATCATTTTGTGCCGCTGTTATGTATCTTAAAAAACAAACGGCCTGATTTTCACAAAACTCTGACATGTTTTATGTATCGATAGCCAAAGAAAAATGACGCAATAAATTGTTCGGAGGGTGTCACATAACAATGGGGTTTAATAATTTCCAAACTGTGAGGTATGCGAGTTCTAGACCGTACCGATTTTCAATACGGGCTATTTGAAATTACGGGGATTTATAATACTTGACTTTCTCTACCGAGGAATATATAGAATTTTTTTTACTACTGCTAGTAGAAAATAAAAAATTTGTTTAAAATCTGTGTTCTAATTATTTTTTGTGACCGCCCTCTTGAAAGTGCTGCCCTCTATCAACAGCTTATATAACTTCGTATGTTCCTACAGAAACCTGTATTTTTTTTCAAATTGACGTATGAAATTGAAATTGAACCAATAGAAACATGACAATATCCTTGCGTCATGACGTAATTTTCATTATTGACCTAGGTATTTTTTCATTATTTTCATTATTAACCTAGGGAGAGAAATTCAATTTTTTCTTAGAAAAATAGATTGAATAATGTCTATTTCTCAGGTTAGTAGTAAAAAAAGTCAATTTTTTCCCGTCATAGAAAAAAATATTTTAGTTCACCGTGTATAAAAAATGAATTTCACATTTAAAAGACATTACTATAAGCAAAATTCTCATATAATAATTTTATCAGAAAAGAAAGGTTTTTATTTATAATAGGCTATTTCTAAGAATATAGGAAAATGTTTAAAATTCCCCTTTGTTCAACTTTTTAGCACCGATATCTCGGAAACTGAACATAGGATCGAATTGGGCCCATGTAGATATTTGTTTAGAACATCAACCATACTGGGGCCAATACTGTTTCTAACCTATATAAACTCACTCCTAAATATACAACTGGAAGGGGAGGTAATTTCCTATGCAGACGACACAGCATTGATCTTTAAGGGGGCGTCCTGGGAGGAAACCAGGCAGAAAGTCATCAGGGGATTCAACATTGTTAAAAACTGGCTGGAAAGCTTCAAGCTCTCATTGAACCTACAGAAAACAAACTACATTGCATTTTCCCCAGTAAATAAAAATAGACCAAACTTTAAAAAAAATTTCATAAATAAAAATAAATCTATTGATTCTTGTGGAAAAATGAAATATTTGGGGATTGTGATCGACCAACACCTTAAATGGACACATCATATCAGCCATGTTGTATCAAAGGTCAGAAAACTTATATATAAATTTTACATTTTACGCGAAATCCTTGATGAGAAGCTATCAATATTGATCTATAAATCACTAGTTGAATCATTGTTACGTTATGGTATTACAGCATGGGGTGCTGCTTACAAAACTACCTTAATACCTTTACAAGTTGTTCAAAATTATGTATTGAAAGTTATCTTCAACAAAAATAAACTCTACCCCACAAAACAATTATATAACGAAAATATTTGTAATATTCAGCAACTGTATATTTTGTCAACTTGCGTTTACATGTACAAAAATAATAAATCAAAATTACTTATAGCTCATAAGCATAATACACATAATAAAACGAATAAAAACGTAACTATACAAAAGAGCCAAAAGACATTGAGTCTTAAGTTTCTACAAAACTGTGCTTCAAAATTCTACAACCTATTGCCATTGAAAATTAAGGATATACCTAGTCTTAAAGAATTCAAAAAAAGTTGTAAAGAATATATATTTAAGAATTACAAAAGTTTTCAAAATCAGTGTATTTAGGGATAACTATAAGATGTTTCACCTACAGTCTACAAAATCTTTAAACTGTTTAAACCTGCCCTTATCTCTAATGAATTAGGGTACTGCTAGGCCAAAATTTTATACATGATACCTCATTCATTATCATTATCAACTAGTTATACCTACCATTAAACGTGGCACATGCAGGCATTCTCATGCCTAGGTGCCATAATAAAAAATTATTAGATTATAGAAATATTACTGTGAATTGTACTGTTGTTATGTATGCTGAAATATTGAATAAATTATTATATTATCAAGGAATACAACATAGGTACTAAATATTTGAAAAAATTGGCCGAAAGCCATTTTGCATAAGAAAAGTGAGGAATCCTTTTACTAGTCAAACGTACTATTTAACGCAATAGTAACTGAGATACAGTGGTTCAAAGACTGGTCCTTCAACTTTACATGATGATTTAATTGACATCTTTAAGTATTCAAAAAATGTCTTCTTTTTCTCTTAGCTTCAGCAGAATGGTATAGAAAGCTTCAAATTCTTGCCGAAAAGTGATTAGAGGGTGTACTCGATGTATTCTTCTATTTCTCCTTTGTTTTTCAATTCTTCTATACATACAAAAAACATGGCAATAATTTACCTTCTCTCCATGATCATTACACCACACAAATTACCACACTGCACTAGTCTAAATAGACACGAGAAAAAATAAAACATAATAAATCTGTGTATGTGTAATGAGGTTTCATTCGAACCGAATGGAGCCGCATTCGTGTGGAACCAGCCTTGATTCTACTCCACAGACTATTCAAAAACGACATACCAAAATATCATTAACTTCAGAATACTTTCCAGCTACCCCCTTTATTTAATACTTGCCTGCTGGCCTAATGAAGCAATTTATATATATTTTTTTTACAGACAGGATTTGTCTTCAAATTGCGTAACTGTACAGCTTGGAGATTTTTTTAATATTTGGAATCTAAAACATTTCAAAGCGAATAATTCCAAAATAAATTGTGTATAATTTCGTTTGTTTCAGTAACGTTGAATCACTCAGAACCTCTACAAGACCAACTGCCAACCAATAACGGATTGCCGAAACACAACGGATCCTCCAACGGTAATAATGGTAAACCGAGGCGGCCGCCTCCGTCGCGCCGAAACGACAACCCCAAGCCCAAAGAGGCGCTCGTTAACGGAACGGCTGCTTAAAATTCACATTAAATTAAATAGGTTCACATAGGAGGGGGCAAAACAATTAATGCATCACTTAAGTTTTAGTTGGAATTTTTCTTTTTTTTTTCCTAATTTAAATCGCTGCCAACTGGTGTTGTTACTTGCCCCCTCCCTCGGCAAGTGTTATTTAAAAGAGAAGACATTTTTATTTTTTCATTATTTTTTCTTCATTTGTTGCGTAACCTAGTAAGTGTATAAATTCCCGAAGTAGTGAATTAATCGAGGGTGGTCAACTGCCCGTTACTTAGACGAGACGAATGGACTGTCTAGGTTCTGTGAACCAAAAAAAAATTTTTTTCTTATCAACGTCGAGACAGTGTTGCAATACTGTCACATTTGCAAAAAGACTGCTCAGTGTTAGTGAAAAAACGAGGGAAAAAAAATCCGTAAATAATTTTCTAATTTCATATTTGTACGGTCGCGCACACTCGAATTAATAAGTTGTTAGTTTTTAAATACCACTTAATGTATTTTTTTTTTTGTTTTTTTGTATTTATGATTTTTTAGTTTTTATAGAATTATTATTTCACAAGAACATAACACTTTCATTATTTTGTAACTCAATATTTTTTCATAATAGTTAATCGTTTGTTGTAAATATATAATAATGATTATATTATTAGCTACTCCGATTTGCCATTTGTTAATAATGGTTGAGGTGCAGAGTTTTTTTTTTGGTTGTCTGCTGTGTTTTCGGTAACACAATTTTTGCATTGAATAAAAATAGTTTCAAAATCGTCAAAATGCCGTTTCATTTATATAAGAAATTGTAGTATATTGAATCCTAAAAAAAAAATATATAAAGTCACAATGTCATTTCCAAGGAGGTTTTCTATCTTTTGCTGAGCATTGGCGCCATTCTGACATTCTATTTGGGCTTTCTAGATCCTGGAGGAATAAACGATTTTGATTAATTGATTGAAATTATTTGAGGGCAAAAATACATACTCACACTGGGGTGCCAAGAGCTTCTCTGTTGAGTTTGTGATGGTTTTTGGTCTTGAGTTTCTGGTAAAGGATTTCCAGGAGGTCTATTCAAAAGCTAGAAAATTTTTAAACCTAATAATTGCTTGTAACAAATTGAAAAATAAATAGTATATTACATTAAGAGTGTAGAAAGTGACAAATTTCACACGAGTGTTTTTTCGCGCGAGGCGGAAGCCGAGTGTGAAAATCACACGAGTGTATGAAAGATGCTTTCTTACGAGTGATATACACCATTTTTCCTTCGACCAGAAATCGATTAACATTAATTTTCTCTTATTTTATTTCTTTTCATTTTCAACACACATGCTGAAAGTACTTTCAATCCACGTATTGAAAGTAAATTGTTATGTCAATTACAAATAATGTCAACAGTATTTTCCACACGTGTGCTGAAAGTACTTTTAGCGCGCGTATTGAAAGTACTTTCAGCACGCGTGTGATATTTATCGCTTTTCAAAGAACCAGCTAGTGAGAATTTTGTCATTTTCGTATGTGGTTGTAGGAAAACTAATTTTGAATTTTTTACCATATTTATATACTTCTGTATTTCACTGTCTGATTGTTTTTGTTGTCCTCCACGACTTGAAACAGGAGTTTCATCTAAATCCGAAACACTTTCAGGCTCTCTCTTATAAATTTCCTCCTTTTTGCAAGCATATCCGTGTTCTGATCTTTCAGGCGTTGGAGTATCGTCGATCATTTTCAAAGCCTCATTCCATTGATTTTCCATTACTTTTTGTATTTGCTTGGCAATTTGGGCTCTTTTTTCGGGTAAATGAGCCAGTTTGCTGCGTAGAATTTCAATTTCCTTGTGACTTTGAGTCAGTTGCATTTGATACAATCTGATTTCTTCTTGGTGTTTTTGGTCGAGTAATTTTGTTTCTAAGACACATTTTTCTGATACTTCTTTGATGTGGTTGGCTGCTGCTTTGGCCATTGATAGTTCTTTGCGTTTGATTTCTTCTTGGCTGTTTTGTCTTTCTTGATCTAATTGCGTTTGCATTTCTTTTCGCTTGTTTTCTACTATTATTTCTAATTGGCCCTGATAGAAGTTTCTCAGTTCTAATTTGGTGTTTTCGAGTTTTTGTTTGGATTGTTCTAGATTGTCTTTTAGGGATTTTTCAGTTTGTTTGCATGCCTCTAGATCTGTTAGGAGTTTTTTTTTCTGCTCATTCAAATTTGATACTTTGGATTTTTCCGTTTTTAGTTCAGATTGCAGCCGGTTGCATTCCTCTTTTAGCACTGTAAACTCAGCTTGGCAAACTTCCACAGCTTTTCGGCTATGAGCCACCTCATCTCTAGCATTATTCAAAACATTTCTTTTCTCTTTCAGCTCTATTTCTTTTTGGCTGATAATTTCCACCAGTTGCTTGTTTCTACCAAATTCAACTTCATAGTTTTCATCGACTTCTTTAAACTTAATTTCAATTTCGCTTAGTTTTGATTGTAAATCTGAACATCTAGTTTCTAGATCAGAAATTTTATCTTGATTTCCACGTGCAAGACTTAGGGACTTTGAGGCTTCTTTTTCATAGTAATTGACTTTCTGCAATAATTTGAGAATTAAGACACATTGTTATTGGTGCACAAATTCTATACCTGATTTGCTGATTCAATTTCAATAGAGTGTTGATTTTTCTGCCTAACTAGTTCACGTTCCCACATAGATTTTTCTTCTATTAACTTTTCCATATGTAGAGAAACTGCATCCAAACTGTCTTTAAACTCTTGCAAAGCCTTATTTTTACTGTCATCTACTTTGACAGCTACAGACAATTTTTCTTGCATTTCCAGGTTTTTGCTCTGCAACTCGTGGATGAGTTGCTCACAATGCTAAACATAAAATAAATTAATCAAATTTGGTCTGAATACAAAGCAAATTTTTACTTGACGTCTGAGTCTTTCTTCTTGTATTTTCTGAGACATTTTGCTAGGGCTTAGCTGGCCTGAGCCCCAAATATCAGCTAAACTTAAAAGGCTGTAGTTATCGGTCAAAGTATTGATACCTCTATAGAAAAAATTAATAGTTTAAATTTCTCCTCTCTGGTTGATTGTTAATCGTACAAAGTGGCCCAATTTGGATAGTTTTATAATAGGAAACGTTTGAGTGAGATACAGAAAAATGAATCCCCCACTCTCTTGATTGGTGTATGAATTATTATTACCTATGTCATATTAAGATTTCATTAAATTTGAACCTCAGTTTGTATGGTATCTCACTGAGAAATTGACATTGCCTATTAAAAGTATCCAAAGGTCCATCCCTCCTGTACAGGGTGGCCCAAATTCGAGCCTCCTCATTGGAATCTCAGTAACCGTAAGAGATACGGGGTCGGTTAAATTATGGCAAAGTTGCGCAATAGAGTGCCGTTTTGAAACGGAGATATTCAGAAAAAACCAGAATTTTGTAAAATCGTTTTTATTTTTTCCTGGGCTTATTTGCAGAGCAATTTTAAAATAAATGTCACTTCATCATTGTCATTTTTTCCCTTTAGAAGATGGTGCTACTAAATTTGAAATTTGACGTTTCATCTTCAGGCGGCCATCCTCAACTTCCTTTTTTTAAATACGGACCTGAATTTTTTATTTGCGATTTTGTCATCTCTGGGCATCCTAAAACCGATACTGTTTATAATTTTTCCTACAGCCGTGCGGAAAAATCGATTTTCCGCACTGATATGCGTGCGGAAAATGAGTTTTCCCGCACGGTGCGGTAAAACTTTTACCGCACGCATATCAGTGCGGAAAAAGTTTTGCCGCACGGCTGTCAGTGCGGAAAAAATTTTACCGCACTGATATGTCAAAAAAAAAAAGAAAAATTTTATATTTTTTCGCCTGTAGGAAAAATATTGTACCTAACACTTGCGGAAAATATTTTTCCGCACTCGGCTGCATCACCGAACTCCGCTACGCGTCGTTCGGTGAACGGCAGCCGCGTGCGGAAAAATTCATTTTCCGCACTTGTTAGGTAAATAGCTATTTCAATAACACAGTAAAAAAAGCAGGTCCGTATTCAAAAAAAATAAATTGATGATTCCAGAGGAACGAAACGTTGGATTTTAAATTTAATACCGTTATATGAATTCATTTAAAAAGATTTTTAAAAACTAATTTCACATTCCCACTGTCACTTTTTCTCCTCTACAAAATGGCGGTATTAAATTTGAAATCCAACGTTTCGTTCCTCTGGAATCATCATCAATTTATTATATTTAAATACGGACTTGCTTTTTTTACCGTGTTATTGAAAAATTATAAACAGTATCGGTTTTAGGATGCCCAAAGATGACAAAATCGCAAATGAAAAATCTAGGTCCGTATTTAAAAAACGTAAGTTGAGGATGGCCGCCTTTCTAAAGTTCATTCCACGAAACGAGATAGAAGAGGTAAACAAATAGACGGAGCTTAAAAATTCAGAGAAGGACTGCAATAGTATATTAGAATCCGAGACGGAAAATGCTTCATTGCTGGTCAAAAGGTTATGTAGTAGCGTCGAGATAAACTAAACCTCGAGACAGCACTGAAATTTTTCGTCGAGGTTTGTATACTATTTTATTCTCAACCCTTAATTTCTGAGAAAACAGGTTTTATAGTACGAAATAATAGTGTGAATTGGCCTTAGAAAAAATCATCTTTCACTTTTTTTTGTCAATGTCATCAATTTTGACAAAAAAACAAGCAGGGAAATTGAGACGGAAACGAATATGCCTGCCTAGGCAAGCATATACATTGCAGTCCCGATAAAATGTCAAAGTACAGAAATGTGACAGTTTCAAGATTCTAAAAAGTCTGTAATGTCAATATTACATAGACAGTTGAAAAAAAAAATATGAATTACAACTAATGACATATATTATTGTCAGGTTGTCATATGAGTCAATAAGTTTAATGTCATATTTCCTAGTATTTTACAATTATTTAAATAGTGTTTGGTGAATAGGCTCATTCAATAAAAAAATTTTAACGCGGTTTTTCACATTTTTATGGAGTATTACTCACATATAACACATTAAAGAAATTTCAGCTCAATTGGATAAATATTAGAAAAGTTACGCGTTTGTTAATATTAAAAAGTTATGCCTCGGAAATTCATTACTGTGACGTCATAGCATCTCTCGAGTCGAGACAGGCTAAAGGTCGTCATACACGGTTTTGCATAACGCAATGTCAACTGATTTTCTATTGACAGTTTGGCACACAGTTTGCGAAACTATACAATATTTAAAATTTTTCTTTTTGCATGCTACTTCCATAATTGTGCTTATAAAATATTGAAACTCAGGGAATTATTCAATTATATGAAATGTGATTTGGAAGAAAAACATCAAACTTCTACCAGATACATAAAATGCCAAACTAAAACTTGTCTAAACTGTAAACGATGCCAAACCAAAATTTGTCAAAACAATGCTCGTATTGTCAAAGTGACTGGCGTACCAGCACCGCGACGACCGAGGTGAGAGATGCAGTGACGTCACCGCGTGTTTCAAATTTGGAGTACTTTGATAATTTATTTAAATATGAACAAGGGCTCAGAAAATTTTGAAATTTTGCATAACTGCTAAACTCAATACGCTCTTTTCTTTTAGAATATGTAATAAAAAAAATGCTGTAGGAGCCTATTATGTTAATTAGTGAGCAATTTAAATTAAAAAAATATCAAGTTCAACAGATTCCGCTGAAGAATTCGTTCGGAAATATATTTAGAGAAGAGAAATACAAAACCTAAGACGGTCCTGCCTAGGGCGAAGTATAATCCTTTTCTAGCCAATAAAATTCGACTTACCTGTCAAAGTTTGTTTACTTTCACTATCTCGTTTCATGAAATGAATGAATGAATGAATTTTTGCATGTGTGGTGTCATTCAATGCATAAGAATATCGTCTATACAGGTAGCTAAAATTTGTGTAATTCTGGGTCTCAGTTTTGATGTAAATGTCGAAAAACGTTAATGTGATTACACTATTTCTGGTATGCATACTATGGTACTATAAACAACTTTTTATGGCAGTAACAACAAACAAAATTAGTATACCTACCTACTAATTGTCCCCATCGAAAAATATTTTGGTACAGGACCGGACTGTATTATACTTTCCGCTGCTTATTATAAATCTACGAGGATGGATTGCTCAAAATGTCAGAGGGTACTGACACCTGAAGAAGTGAAATTTAAGATAATATGCGATTTCTGCAGAGGAAGGTTTTGCGTTTCATGCTCAAATCTTTCTACATCAGAGTGTCGTGTTACACAACTGACTAAAAGAACACTTATGTTTGCTTGTGGGATCTGTATAGGGTCAGTTATGGATCGATATTTGGGCAGTTCTGGAGCAGTCACTGAGGACGTTGCTAAGCTTCAACAAAGCAACAGAGAATTGGAGGAATTGGTGAATCGAGGTAAACAGGAAAGTATCAAGCTGCTTGAGGACCTTAGAAATTTAAGGGAGACGAGAGAGCAGATGCTAACTACTATTGAGACACTGGAAGCAGAGAGGGAATCTAATGAACTGGAGCTAAGGGAGTTGAAAAATGAAATGGTGAAATCAGGATCCATGATAGAGTGTATGGAGCAAAACAATACAAAAGAAAAAAATAGAGTTCTGATATTGGGAGATAGTATAGGTGGTCATTTTAGGGACATTCTGGATAAATATGAAAGCAATAGTTTTGTAGTCAGATCACAGATTAAACCAAATGCGCCACTGGATGAGGTTGTTGCTAGTATTCTTATTGATACAAAGGGTTTTACTAATAAAGATTTTGTAATTGTTATTGGGGGTTCAGTAGATATTATAAGGGGCAGTAGAGTCAATGTTACAACAATAGGAAAAATTAGGGAGGTGGCTAACTACACAAATGTAATAATGTACACAGTGCCTTTATGGAATAATAACATATTTCTTAATAATTTCATTAATGAACATAACAAATTTGTTTATAATGAGTTATGTTTGGGAAGTAAGCTCGCTCAGTTTATTCACTTTAATTCTATAATTGATTCCTCAAATATGGTTTACAATGGTTCATTAAATTTAAAGACAGAGGGAAAGTATAAGATTGTCAAGGCATTAACAGAAAGAATCCCTCAAACTAGCAGAGAAATAGTGAATTGTGCCAAGTGTCAAAACAGGGTAATTGTTAACAACAGTTTTTTACGCAGAGGCCATGCCTTAAAAGTAACAAAATAACATTAATTAACTTGCAGAGTCTTCCTTCAAAGTTGTATGAGATTCATAATTTTATATTGAGCACAAATCCTCTTTTAGTTTGCTTAACGGAAACTAGAATTACTGAGCATTTTAATGATTTTGAGTTGGGAATTGTAGGATATGAGATTATAAGAGTAAATAGTGAAAACAGGCACACTGGCGGTGTTGCTCTGTATTTTAAAAACGGTATAAAGATTAGGAGTGTTGATAGATTTTATAGACAAAAAAACTACTGGTTTCTGGGGGTTGAGTTGAATATATGGGGCAAGAATTACTTGCTGGCTGTATTGTATCATTCGCCCAGTGCAAGTGACGCAGAATTCTTGGGTTTTTTTGAGCAATGGTGTGAAGGGATAATGGATACTGATCGGGTGGTACTGATTATGGGGGATTTTAATATTAATTGGTTGACAGGTAAGTCAACTTATACAGATAAGCTTAAGAAAATTGTAAGTGACGCGGGACTGTATCAATTAGTTGAAACAGCAACACATCCTTCGGATACTGGAGGGAGTTTGATAGACTTGGTAATAACCAATGATAAAGAGCATTTCAAGAGTGAGGTGTTGGAGACGCCAAGGATAAGTGATCATTACATAGTGCAGGTATATTTGCAGTCTTCAAGGACATGGAAGGATGACTTATTTATTAACACTAGGGGAAAAATAAATTTTATAGAAATTAATAAGAGATTACTACTGGTTCGCTGGGACTATAGAAATAGTGATGTAAATTTAAAGTATCAAATATTTCAAGACACATTATTGAATATTTTAAACCAAGTCGCACCCAGAGAAAACAGGGTAATAAAGAAAAGATATAGGGAGTGGTTTAACGATAATATAAGGGAAGCAATTGCAGACAGAGATGAAAGTTATAAAAAATTCAAAACTACAAACAGTCAAAAAGATAGGGAAGAATATAAAAAATATAGAAACAAGGTGTTAAAGGTTATTAGAGAAGAAAAAACGAAGTACTACCAAAATAAGATTGAATATTCTAGGAATAATCCAAAACAAATGTGGGAAACATTAAGTTACTTAATAACTGACAAGAAGAAATCAATTGATAGGGTGAAAATAGATGATAATATTAGCACATCACCAAAGGATATGGCAGAAAAACTTAATGTGTTCTTTATAGAGAGCGTGAATATCATAGTGAGTGAGATGGAAGGTATTACAGTGGATGATTCAATTGTGGAAGTTGCCGGGGAAGAAACGGAACTAAATCAGTTAAGACAATTAAGTACTTTTAAGCTGATTGACATGAAAGAATTGGAGGGTATTGTTTTTTCATTGCCGGACAAGGGAAGTCCAGACGAGATTGCGTCTCAATTTTTGAAGAATACTTTTCAGTCAATTAAAGAGCCTCTTTTAAATCTTATTAATTCATCGTTAGAAAGCTGTCAGGTTCCATCAACAATGAAGGTCTCAACAGTGATTCCAATTCAGAAAGTCAAGGGCTCCATAGAGGCAAAAGATTTAAGGCCGGTAAATATGTTGCCTGCAACAGAAAAAATATTGAAAAGGGTGGTTTATGGTCAGTTGCTTGATTTTGTTATCCAAAATAATATCTTGATCGATAACCAATCAGCCTTTAGAAAGAAACATAGTTGTGAATCTGCTATCCAGAATATAATTTATGATTGGAAATATCTCTTGGATGACAATTATGCGATTGGGGCTGTGTTCTTGGACTTGAAACGAGCTTTCGAAACAATAAATAGAGAGATCATGGTAAATAAATTAAAGCAGTTTGGGATAGTGGAGAATGCATTAGAGTGGCTAAAAAATTATCTTGAAAATAGAAAACAGGTAACGAGAGTTAAAGGAGAAACGTCTGCAGAGCTATTGAATGACAATGGTGTTCCGCAGGGAAGCATTTTGGGACCCTTGCTGTTCCTCTTGTATATCAATGACATTGGGGGGGGCCATAAAATAATGTTCGGTTCATTTGTTTGCGGATGATACGCTCATATATTATTACTCAAAGGATTTGCAATATTTGGTGGATAAAATTAATTTAGATATGCAGGAATTAAATAAGTGGTTCGATTCAAATTCGCTCAAGTTGAACAACAGCAAGTCAAAATTTATGTTGATCGGGAATTCCAGATACCAAAATGAGTACAGGGCAGGTTATCTTCACATATTAATTGGTGGGAAAGAAGTGGAATTGGTGGAGAAAATAAAGTATCTGGGCTTTATAGTTGACAGAGCACTTAACTTTAAGGAACATATTATAAGTATTATTGACAAATTAACAAAAAACATTAATTTTTTGTATAGAGTGTCCAGGTTTTTAACACAGTGGTCAAGAATGACGGTTTTCAATACTTTGGTGCTGCCCCACTTAATGTATAGTTCAACTGTTCTGTATCTGGCAAACAAAAATGAAATTAGTAGATTACAAAAATTACAGAATAGATCCATGAGGATAATTTTGGGAGAAAGGAGAGATACACACATAAAACTAATGCTAGATAAGTTAAAGTGGCTCTCTATAGAAAAGTTTTTAGAATTTCAAGTGTTGGTGTTTATTTATAAAATAAAAAATGGACTAGCGCCGAATTATTTGACTGATAGACTAGTTACTAATGAAATAATTCATGACTATCCAACACGAAATAAAGATAATTTTTATGTTCACAAGAAAAACAAAAGTTGTTCAGAAAGGGCAGTCTATCATAAGGGGTTAATTGCCTTCAATTCATTGCACAGTTGCATAAAGAATGCGGGTAGTCTGCAAATTTTCAAAAATAGATTGAAGTGTCGCTTGCTGGGTGAATGATATAGTTGACTTTTTTGTTTCTATTTTGGTTTTGTAATTAATGTCCATTGGTGATTTTTAGGAGTAGGGAGTATATACTGTATACCTATATTGTTTAATTATTTTCTTTTTTTTTTCTTTTTTTTAGGTTTGTAAGAATATGTACCTAATTGTATTTTGTTTTTTTTATGTATTAGCCAGGTGCTAAATAAAGGATTATTATTATTATATATAAATGAACTGTAGTTTCAAAACACCATTCTATCGGCCATAAAATTGCGCAACTTTGCCATAATTTAACTGACCCTGTATCTTTTACGGTTACCAAAATTCCAATGATGAGACTCAAATTTGGGCCACCCTGTACATATTTGGGTACCTTTTCTTAGGAGCTCTTCCCTCCACATTATTTGCATTATCCATTAATTTCTTGAACAGATGATCTTCATTTCCATTCAATTTTGTCTCAAATCTATCAAAATCTTCCATTTTTTTAAGTGCAGTTAATTGTGTAGATTCAGAGCTACTATCATTAGAATCACAGTCAGATGTTTGGAAATTTGCTTTGAAAAAGCTTCTCTTTACAGGAATTTCATTTTGCTGTTTATTTCCTAAATCTCTTATGCCAGGAATTGTATCAACATCCTCATTGCACTTCCAGGATTTGACTTTATTCAATTTGTCTTCTTGAGATTGTTTAGTAAAATCGTGCTGTAGGCTTCTAACTGCATGATTTCTTTGGATTGTTTTCACATTAGATATAAACGTGTCTATTTCATGTAAAACTTCTGGATTATCTTTATGATTTGGTGAGCTAAATCTGACATTATTTTTCTTGTTAATACTAGGAGTGTTTGGTAAAGAATTCAATTTGTTTCTATCTGAGGAGAGTTTCTGAGGTGTAGTTTGAGTACTGGAAGGTTGATAAAGATCATCGTGACTGTAATATCTTCTTGAAGAAGTATTTTTAGGGTAAAGTGAGCTCATTTTGATTGAACTATCTAAGCAGCTGCCAACAATGCTTACATCGGACATTGATTCAATACCTTCAATACGATTTTGTAGGTTTGAAACCTGGAAATCAAATGATTTGAGTGTTGATTTTTATTGGAATGATTACAAACCTGTTTTATTAAATTATCAACTATATTGTAATAAGGGGGCTCCGGTTCGGTGTGCACTGTAAAGAAATCTGGAGGTATTATTAATAAATCCTCTGTATCATCGGTTTCACTCATAATCACTATACGTAGGTATTAAAATCTTCATTACAAAATTGTGTTTAAATGATGAATTAAGAATACACTCAAAACTATGTTTGTATGTTGGTTTGTTGTTGTAGTTTCACTTAATTGTTGATTATTTTAATAAAAGTATTGATTGATAGGAAAAATATTGAAAAAACTTTTTGAAAAAATTGAAGGATGTAAAATGTAAACAAAGTTTTGACAGTTCGATAAATAACGGTCGACGCAGCGCCATCTCTGAATTGAAGCACCAATGTCTAGATTCCTGTTCCAATCAAACAAACCAAGGTACAGTACAGTGCATGAAATATTAGTTCCGGTCCACAGCGTAATGACAAATATCGGTTCCGGTTCTAAAACAAATATTTCGATTCGGTTCGGACCAATAATTTCTGTTTTAACGGTTCATATCGGTATAGTTTTTCACTAATATTTAACGGAAAAATGTATCTTTCTGTAATTTGTGAACACCAAAGTACCAGTGATGACGTAGGTAGCGTGTCGTTTCTCGCCTTGACGTAAAGTGTTTGTAAGAACGGGTGTTTGCCTCACAGGCCCACCGGTTGTTATGATTGCGCTGGTTTTTAGTAATCCAGACCACGTGATTCAATATGGCCGTTCAGGTGAATTTATTGTGGTGACGTTCATAAAGGAAAGTATTTGTGTTGCCTTGCCCGTTTTCGAACGCTTTGGTCCGTCTTCAAGGCCAACCAAAATAGAATCAACTGTTTTCGATTGCAAACCGGTGACGTGACAGACATTGCTTGGCTAAATTCGATCCTACTTCGCAAGTTGGTTCGAATTTTGGTTTGAATTTCGGTTTGCTTTTATAATCATACAACATGGAGCGAACCCAAGGTTGTTTGAGAGTAGGTTGCCTGATAACTTTTATGACGTCATCTGTATGCCTAAACATATTGCAAATCTTCATAAGGTATCCTGCATGCGTCATTAGCATACAACCTGTTAACTTTAGGAACCTTTGCGTGAACCAACTTAAGGCCGAAACTAAACCGAATTTTCAGGACGAATGTAGTTCATCCAAGGACGAACCATAGTTCGTCTGTGACGCCATGAGTTTGAACGCTGGCTAGAAGCTGCATCCATTCTTCCGTCAAACTACGATCAATATGACGTCATGAATTTCTCGCGAAAGCGTTTGTGTTCATGAAATCCTGCAAGTAGTTCGTCGCGAAAATTCGGTTCTAGTTACGAAAACGGCCCTTCCCTTGTTGTAGATGCCGAACATGACAAATGCCAATGTCAAACCCAAAATGTGACAAAATAAGTAATTTTTTAACCAAATTTCCGCGAGGAATGTACAATTCATCCAAGGACAAGTCATAAGGCCATTTCGCTTCAGTTTGGTACCCCAGTTTGGTCTATCAAACAGGTACCAAATACCAATCGATTAGGCAATCCAACAATGTGTCAAATATGGCCGACTGTTGGCACACACACACGAATTTCTTGTGTCATCAGTCATCGTACTCATCGTTCGTTGTGTTTACCTTTGACGTTAGGAATTTTAAAATAATTAATTCCAGCTTTTTACAAATTTCCTTTCAAAATATTTCTAAATAATTGTGAGTGTGTCTTTTTTTAGGTCTCAAAACTCACAAAATTAAGCAATAAAGCAGCAAAATACGCAGTCAACACAGAAATTGACACACCGTGCATTCGGTATTTTGATCAGAGTTCTCCGAGCTTGAATTTACCGTTCGGTTTATTCAAAAAGTGTACTCGGAGCAAGCTCATTTGCGTTCGTTTATTAAAAATTTCGGGCACTCGGATACTGCGTTCAAATACTCTGTTCGCTCGCTGGTCACGTGATTACGGCTCCGTTCTGCACACTGCTCTTTGAGCAAAATACCGAACGCAAGGACAATATCAAACCAAGAAAATCTTTTGTGTGTCAACAATCCGTCAAAAAAAGTCACGTGGTTTGGATTGCCTAATTTCGGATGGGAGAATGATACTGTCACGGCAACTTTGGTAGGCGCTAGTCTGTCAGATGCTATACCGCGGTTTGACTGGATAGTGGAGGTTTGGTAGCTTTCTGTCTCTTTTTGTCTCATGTCCAAATAAACATGTCAAAATCAAAATGTACCAAACGCCCTATTCACTGAATTCGGATGAGATTGTTAATCTACGTCACTCACGTACCAATTGGTCAACTATTTGCCTACCAAACAGCCGATGAAAATCTGAGGCGAAATCGCCTATTAGTTTGTCTGTGACGTAATGAGTTTGAACGCTGGCTACCTGGCTAGAAGCTGCGTCCATGCTTCTGTCAAACTACGTTCAGTATGATGTCTTGAGTTTCTCGCGAAAGCGATTATGTTCATGAAATCATGGACATAGTTCGTCGCGAAGATTCGTTTTTTCATTGATTTTTATCAGTTTCCTAAACATTAACCTAAATGGAAACAACACAGTGTTTGACCAGAACGGCCATATTGAATTTTGTTTGACAGGTCAATGGATTACCTAATTAACATTCTAGAATAACCCCTCGTTTGCATCTTCCTCTTTGCCTATTGTGTTAATCAAAATTAAATTTATATTATTCTTCATCATAAATGTACAGTCGTGAGCATAAAAAGTGGGATACCCGATTGACAGGTCTTGTCATTTTTCGCTATTTTGGGATCTACAATGGATTTTTTGTCAAATATGACAATCCCTGTCATTGCCGTAGGTATAGATAGCTGATGAGCTCGTTTTACAATAGAAAAAAAAAACGGGTGTCCCACTTTTTATGCGTCGTTGATGACGTCGACAACGGTGCAACACCACTTGAACTTCTCACAAATCGAGGTAGATTAGGAATCCTATCCGATAGTAATATGTAATATTCTTGGTGTGCAGCCTAGCCGAGTGCAGAAATGCGCGATTTCCACGATCTGTTTTGAGTTTTAAATTTATTACTTCACGACCAAACAGCAAACAGCAAACAGCCTAATTTATGAAATCTTGAAACCAAAAAATTCCTGTAAGAACCGACCAATTTACATCGGTCCCGGTTCTTCCTGCCCTACAACATTTCTATGAAATAATGGATTTCGTTCCGGTTCCGGTCTGTAAAAAAAAACACGGTTCCGTTCTGCAAAAAAAAAACGGTTCCGTTCCGGGTCCTTGAGGTTGAAAACAGTAAAAAAGCAAGTTTCAACCAATGAAATTCACTCTTGACTAGTTTGTGATTTCTATGCGAACAGACCTATTACCACACAAACCCTGTCTGAGAAGTGCTCATAAAACAAAGATAGCACAACTTGGATCAGAAGCGAAGTTTACATCAGAAGCATGTCTAAGATCAGAAAATACTGGCAATTGACAGCCAAGCATGATCAGAAACTATTTGATATAGCACTGTCTTTATCTAAGTAAACTCTGTCCAACGAATCTATGGAGTAAGACAGAGTCAAAATAGCGGCCAGGTTCACACTGAACACTGATTTATAACATTTATTTATTTGAAAATCTTACAAAACATCACTTTACAGTGTAAAGCGGGCTGATAAATGACCAATTATAAGGAACCTTTTTGAAGGTTTTGTTGTTGGTCATTCTGTAGGTTAGTTAATGGTTGGACATAGAAGTACCCTTATTTTCCAAACCACTCATTCACTCAAAAAACTATATTATATTTTAAACAAACATTACTCAATGCATACACTAATAAACTCTTAAGTTATATCATTATTATTATTATACAAAAATACAAATTTGAATTTATCCATAAGGTACTCTTGTTTCCACCAGGTCTTAATGCCTCCTATATACATTTCCATTATTTCTATTATTATGATAATCTTTGCGTCCATGATCTCTCCTATTAAAATTCCTCCTATTATCGTCTCTATGCCTGTTATGGTCATGTCTGGGTCTTCTATTATCGTATGATCTGTCATAGTCTTCCAAATTGATGCTAGTGCTAGCACCATGATGTTGATGGTAATTTCCATTATTAGCATTATTGTAAATACTCATTTGGTCTCCCAATCTCAAGAGATCTTCATAGCTGTGCTGAGGATAAATATTTGGCAAAGGAGGTGGACGCATATGATTATCGTCATTGAATCTGCAAAAAGAATATTGTTTGTTTATGGGGACAATTAATTGATTTTTTTACCTCATATGTTTGTTTGGGAAATCATTTTCTCTGGAATTTGAATGGTTGCGTTTCATGTATTGTTCTTGTTGGTTTGCTGCTGACTGGCCTTTTGCCTTGATGTTTAATTGTCTGTTAAACAAACTAATCCCTTGGAAAAGTTCTAAGGCATAAGGCACAGACACTTCATGGTCGTAAGTGATAAATGAGTAGCTTGAAACTTTTTTCACCCTTTCCAATGGGCCCGCTTGCACGAAAAGCTCGTGCAGCAACTCTTCGGTTACCTCGTTGGACAGATTTCCTACCCAGAGGGTTCTATCTTTTTCATTAGACATTTTCACTGGAAATCTTGTAAATGCTGGGAAGGAGTACCGTATTGGTTTCGAGATAGCTCTATCATAAGCACCATGGATAGAGTAATTGGTTTTTAATGCAAAACAAACAAAATTATTAAGCAATAACAAACTACAAAAAATATGAAGAGTGGAGAGTAAATTTAAAAGTGAGGTTAAAAATTACCAGAATACAATGATGCCATATTTAAATGACAAAGAAAAATTACAGAAATCTGTAAAAATATAGAAATCTGTAATTGGGCACTATTTACTACTACATATATATGGCGCCAGTAAGCTGGTAAGCTTATATTTTGATAAAGTTTGGTATTTTATATTTAAATGATCTTTCTTAATAAATAACCAGTGATCTTCTACCAATGTGTTATGTAAGTATAAGTATAATAGTTAGAATATAATATAAGTACTTAACGTTTCTCTAATATAATATATTTCAACAGAACTGCGCTAAGTACTCAGCAAATGTACTTAAAGTATTATAAGTAGGTACTTGAATACTAACAGTATTGAGTACATTGAACGTACTTGAGCTAAAATGAAAAATACAGCAAAAGTAGCAGATAAGTATTATACTTAGTAGTAGCGTAGTAGCTATACAAGTATTTATGGCCAGAGTTTCATAGTATTTATTTATTTGTACTAAGATCTCCTAAAATACCTAATACGTTGTGGTACAACATCAATTATTTCAGATTTTGAAAAAAAAATAGCTTCTTTCAATAGCAAAGTCACCCCCGCCCCGGGTTGATTGATTGATTGGTTGATTTTTGATTTGATCAATGGCAGCAAGGCAAGGCTTAGCTTAGTGATTCCCTGACAGTCCTGACACTGCAGCTAGTTACCTTATTGTATCCCGCTGTGTGAATTTCTGCAATAGGTTTGACACCTTCGCCAGGTGCAGTATAGCCTGTTTATTGGCGACTTCCGGGGACCCTCCTCCTAGACAGATTACTCCCCCAAAAGATTTCGAGTTTTCCAGTAGGTGAGCGAATGCAGGGCAATCGAATAAGATGTGTGACTATGATTTTTCGTCCTCGTTGCACAATCTACAGATGGGTGCATCTTGGTAGATTGCCATCTTGTGTATGTGTTTCCTAAGTGTACACTTCCGTCACAATTCTGATCTGATTCCTCGCGAGCTTTAAAATCTCAAGAGGCTAATCTTGTTGTAGGATAGTTTACCATTACCTTACTATGTAGTGTTGCCTCGGTATTTGATACCAGTGGTTTTTGTGTTCCTGTCGGATCCACTTGTTCAAGCATAGTCACGTATCGAGGTTTTTGATATTCCGAATACCGCCCATGAACTGCCTTTCTGATCCTTGCGTGGCTAAGGAGTCCGTGTTTTCATTACCAGCAATGCTCGTGCAGTAACCTTGTTATGGCTGGCTAGGGTTAAAAAGAGTTGCAGGCAGTCCCAGACTAATTTAAAGTTTATCTGCTGGCATGCTGTGGCTTTAATAGCTGATTGACTGTCTGAGAAGATCGTGATATCATTATGCACATATCCCTTTCTCAGATTTTCCCCTATTGCATGTATTTCGGCTTGGAATACGGTGGTGTGCTTCCCCAGTGAAGAATATAATTTTGGTCTTGGGGATAAGCCATATAGGTACTCCGGCACCGGTTCCACTGTCAGTGTACCATACTAACTTTCCATTCTGGACTAATGAGTTTTCTGTTTTGTTTTCTCATCTGGGTTTGAAATGGTTTATGAGTATTTATTCTCGGGGTCATGATGTCACTTCTCATCTCAAATAGTGAGTTTATATAACAATGTTTGATATTGTTAACCTCCAGCTCCAGGGTAGACATTGCAACTGATGGACACGTTCACCCTGAAGTTAAAACCCACCAGGAGGTGACTCGCTATTAAGAAACCGATCCTTTAAGGCTCTGGTGAAGGTTAAGCCTCATAAGTTTAAAAATCCATTTGACCTTTTAATAATTTGAATCTAGACGTTACAGTGTTACTTTGATCTTTTACATTATTTCATAGCTGTCTTAACTTATTTTTCGACAGCTGATTTAAACAGGACTTGTGCTAACCTAACCTCACTTTATCCTCCAGCTGTCAGAGTTGTCAATTATTGTTGTTATGAAAATTAAATAAAAAGCCCGGGACACATCTATCATGCATTCGTCCGATCCGACTCCGATCATACAATCAGGGTCCTTATTCTTGGAGCAGGGAGAAGCGTTCCCAGAAGAACGAGTATTCCGCTGCTCCCCTGTTCCAAGAATAAGGACCTTGATCGTATGATCGGAGTCGGATCGGAAGAATGCATGATAGATGTGTCCCTGGCTTAACTCGTGCCTATTATCTATTAATCATAGAAAAAGTATAGAATTCTACTCGGAAGTAATGGCTATTACTCACTCAGTCGGACGATTATACTACTCGCCTGCGGCTCGTAGTGCAATCTTCATCCTTCATGAGTAATAGCTATCATTACCCGCTAGATGAATAATATACTATTATCTAGAGGCTCGTATATTTCCGATTTTAAGTCGCTAATTGACGCAGATTCTTCAGATAAACTTTTTTACAGTTCCAGGTGCTCCAAAAATTGAAGGGATTGAATCAACATATTATCATGGATGGATCCAAAGACACTGATTCACAAACCATCAACACAATCAATAGAGACATCTCCAAAGTCATCAGGAAGGATCTAGGGCAGTTTGAAGAAGACCGAATCACACAGACCAATGAAAAAACTGAGAGCATGTTGAAATGATGATAAGGAAATTTACTAGTGGCCAAAAGGAAATATTTAAACACAAGGACGAATAAACTGGGGAATCCACAACCAACAATAAGGAAAAATTGATTCAAATAGTCGAAAAATTCTAAGGAACTTTATGTAACAATCAACAGACAATGACTTTTTACAAAGTAAAGTCCAAAACCATCAAGGATCGGAAGATATTCCGGATGTTTCCAAAGATGGTGTAATTGCAGAAGGTATAATAATAGAAAGGGCCAACACTAATTAGATAATTTCAAAATATGTTCAATCCGTGTCTGCAAAATCATGACCTTTCAGAAGACTGGAACAACTCAATTATGGAAGAACCAACCTCGAGAACTACAGTCCAATAAGGCTACTCAATCACCTATACAAATTATATACTTGCATTACTTATAGTGAATCGAAAAGACACTAAATTGGGACTTCTGACTAGTTTTTGTTCTGAATTCGGTACCAACGATCACCTTCAGTGTTTCAAAACCCTCATGGAAAAGAGTATTGATAACAACTGTTCTTTGGTACTGGTGTTTGTAGACTTCCAAAAGGCGTTCGACACCGTGAAACTTCCAGCAATTTTCAGAAAGTAGAGTTGATCACCGATACTGCGAAATCATTAAAAACATATACGACCACCGGAAATCTTCACTCCACCACCAGGAAAATTAAAATCAAAAGAGTTAATCCGACAGGGTGACACTATATGTCAGCCAAGCTGTTTATCACAGTTCTCGAACATAGATACTTTGGGATCGAAAAGGAATATTCATCGATGGGGAAAGTCTTAATAGTCTTTGCTTTACAGATAATATTGTCATAATATCAGACAGTCTGGATGAAGCTAAAAAAATGCTTTAGGAACTTGGTTCCCAGTGACCAAATACAGATAGGCAATAATAACATTGAAATAGTGGACAAGTATAGCTGAGAATTTACAGAGATGACTAAACATTATACGAATTTGACGAAAAGAATCACCTTAGGATGGACACCATTCAGGAAAATTAGGGGTATGTTTAGTACTGACATTCCAATATCCCTGAAACGAAAAGTATTCAATTAGGGTGTCCTCCCAGTTCTGACCTTAGTGCGGAGACATTGACTCTTACCAAAGCTGAGAGTAATACAGAGACGAATGGAAAGATCCATGCTTGGATTGACTTTAAACGACCCATTAAGGAAAAATGAGATCCGCATAAGAACTGGGGTAGGACGATATTGTAGCATGTATCGGAAAACTAAAGTGGAAATGGGCAGGTCACGTCGCAAGATCTGAGGAGATGAGATATTGGATAGAGTGGAAAACAAGAGCCAACAAACGAAACCGAAGATCTTCCAATTGCTGGACAGACAACCTCAAAAGGATCTTATTCAATTGGATCGCAACTGCTTAGAACATAGACAACTAGAACTATACTAGAACACTATATCGTCATCTCACTAATAATATCAACAATGTCAAATCTTCTTTCAGTAGTTCGTCTTGACATTGCAATTTGTTGTACCGAATACTAAATTTATGCTAAAAAATGTGTGTCAAAAAACCTATAATACTGGAGTCCTCGAGGGTATCAGCTCGTGTCATCGTAGCGGTTCATTCATAACTAAAACCTCAGAAAAAAAACGAGCAAAAAAAATCCGGTTCGGGTACGGCACCCTCGGGGCTTTTTAAGACAATCGAGGCCAAAATGGTGATTTTTGTGTGTTGCATTATAAAACATGATTAATGTTTCCGGTGCGAGGATTAGAATAAAAATGTGATTTTGAATGTCAAAATAAACTCGAAGAACACGTTGTATATTGTTAACTGCGGTTGCGAATAAATATTTTGGTGCTGGTTAATTTTGAAGATTGATCCAAAGATTCTGTGATACAAAGCTCATTATTAGAACATGGGTTTAATATTATAAACAATATTTTTTAAGAGAGTTAAGCATAAGGGCTGATTTAAGACATAGGACTTAATAACAAACATTTTAAGTGTTTTATAAGACTTAAATGGTCTTTACTGACTCAAAAAGACTGGAGTTGTTGAATATTCTTCTGTATTCCAGTGAAGATGAACAAGAGGACGTACAAGAAAAAAAGAGGGAACAAACTATACAAGATGAAAAATAGGAAAGAGGAATAGACGATTACTATCCAAATAGAAGTGTGAATTTGAAATGTATACTATGGAATAAAATTTGTATAGAGGCTAAGTCATTCTTTCGATCTTTCCAGCAAATCCTAATACCAATACCAATAATGTGAAATCATTTTCTACTAAGAGTTTTCAAATCTT